CGAGCACGGGTATGGTGCTGACAAACCTAGAAACCGGGAATTCGAACCCACAATCATAGGTTCCTGGTGTGCCCAAGGAACGCAACTCTGCACAGCGAATCGCGGCGCCTTAGACGGCTGGGCCACCCGTGGCTAATTGAACAAATCAGTGTTGTTATATTGTCTACATGGTCAATAATGTTATAGTAGGCAACATTGAAGAGGCCACCTCACAGAAGTCACCGAATATCAGTCGTTTGAAAGTCATGATTAAAACATGCAAACCCACACTGCGTATTCCGACGGTATTTGCATAGCTTTAAGTAGTAACGAGACTAGCGCCACATTCAACTTTTCCTCTGTGTCAAGCAATATTCCAGCAGCTCCAGTCCTTGGTGTCTACTTGTCACAACTTTTGAGGCACAATATATCATGCTCTTTCTACGAATATTTCAAAGGTGAACAGTTGACTTGCCTTTACATGTGTTTGTGATGGATGCATCCGGAGGGACAGCATACTCCCTTTCTCGCGAACACCTGGTGCCATCACTATTTGATGGTAATTCATGGACGAATGCACATGACAGTCGCAATTGCTTGTGGCAGAGATTTTTATTATAAAAATGGAAATGTTTTGTCGCTTTAAGTTACGTACACACATCTCTTAACTGTAATTGGGGGCACGGGTGGCCCAGTCGTCTAAGGCGCCGCGATTCGCTGTGCAGAGTTGTGTCCCTTGGGCCCCTTGGGCCCCTTGGGCACGCCAGAAACCTATGATTGTGGGTTCGAATCCCGGTTCGCCCAAATTATGTTTCTAGGTTTGTCAGCACCATACCCGTGCTCGTGGGTTTCACCGAAGTGGTAAACGTCTGAGACCTGCATCACTTCGGGCTTTCCTCCAACATTAAGCTGACACGCCGTGATGTAACTGGAATACTGTTAAAAGCGGCGTTAAACCCAACTCACTCACTCACTTAACTGTAATATATCATGCAAGGTTTTTTTTCTATTGAAATCAAGACAACAGTTCCAGAAAATATTATTCCTCAACAATTGTCACAGACACCACCGTCTACACATGTGCAATCGAAGCGATTTATAAAGCGTTTGTTGGTGCATGATTAAGATTTACCCCATCACTGTCAACACATCTCCACGCAGTTCTATTGATGTGTTTGGCTCGTTTATCTTAGCCAACGAGACAGAAACTAAGAATACACTCTAATTTCTATAACACACTTTTCAAGAATGTGCAATATTTACCCTGTGCCACACGAAGACCTGTTGCAGGGGACATGCTTAATGAGATAAACCAACGTCAACTGGCAGTTTCAGCTCAGGTCTGTGCTCAACTGTATTCTCAGACAATATTGGGAAATTTTGAAAAAAATAAGCAAACATTATCTGTCTGTTAAATGCGAAACACTGATGTAAAATGCCACACGAGGCGCTGACGAGACGTTTGATGTGAAACTTCAAGAAAATACTGAAAATGTCCGATTCTCTCTTTTGTCTGCATAGTTTCATTCAATGAATTTAACGTGTACATATTCGTGCTTTTATCTACAATTTCTTTCAACCCTTGTCTTTCGTGAGTTACGACTGAACTAAAAAAAAATATATACACTCATGTGTGATGGTGCCTAAAATGAAACAAACAAGAAATGGTTATAAGTGGTTGTGTTGGTAGTGTATTTTTATACCGGTATCATAGTTGTGTTTTGGACCTTAAGGTCGTAGTCTTTCAGCAGCTGTTCTCAACCTGGTTACTCTTTGATAACGGTTGTAATTTTGTTCATCAAATCCAATTTTTAAGTGTATATATTATGCCCGACAGTTTACAAATTGACTCAAGAAAGACTGCTCGCCATTGTATTTTGAACACTATACCATGATCAAGACATTCAGCTTTTTTGATGACGTGAAAATTGTTATTCATAAAAAGTTTGATGTTTTCTTGTATTTCTAGTTTCTAAAAGCACATCAAAGACTTAATTATACAATCATATATAATACACATGTAATGTTTTATGCAGTTTGATTTCTACGACAATTTAAGAAACATCGTGAATGTGACGTTTAATATTTTCAATGTACACTTACAAACCTATCATAGGAACCACATGCAATCACCATGACGTATAGACAGTTGATAATGGGAACATCAAAGTCAAAGTCAAATAACATAATCCACAAAGACGATGAACATTCCGGTTCAACAAATAATGCAAAGACAGCAAAAAGTCAAACGAAAAAAATAACAATATAAGACTATTCTCGGCGAGTGTTCTTCATTTAATACATGGGCTTTTCGGACTCCTTAACGTTTTTAAATTCACAAGCAGACACATTCTCCATACATTTGCAAAATGAAGCTTTGGAGGGCCCATGAACACTCACACACAAAAATATCAGTCTTTTCTCGTCACGTTTCGGAGATACTTGTATTCAGTACGCAGTCTTAATCTTTGTGTTTGTCATGGCTTGGGTCCTGTTGTTTGGCTAGCAATCGTACATTGTGTTTTTGTTCATCTTTTTATCTCAGCAATTTGCTTTCGAAAGCCTGATGCTTTTTGTTGGTTTTCAAACATATTATTATCTTAATTAATGGACAGGAAGAGTTATTTGAGAAACCGTGAACATTTATCTCCTAACACAACGTCTGTGTGCATTGTGGTTAGAGTCAGAACATGGCACATCCATGTTTGAGAATCCAGATGAATTTTTAAGACCCATTTCCTCCAGAACTAACAAACAAGAAGACAAAAAAAGATATGTCTAAAACTAATTCAAGTGCATAGACTATAGGCATCATTTTGCTTTATTTATTTTTTATTGTATCAACCAATATATATTAGCGTCAACATGTTTGAACTCATCTTTATAATTTTATTGTTGATATTTCTGAGTCTCATTTTGGTAAAACGACTGGTTTTGCCAAACAAAGCAATCTATATATCTCGATATAACGTAAATATTTTTTTCTGGCTATTCGCTTTAAAAGGGGGAGGAGGAGGAGGAGGAGGGGGGGGGGGGGGGGGGGGGGGGCGGTCGTTTAAGGCGCCGCAATTCGCTGTGCGGATTTGCGCCCCTTACGCACGCAAGAAACCTATGAGTGTGTTGTTCGAATCCCGGTTCTCCAAGATGGTTTGACAGCACCATACCGTGCTCGTGGGTTCATCCACAGATTTAAATGTCTGAGACTAGCATCACTTCGGGCTTTCCTCCCACATTAAGCAGACATGCCGTGATATTAATACTCTTCAAAGCGGCGTTAAACCCAACTCACTCACTATTCGTTTTAAACGTGTGAATACATATTGAGTTCATTTTATCATTTATCTACGTTCTGTGACGCTGGAATATAACTGGAATACTGTTCAAAGCGGCGTTAAACCCAACTCACTCACTCCATGTCATAATAGATATGATCATACAACCAAATGTATTGGGCACCTTATGTCATAATAAATAATATGTATAAACGCAATATTAGGGATTATTCTAAAAATTCAAGCTGCATCACCTACACATTCCTATAACACACAATGGACATTAAAAACATATTTGATTTTAATATGTTTTAAGTATCAAATTGTTGCAGCGTTTGTCGCGTAACCTTGAAACCTGCGAGTCGTAGGTGCACAGAGTGTTAAAATATCTTACAATGTGATGTTTGGCAGAATACCTGGCCACGAAATTCATAGCAATGTGTACATATCTGTTTCTAATCTCTGTAACGCTGACTTCATCATGTAGACTCCTGTCAGAAGACCAAGTGTCCCTTCGTTTCTCACGACTGGGATATTTGTAATGATGATTAAATGCATTTATAGAGAAAATCTGTTTGGCGGTGTACATGTAGATGGTGTCAGCTTGCACATAATTTATACCTAAATCCCTGCCCTTCAATACAGGAAGTCAACAGGGCGAACATTTACCTCCGACGTTATTTCGTCTCACTTTTTGGTGAAGTGCATATTTGCCATTTTGTCAGATCGTTCAGTCATGTTTGATTGGAAAAGTTTTCTTCCAACAATGGTGTTTTATAATGTCAACAAAGCATTTCAATTTCAATGCCATCTATGAAAAAACCTGTTACAAACATAACAAACTTGGGCGACACTTTGAAGGCAAAGAAGAGAACGTGGATGGTTTTGTTCAAACACAAATGTGTGTATACAAATATTATTTAACATGTCACTTCACACGGAACGATGAATTCGATACATTTTGAAGAAAGATTGTTCTTTTTATTCCTTGTTGGCAGATATTTTTAATTTGCCATCATTTCTTTTCATCAAAAGAAACATTCACAAAAACATTTCAAATTTGTCCTGTTTACTATTTCTAAATATTACATGCAAATATAGGTCCAACGAAACTTCTTGACGAAAATGACACATCAATGCTTGTTGTGGCGTCTCCATTGAGTTCCAAGCCATTCTACTGACGAATGATCAGTGAGCCTTGTAGGACGATGCAAATATTAATGCGGGTTATTGTCAGCTGTGGAAAAAGGGGAGGGGGTCACACTTCGGCCAGCTATTGCAAATATGTATCCAGCAGGTGGATTATCAAACACGCAGTGGGCAAAATAACCAAAGCCAGTCATAAATACACCAGAGTCTGCAATTAGTCCGTCGAGCAAACCTTTTTAAATTTATGCACAATGGTAAAATATGACACCTATTCATTCAGGTTTACAAACAATCCGTTTTCAGTTTGCTGTGAACATGCCACCGACAACTCGTGGTTATTTTTGTACGCTGGGACGAGACGCAATCCGAAACAAGATTCTCAACGCTGGTTCCACAAACGGAGCGAGTTGATACAATATTCTCGTAATGTTAGCTTTACCCGTTAAATGAGGATTTTGTACTTGACAAGACGGATAACATAGTGACGCAAACGTGCTGCACCAAAGGTGGCCCTTTTTTCCCCCTTCCGTCCAATGAAAATCCGTGATGCATATTCCGACTGCGACTGCGCACAGCTAGCGTCCTCTGTCATGTTAGCTTTCCCAAAATAAAAACTCGCCGAGGACTGGGTATTTAAGCAATTGGCTTCAGGAGTGGATCATTGTCATTGCCCCTTGTCACAGAGAACGGTCAGAGCCCAGGACCTACTGCAGTTAATATGGGCGTCTCATTCACTTTGGTTGTCCTATCAGGTGAGTGGGTTGTTGCCTTCAACTTTGTGGCTTCTTCTGGATGCTTAGTACAAGAAGATGGCATAACTCTTCTTATTTTTATTCTCTTCTCTATTATGTCCGCTCATTGAAATATGTTTCGGCAGACAATTGACACGGATTATTCTCCGACGAAATTTTATATTTATTTCTCTAAAAGGACAAATATACATATGTTTTTTTGGTTGTCATTTGTATTGATACACCAGGATTAGTTTAGGAGCTAATTATGTACTCGATGCTTCGTACAACGTGATGGAATAACTCTTATTGTTTTTCTTGCATCAAAAAATGTTTTTCGGTTGTCAAGTGAATTGCTACATGAGGATGGGATCAGTAGGATGCTCAGTACAAGGAAATGGCATAACTCTTCTTATTATTCTTGCGTGAAAAATGCCCACTTGTTTTTTGGTTGTCAACTGTATTGCTACATGAGGATAGGGTCAGTAGGATGCTTAGTACAAGGAGAAGGCATAGCTCTTCTTATTATTCTTGCGTAAAAATGCCCTCTTGTTTTTTGGTTGTCAACTGTATTGCTACATGAGGATGGTTTTAGTAGGATGATTAGTACAAGGAGATGGCATAGCTCTTCTTTTTCCCCGACATGAAATATGTCTTTATGTTTTTCGGTTATCCGTATTGCTACATGACGACGAGTGTCATCACTGATTTTCAGTAATCCATTCTTATAATTTCCATGACTATTTTGCCTGTTGTGCCCAAATGGAATGCGTTTCAACAGACTGCTTATTTTCTGGCGTTGAGTGATATTTCGGATGACGTTTTCTTCTGGATGCTTAGTACGGGGAGAAATTCCTATTTTGAAAAGGTCTTCTGTCTCCTTTGTACTTGAAGATAAGATATTGCCATATCTGTACTCATTTGCCAAACCTGTGGTGTTGGCCTATTGTCGTTATGTTTCTCAGTTGTCGTGTTCATTGTCAGATCAGGATTGTCATTGACATAAAAGATTGTTATTGCAGCTGATTTCCTTTTGTCAGTGTGAAGCCCATTTCTGGCGCCCCCCGCCGTGATGTTGCTGCAATATTGCTAAAAGCGGCGTAAAACCATACTCACTCACTCCTTTCGTCAATATATTGGTAGAGATTTTTAAAATATCGACTAAATTTGACAAATATGTTGCTCTTGCCGAAGTATATATGTACCAAAGTGACCACTTCAGAACATTATATGTTTGCATTGTCGTGGTTTTGATATCTCGTCGGATCATAGGTTTTCGGACAACATACGTTTTCGGACGTCAATGTTTATCGCGATTACTCCATTAAATCTGGCTCTGAATACAAAGGCTAGAAATATATGTTGCGTATTCCATAAAACAATTCTGGCCGGATAAATTTTGTAGAAAATTACGCTTAAATAGTCACATGTCATCAAATACTGCACAGGGTATTCACAAGGAAATATTCTTTTACAGAACGTTTTGAAACTTTTTGGAACTTTTTTCACAAATGTTATATGTTTCATTCATAAACATGCATTTAAACTATATTTAATAATGTAACGTCGGTGAAGAGAATACGTTCAACAGCAATATATATCAGAGGTTGTTTTTTGTAGAGACATTACTTGTGGCTAAAAGGATATGTCACTGTAACAGACATGTTTGTGTCGAGTATCAATTTTTGACGGGCATTCTTAGAAGTTGACGGATGACAAAGAGGACAAAATTAAAGGATAGATACTTCTTTATTTTACTGTAATGGCGATTTTTCGGTACCATGTTCATTATTCAGCCATGCTTTACAACGATATGAGGATCTATACCGAAACGTCGCCATTTCACTAAAATCAAGAAGTTGTTTTCTATTAATAGTGTTCACTTTGTGACGAGTATCATCGTATTCTTTGTTTCTGCCAAATCGAATCAGTTTCATTTGCGACCCTTCTTCATTCTAATATTTGGGGGCACGGGTGGCCCAGTCGTCTAAGACGCCGCGATTCGCTGTGCATATTTGCGTCCCTTGGGCACACCAGAAACCTATGATTGTGGGTTCGAGTCCCGAGTCGCCCCGATTATGTTTCTAGGTTTGTCAGCACCATACCCGTGCTCGATGGTTTCACCGAAGTGGTAAACGTCTGAGACCTGCATCACTTTGGGCTTTCCTCCCACATTAAACTGACACGCCGCGATATGACTGGAATACTGTTGAAAGCGGCGTTAAACCCAATTCACTCACTCACTCACTCATTCCAATAATTAACATATTTTAATGTGTTAGCGTAAATGTGAAAACGATATCCTATATCCTATGGTATGTCACTTTGTGAAAAAGACCGAATCGTGCCTAATTTCATGTTTTCCATATATAAATTTAATGTGTGTATATGTGCTTTATCTGATTAAACTTTATTCAATGAGTCGATTAACGATAAATCAATCTGCCAGTGCTGGATGAACGTTATTTACTGATAACAAGTATGTACTTCGTTTTCAACAAGATGAGCGAGACAGTCTGAAATATATTCCACCTGCGGGAACAAACAAATTGTTTAAAACTTGAGCAGCGATTTGCGCGTCAAGGTACGACGTCATTAAATCTTTACCGGAGCCACTCCAGTTGTGACGTCACTAAACAGCACGGCGGTTTCAGCGTAGATCTATAGGGTAGATTATGTAATGTTAACGTGATGCTAACCTACCCATGCATGCATTGCAATGAAATTCCTGTTGTAAATAAAAAAAATTATGTCAATATTTAGATGTCGCAAGAGTGAGTGAGTATGGTTTTACGCCGCTTTTAGCAATATTCCAGCAATATCACGGCGGGGGACACCAGAAATGGGCTTCACACATTGTACCCATGTCGGGAATCGAACCCGGGTCTTCGGCGTGACGAGCGAACGCTTTAACCACTAGGCTACCGACCGCCCCTTTATGTCGCAAGAAAGGGCAATATAAACTGCCAATGCACGAGAATAACCAGTCTCGATTATCGGTTTGGTTCCATTTGGTGTAAAAGGGGGAAATAACTGTGAAAATTATCAGTATATGAATGGACAATTCCCACTTCAGAAACTATAAATTTACGAATTCATGACGAATTCCACTTCTGTGTTTCTATGTTGTAAATGTTGCAGTAACTTCAAGAGCGTCATACACTTTTTGCTCAAACGCTGTTTTATCAGAGTGACACAATTCAAGGCCTTAGTAAATGTTTCAAAATGTTTTATGAAAGGACAATATCCAAATTTGACGCAACCCGTGAAGATCCGGGGTAGAATAGGTCTTCAGCAACCCATGCTTGCCGTAAAAGGCGACTATGCTTGTCGTAAAAGGCTGCTATGCTTGTCGTGAGAGGCGACTGACGGGATCGGGTGGTCAGGCTCGCTGACTTGGTGGACACATGTTATCGATCCCAGTTGCGTGGATCGATGCTCATGATATCAATCACTGGATTGTCTGGTCCAGACTCGATTATTTACAGACCTGCCGTCATATAGCCTGAATATTGCTGAGTGCGGCGTTAAACAACCAACCAACCAAATTTGACGCATCAAGAACAAAACTGAAGTCCGATGTAACGCCCTGCTGTTACCTTACCATCTGTTCTCGTGTTTTGGTTCGTGTGTTTCATTCATAACACATGGTTATTATAATAATAAAATTGGAATCGTACAATGGGCTCTAATGATATTTGATGATTATGGAAATGATTTTGTCGCTTTTTATATACCCAGATCAGTGGTTGCAATCGTAGTGAAAGTGTATAATTTTCCGCTTATCATTGAATCAGGATTCACATACAGTACACTACGGTTATAACGAACTCAAAGGGACCACTAATTGTAGTTCGTTATAACCGTAGTTCGTTATAAGCATATATACAGCATAACTACAGCAAATTTTAGGGACAAAAAAGTAAGTTAGTTATATCCGTCAGTTCGTTATAAGCGTGTTCGTTATAACCGTAGTTTACTGTAATTACTTATCTGTACATATGTATACTACCAACTACCACAACACATGTTCATGATGCTATTATCACGGTATACGGACAGAACCCATTCAATTTGTATTCTCAGCTCCCCGAGGAGTATAATTCCTTCAACAACCATTCCATGCGTGGGACAGGTGGCCTAAGGACACTTTACCAGCAAATATGTCACTCGAATTCGAACTGTTGTTAACTGGTGGATCGTCAGGGTTAATTCTTAGAGGGAACGTGTCTGAGACAGTTAGTTTAAATATTGAGTTTGCTAGTTTCCCTCGGCACGGAAAAAGACCTGCAAGAGTGTCTTCATCTGACACCTTCCTGGAATCAGCTCACTAACAGATGGCTAACATCTCGGTCTTTTTTCTAGAGTAGCCGGTTAGACTCAAATATCAACTACCAACGATATTCTGAAATCAAAGACAAGTCATGTTCTTGAAGGATTGTGTAAAGTTTCAAAACTCTTCTGGTTTTCAGAGTTAACTGTGCAAACACTGCCAGATCGCATACATGACTTTCGCTAACAAAACACGCTTTGTCAAAGATACTACAAACACGAGGGCATGGGGAAAAAATGACGGCGCTCTAATGTGAACAAACAAGGGGATCTGTGTGCATTGTTTCTCAAAAAGAGGAATGCGTTTTTGTCATTGTGATCTCTCTGGATGGAAATGCCTTTGAAGTTACCTTCTGTATTAGGGTTAGATACTTCCAAATATTAAAACGTGCAACTTTCATCATCTTACCACGGAGTACTCTTCTGACGTCACAGTTAATGCTTTTGTACTCTTCTTACACACTACATAGGGTAAGGATGGTCCAAGGCCGGGGATTAGTAGCTCAATGATGTCATAAATAATAGCTTAAGTGTATTTTTTCTTGAGAACTATGACTACTAGTAAGCCGTGACAAATCAGGGCAGAACATTATGATTGTGAGCCAATTCTTTTTGATGATTCTGTTTTTCCCGGAAGGTGTAGATAAGGTTGTCAAGTTGTTACATTGTTCAGGTTCGATTCACAACTTGGGTACAAAGTGTGAAGCCCATTTCTGGTTCCCAAGCAGTGTTGACATACTACTAAAAAGTGCAGGAAACCAAACTCACTGGTTCTCTATTTCGAAAATATACCGAACTATTTTTTTATTGGAACATTGATAATATGCCCATAAATTGGTTTAATATATAGTAAAATGTATTATAATGCTATGGATGTAGTTCTTCTACGATACTGATTTAAGTGTTGATGGGTAGTATGCTAAAATGTTATCGGTTTCTTATTGGCCTGTTGAAAGTACCCGATCATGGGACCCAATTTCTTATTACGGCAGCAGGTAGAAATGCATGTTTAATTGTACATCATCGCCTATCGTATTATCGATCTATCATTAAAGATTTAATGGATGTGAATGTAAATATAACCATTCTGTTGATTGGTCAACAGAATCCTGTCTCGTAGAGTTCTGGTTACAAGACGACATATCACATTCACGAAGCTATTCTCTTTTATTGTTGGGAGCGCATGTTTGTTTGTTTGTTTGTTTGTTTGTTGTTTAACGCCGCCCACAGCAATATTCCAGCTATATGACGGCGGTCTTTATATAATCGAGTCTGGACCAGACAATCCACTGATTTGCATCATGAGCATCGTTCCAAGCAATTGGGATACGATGACATGCATCAACCAAGTCAGCGAGCCTGACAACCGATCCCGCTGGTCGCATCTTACGACAAGCATAGTTGCCTGTTACGGCAAGCATGGGTCGTTGAAGACCTATTCAAACCCGGATCTTCACGGGTCGGGAGCACATGTGCTCCAGTGGATAATGATGTCGCACCTAGCTGTTCATCCAGAGTTGCGTCCCTTCCTATCTGTAAGGATCTGCATCTTTCTTTGTTTTCCCATATAAACTTACATTCCGTATAACTGACACTGTTGGCACGTTGAAACTTATCCTGGCATCTGTCCTTTCAGGCCTTCTGGGTTTCTCACTAGCGTTCAACTGCCCAGAATCAGATGGCCACTTCCAGCATGAGACCCGATGCGATATGTACTACTGGTGTGTCGCCGCTGTCCCGCACGTCAGCCATTGCCCACCCGGCTCCTTCTTCAGCACCATCACCAACTTCTGCAACTGGCCCTACGCCGTGTCTGGATGTAGCGATGACGGAGCAAGGACTGATGTCGGAGGTGGTGGATGGAGTCAGCCTCAGCCTCAGCCTCAGCCTCCCCAACAGCAACCACGTCAGCCTCCTCAGCATCTCAACAGCTGGGAGCAGGACAACCACAGGTGGAACGACCAGGGCTGGGACAGCTACATGGCCAAAGCTTTGACAGGTCAGTTCAAATCTTTTTTTTCATTTTTTGAGTGAATCGTAATTAACACAGCGAAATTGTCATGAAATAGCATTCAGTCAACCCCGGAGTACTTTACTCTGAGAGAGCAAATATTTGTCTCCAATGAACCCAATTCAGAAACAAAATATAATTTCTAGTTGTTTCTAATATTTGGGGCGGTCAGGTAGCCTATTGGTTAAAGCGTACGCTCGTCACGCTGAAGATCCGGGTTCGATTCCCGACATGGGTACAATGCGTGAAGCCCATTTCTGGTGTCCCCCGCCGTGATATTGCTGGAATATTGCTAAAAGCGGCGTAAAATCAAACTCACTCACTATTTCTAATATTTATTTAGTATTTATTTTAGTATTATTTATTATTGTTAGTCAACTTCGAATGTAATTAAGTCGGATATAGCGAATTTATGGTTACAAACCAAATTCTGATTTCTAGGAGTACCAGTTAAATCGTCAACGACTTTGATTATTCCGTAGTTTTGTTTTGATTATACTGTAGTTTGCACTCTTTAAATTACTTTACTAAGTTCTGTTCAGGAATGGTTTGTGTGGGTTTTGTAAAAACGTTTATCATGGGAAATACTAGAAATATGGGGGAATGTGCGGTTATCAAATCTAGTATACTGTCATATTGGAATATGTACAGGGATTTATTTCTCAATTTTATTCTGAAGGTGCTCTATCAAAGGTCAAGACAAGTGGAAGACAAAAGCGTGAAGCTGACATGAAAGGTTAGTGCCTGTGTGAATGTTGTTTAACGTTGACCAGCCTTTGCATGTGTTTGTGACGAGTGCCACCGGTAAGGCAGAGAACGCACATCTTTTTGCGAACTAAAGGAAAGTGATTTATGATCATGTTCATGATATAGTCAGAATCATACTCTGTGATATAACTGGAATACTGTTAAAAGCAGCGTTAAACCCAACATACTCACTCACTCACTCAGAATCGTACAATGGATTCTCCTAACAGCAGATATTTCCTATGTATGATATTATTATTATATTTCTTATTATAACAAACATATCACCTTTCAGAATAAGAATCACTATACTATTCAACGTGTGCATCAAAATTGTATTTGCACCAATCTGAGTCAGTGAATGCTGTGGTTAGACGCAGTGAACAATGTTCCAGCTATATGATAGCAGCGTAGCAATAATTACTTATTGACCAGATCCTTCAACGGTTGATAGCATCAGCAACAGTCGTATGGTACGTCCACTCGGGATTGTAACCGGGCTACACAAATCTGTCATTCGTACTTATTCGTATCCTTAAAGCGAAAAGGTGAGCGTATCCTACCCCACCGGTGGCACCCGCCACAAACACATGCAACGGCAAGTCAATTCTTCACCTGCAAAAACACGGGAACATATGGTACAAGTCAAAATAGACAATTGCATTGGCCATCATTTTTGTCACTGATGCATCAAAATGGAAATGGAAATGTCCTCCACATGTCTACCATAAAACTTTTGGAAAGCTTTACTGAAGCCTTGAATGTTGTAACCTTCAAACAACTTCTGAGCAACAGTCATATGACGCTCTTTGAAATCTCTGAAGTGACGTTACACAAACCATTTTCCAAATACAGTAAACTACGGTTATAAAGAACACGCTTATAACGAACTAACGGATATAACGAACTTACCTTTTTGGTCCCGACTATTTGCTGTAGTTATACTGTATATATGCTTATAACGAACTACGGTTATAACGAACTAAAATTAGTAGTCCCCTTGAGTTCGTTATAACCGTACTTTACCGTAGTTCATTTGATGTCAAAGTATTGTTGATGAAGATGTCAATGCATACTTTTCTACTTCTCAGCAGTGGCATACCAAGGATTTGACATCTGTGGAGGAGATGATGGCTACTTCAGACACGCCGATGACTGTACCATGTACTGGTGGTGCATCAATGGTGTCCCTCGTATTCAGATGTGTCAGGGGGGACTCTTCTTTGACCCCGTCATCCGTCGCTGCTCCTGGGCCAAATCTGTATCTGACTGCAGCTTTGATGGAAAAAGAACCCTTCCATATAAGAGTAAAAGTATGCAATAAGTTGATCCGCAATATTCTCAAGGGAAAGAAAACAGCCTAAATCATTTTCCCCGATTCTAATAGTTTCACCCAGAGCAAAATTGACAGTTTGTCGATTTGAGTAATCGAGATGTACTACCTCAAGATCGTATGAAGCATCTGAGATCTCTACAATGTCACGAGAAGCCGTTTTCTTTACTCTTCTTGTCTCATGTCCGTGTAATAGGACGTTGTCTCTTACAAGTCAATGTAACGTCAATCATTTGTAGATCACAGTATTATCCATATAACCCCAAGGCCTTTACTTTAATTTTAAAAGGCGAAACTACGCTGTACATTGAAAATAGATGTATTTCACTCTCATGTTTCAAATAAAACAAGACAGCTGATACAGTGAGTCTTTTATTGAATGAAATACTAACATTTTTACTAACACTCGTACTCGTTCAAATTGAGAGAGCATCCTTTGACCTGTAGATGTCATTGACGTTGCTTTGACTTAACCTTGAAATAACAGTGACCTTAACTTTGAAATAACAGTGACCATACTAATGTTGCATAGTCAGCATATTTGTATTTTCATGTTTTCATTTGACATGAATTTCGAAATTGGATTATGTCAACACATTATAAAACTAATTGCGTATATGTCATACAACTGTCACTTTATTCAAAGTTAAATGAAGGCTAACGTAGATGGAGCGTATATCAAGGCAAGCATATGACTGGCAATGCTTGTACGACCGGAGCGGATAATGGATTACATATTATTATGTGAACTGGATTCTATCCTGATTTTTCATTTGACAGGTTCACATGAATTAGCAAGACATAAGCGAAGCATCGTTAAAGGTAATCTCTTTTGTGAAACTGCACAATGTAAATAGGTGAAGGAAGGTATTGGCTATTCACTGGATCAGGTCTTTGTGCTGCACACTGTGTTTGGTTGCTTTTCACGACATGGATATATATTTACGCACTTTGTTATTAGTTTAGATCCACGCTTTTCACACGCAAAATATCACCACCTAGCCTGCAGTAATTATTTGATGCACATGATTTCACAAGCTCCAATGCCTTTTCATTGTCCACCATTGTTACTTGAATCTGAGCGCAACCCATTTCACACGGGAGAAGGCGAACATTGCAATGCCCTTGTGTTGCACTGTACCATCGAGTGCGTGCGTGCGTGTGTGTGTGCGTGCGTGTGTGTGCTTATGTTTATGATCGCTGGATGGAATGGGCTTCTCGAAACAGCGACATGAACTGCAGAAGATGCATAGTTGGTGATGTTGCGGAAAATGCTTGGATGGGAGTTACTATCAATCTGTAAATTGTGATTGGGAGGTAATAGTGGTCGTTTTGTCTGCTGCTTCTTTTGTATGGGTCACAGATGGTATGGAAGATTGTTTAATACAAAAAAAGGTGACACGTATATTAAGTTGTATTTATTTATTCTGTCATTCTCAATTTACCTGAGATTAAGCAAACAAGAAGATTTCATGAATTTGTCACGCTTGCAAGATAAACTCTTGTATGCCTTTTCTTAAAATACAGCAATACGTAGCTCTGCATGAAGTGTTTACCGTTACTCCTCAAAAAGAGACACTTCCGTCCCCTTGACCTGACCTTTGTAAGCGATAAGTACTTTATTATTACTTTAGATCCACCCATGTTCGCACGCAATAATACATGATTTCACAAGCGCCGATGTATTTTAATTATTCCACATGATAACTTGGACCTTAGTTCTGTATAAATAGCTTTACCGTTAATCCTCCAATATGGGCTGCGGTGTACCCTTGACCTGTCATTATAAGCGAGCGCCCATTTTAAAGAAAGCCGTTCCATGGTTGCATGTCATAATTAACAAACAACAATAAGTGTTGAAAACAATATTGTATTATATCAAGGGCTGTAATTATCGTACCATTCCTCTAAACCCACCTTCTCTGCCCGACCCCTCTACCCGTCACATCTATCCGCCCTCTCTACCCGTCACATCTATGACCGTGTTTATAGAAGTACAGTTAACTACGGTTATAACGAACTCGAAGGGACCACTAATTTTAGTTCGTAATAACCGTAGTTCGTTATAAGCATATATACAGCATTTATACATCCAATGGTCGGGACTAAAAAATAAGTTAGTTATATCAATCAATTCGTTAAAAGCGTGTTCGTTATAAACGTAGGTTTATCTACTACCAAAGAGCAGATGTACCATTATAATGACTAATTGAGCAGATCTCTTCAAATCAGACATTGTCCAAATATCAGAGGTATTCTTACATTGTGTACTATTTCCCTTGTTGTTTTGAAGTAATTTCCACATAGGGATGACAATGAGTTTTGAATTTAGTTAAAAAGGTTAGGTCTGCAGCCATGAATATATGTAAACAATGGTATTTATGAAAACTATGTATAGAAAGAATACACTCATGTTTAACGATGGCTAAAAAATGAAACAACAAGAAATTGTTATTCAATGGTGATGTATTTGATGCGGGTATCACAGATGAGTTTGGGACCTTAAGTTGGTAGTGTTTCAGCGACTGTTTTTATCCCAATAACGTTGTGATAACGTTTGTATTTTATGGTCGAATTAAGTTTTCAAGTGTATCTTTCTTTTGCCAAGGCAGTTTATTTTGTTCTGCAATTTTAGTTAAGATACGCTGGAGTAAACATATCGATTAATAATATTATTGACAACACTATTATTGTACCATCATAGGAAGCCTCTGTCATTGTTTACAAGTACCTGTATACACAAACAGATTGCATGAGTGAGTGAGTATGGTTTTACGCTGCCTTTAGCACTATTCCAGCAAAATCACGGCGGGGGACACCAGAATTGGGCTTCACCCTTTACCCATGTCGGGTATCGAACCCGGATTTTCGGCGTGACGAGCGAACGCTTTAACCACTAAGCTAACCGACCGCCTCAGATTGCATGAAATATCACATGACAAGATATTGTCAGATCCTCTGAAGGAAACTGTCATGAGTTTGACTGTTGAAACAGCCTTTATGCGTCGCATAGGACTCATGGCAATTGAGTGTTTGGCTTGTGTTTATGTGCAAGGGGGATACAGCGTGACCTTGATAACGCTATCACGTAACCAATGTGCCTGAATGCATATTTCCGGCTTCCCGCGCACATTGCACACATGTCATAAAACCGCAATTTGCTTAGCATAAGCTAAAGCATAAAGAATATTTGAATTAAAAGAAATCGGGTTGTTTTGCTCCAGTAAACGTCACTGACAGTTACTCCATTCACAAAGACAAAATGACGTCGACCAAACAAGGCAACGCCGACGTCTTAGCTGACCTTGACGGCTCCGCGCGCCACGCGACGTTTCGGCCCAAAACAGTGTGTTTTAGGGGTTGATGCTGTCGAGTTTGGATGCTATTTGTTAGCAGCTGACGGTCGGGACAACACATGTTCAGTTAGCGAGACAATCTGAGGAACTTGTGGTTATCGATCTGTGGACGTTGTTTTTACTTTAGGGATGTGGGACGAAGGCGGTGTTTGATACCCAAATAATCAAACAAGTGGGGCTAATCTGATCGACAACACATGCTGGGAATAGAAGATTCTTGAGGGCGGAGAGAATTTTTGAAATGTTGGTGTGGTCTTTTTACAGAGTTTGCAGGTAGGGGAATAGGGATTAAGATAATGGGATTCCGTTGAGGGTAAAACCGAAGCAAACAGATTTCTTTCATCTGTGATAATCTGTTGGGATGCTTGCTTCCGAAATCGGCGCCTGAACAAATTATTGATCTGTATTCAGCTTGTCCAGTTATATATATTCCTAGGCATACTTACATTGTACTCCCGTCTGTGGTTGCGAACACCAGCCTTGTCAAACATGAAAATATTCTAGATGTCCTTTTATGTTTGCTCAATATACGGACGGTTACATACATTTTCGAGAGACAAGTATTCACACGTGTGGAATTAATATTACATTTATACATTAAATTTTATATTAATTAATGCCTTCGTATGCATGCGTAAAACATAGTTCTGACTGTATTTGAGAGTACCGGCTATTTAAATTATGACGAAAATTTTATGTGTAGTTTTGTTCACATTAAGAAAGTAAATCGGGGAAATATATGCGTCCGCGTGATAGTTGTACACACGTGTCTACTTACATGACATAAATTCATATATTTTCATTTGAAAAACATAGGGTGACTGTCGACAGACAAGTATGTTAAACTGCCGGGGAAAAGAAAGTATACACTTTTTTTATGGTGGCTTTAATGAAAAATAGAAAAGAAATGGTGATTCATTTTTTATGTATGTCGTACAGGTATTATAGTTGTGTTTTGGAGTTCAAGCCTGCGGTGTTTCGGTACCTGTTTTATCCTAGTAACGTTTTGATAATGTTTGTCATTTTTTCAAGCCCTGTTTTCAAATTTATTCTTTTGTTTGCCCGGCAGTTTATATATACATATATACATCGTCACAAGGTTGAGGGGTGCAGTAGGGCTGTGTTATGTTGGTAGGTATACACACAAGACTATGAGGGAAACATATGTAAATGTACTGCAGTAAACTTCGTTTATAACGAACACGTTTATAACGAACAGACCGATATAACGAACTTATTTTTTAGTCCCGACCATTTTTTTTGTATAAATGCTATATATATGCCTATAACGAGCTACGGTTATTACGAACTAAAATTAGTGGTCCCTTCGAGTTCGTTACAACCGTAGTTAACTGTACTTCTATAAACACGGTCTGCGGGTACTTCCAGGATTCTCATCACTAGGGGAAACCACAGTGAGTGACGGAGAATTTAATTGGTTACTGAAACATTTTACATATACGAGTTTGTATGTTTTTCTCTATGGAACTTATAATTATCTAATTTTGTATACACACAAGTGATGTATGGAGAGTTTGTGAGGGGTACTATCATCTTCTACTTTCTGGAGTGAGTTAGTTGGGTTTAACGCCGCTTTTAACATTATTCCAGTTATATCACGGCGTGTCAGCTTAATGTGGGAGGAAAGCCCGAAGTGATGCAGGTCTAAGACGTTTACCACTTCGGTGAAGCCCACGAGCACGGGTATGGTGCTGACAAACCTAGAAACATAATCGGGGCGTCTACTTTCTTGAATAGTTGGGGCGGTACGGTAGCCTAGTGTTCACAGCGTTCACTTGTCACGCAGAATGTGTGAAGCCCATCGCCTTTGTCCCCCGTTATGATATTGCTGACATATTGCTAAAAGCGACGTAAAACAATACTATCTCCTGTAATTACTGTGTATTCATAGGTTCATTGAGGCGGACGGAGAAAATTTCACTCGAGTGAAAAATAGATTTTATATTTACATAATTACGGTATTTTATCACTGAATATGTAATAAAGGGTAATACTATTTTCCTATTACGACTTGATTAAAATAGGTTAAAAATATTATGGCTACGAATAGTGATAATGAAGAATCAAATTTGACATGTTGTTATAAACCTAAATCGAGACACAGTTCTAACTGTTGCCTTCGGGAAACTTATATGTTGAAAAGAGAATAATTCCATCGCTGGAAGAGAGATATGATGTGGCCGAGTAGCCTTCAGGAAATAAGTGTTTTAATACTGTAATTGTTTGGCCTGCCTTTGCATGTGTTTGTGATCGGTAGAGCAGGTACGCTCACTTTTAAGCGAACACCTAGTGATAGACATGTAGTTATGATACAGACAGAATTGAATAAATGACTCTGCTTCTTATTATGGAAAGGGGAGTGTCACTTGTACTATTATTTTTTAAAAATTATCGTAAAATGTACATACATGTATTCATTTCAAGTTTGTTTTTTATCATAAATGTCATTGTTTTCTCTGTATAATTATACACAACAAAATCATCATTATTTCGTACGAATTAATAATATAACTTTAATAACGCCGACAGTCACAACATATAGTTGATAAAATGTATGTTGAACTGGTATATCAAGCCACGAGTTGTAACTGTTCTTGGTCCGATGGCAATGCGACGATAACATTTTGAAACAATAGTTGTACAATACCACAAGAGAGACTATCTACGGTTGCGATAGATTTTATAAAGTGAAAATCAAAAACGGATAATTAATACTATTTACTATATTAAGTATTGTTTTTTACTTTTCGTGTTTTGTTTTTTTACAAAATGCACATTGATTGGTGAGATAGGTTCGTGACGCTCTAACAGACCGTATCTAAATGTAGCTGGTTAAGAGTGCACGGGTAGCCCTGTCGCCTAAGGTGCTGCATTTCACTCTACAGAGTGGCGTCCCTTAGGCGTGTCAGGATACTATGATCGTGGGTTTAATTCCGAGATTTGCCCTGATAATGATCGTTGGTTCGTCAGTAGCATACCCATGCACCTGAGTTTCACCAAAGTTCGGGTTTGGGGGTTAGTCCAGACGCCATTGTCTACAGGCCGCCGTTATTGGACAGGACTGTTGCTCAGTTCGGTGTCTGGCAACAAACAAACAAACAAACACTTTTGTAATGGAAATTGTGGTGGATGCGACCGGTAGAACAGGACATGCTCACACTTCTCGCGAACACCAAGTGTCATCACTGATTTTCAGTGATCCATTTATATCAGTTTTATCACTGTTTGGGGGGCACGGGTGGCCCAGTCCTCTAAGGCGCCGCGATTCGCTGTCTAGAGTTACTAGAAACCTATGATTGTGGGTTCGAATCCCGGTTCGCCCCAATTATGTTTCTAGGTTTGTCAGCACCATACCCGTGCTCGTGGGTTTCACAGAAGTAGTAAACGTCTGAGACCTGCATCACTTCGGGCTTTCCTTCCATATTAAGCTGACACGCCGTGATATAACTGGAATACTGTTAAAAGCGGCGTTAAACCCAACGCACTCACTCACTCACTCATCGCTGTTTGGCCTGTAACGCTCAATGGAATCTGTTTCGGCTGATTATTCTTTGGGATTGTATGTTCTCCTGTATTAATCTGACAAGCTGTGAAATAACTGAAATTTTGACAAGTCTTGAAATATTTGATTGACATTTTAAGAAGTTGGTAAGTGACAGTAAAGACGATAGATTTTATTATATAATTCTATAATTCTAGTTTTGGTATAGATCCTTATACTGTGTGTGCGTGTATGTGTGTGTGCCTGCTTGTACTAGTCCGGACTGATGTCGATTTTATAGTGCTAGCCCACTGAGATACCATAACGCAGTTAAACATGAATACCCCACTCAGACACAGTATACTGACTCCGAGCCGACCAGTCCCTGTTTTAACCCCTTAATGCCGAGCGCCAGACAGGGTAACAACAAGTACCATCTTTTAACGTCTTTTGGTATGACGCGGCCGGGGATCGAACCCTGGATCTTCTGCTCTCCGGGAGGGCGCTCTACCATAGGCCACAGAAGCGGTCCTAATAAGGATTAGCAAAACATGAGGGTTTACATGAGAGGGATTAACAACAAAACAAAGGATAAGGTTGCCTGATAAAATAAAACAGAAACAAAGCCAACTCTATATGTATACAAAAAACAGACTTTCAATCTAGTTTATGGTGGACATGTTAGGCGGTGGTATTTTGTTGAACCTAGCCACGATACATTCATTTTGATCACACAAATGCACCCATCAAGCCGTTACTATGACTAATTGTACAAATATAATTATCTGTAGGCCTGTATGTATACCTACTAACAAAGCCACTCTTCATCCCCATCTTTGTGACAATATATATATGTATACATGATGCCATCTGTTTTTATTAAGGTGGCGGTGGGGTAGCCTTATGGGTAAAGTGTTCACTCGTCACCCCGAGTACCCGGGTTCGATTCCCCACATGGGTACATTATGTGAAGCCCATTTCTGGTGTTCCCCGCCGTGATATTGCTAGAATATTTCTAAAAGCGGCGAAAACAAAACTCAATGTTTTATATTAACATCATTATTTAACGGTTGCAATAGTTCAAATGTCCCCGGTCTAATATGACCTCAACTGTGGAAATAAGTTCGGATCTACTAATAATTGATATAAAATATGAATAAATTCAAATTCAGCCATTCATAAGGAATGGATGTCAACTTCTTTATTATGAGGAACACAACGTGTCGGAGTACATGCTTACTCCTTCATCAGGTGAATGAATGCCATGAGGCAGAGAGCATATATATGTACAGGTAAGTACAACAAAAATTATAAGACAACAAAAGGCGGAAAACAACAAAGGGTAGAAACTAACAAAGGAAGCCAACAGGTGATTGGTGCTGATAGGTGATTAGCAATTGACAATGGAAGCCAACATTTTACAGAAATTAGTGCTGATGGTATGGAAGCCAGTACTTAAGTTATCATAGATAAGTAATAGGCAATGGACACTGGGCGAACGGGAGGCCGGGGGTAATTAGCACTGATAGGTGAAAGAATGGACAAGAAAAGGGCAAATGGAAGCCAGTCAGGTAAACTACGGTTATAACGAACACGCTTATAACGAACTGACGGATATAACGAACTACTTTTTTGGTCCCGACTATTTGCTGTAGTTATGCTGTATATATGCTTATAACGAACTACGGTTTAAACGAACTAAAATTAGTAGTCCCTTTGAGTTCGTTATAACCGTACTTTACTTTAATTAGCACCGACAAAGATCAAAGCAATAAGTCCGAAGCACTTACGGTATTCATTCACCTGATAAAGGAGTAAGCATATACCCCGAAACGTTGTGTTCCTCATAATCAAGAAGTTGACATCCATATATTCTCTTCCTTATGTGTATCACTTCTAAACGCCTTTCAAAGACCTGAACCATTCATGTACGGCAATCCACGTTGCAGACTTTCAGTGTCCATCCTCCTACGGCTACTACCGTCATCCCACCACCTGCAACCAGTACGTCTGGTGCGTGGACAGTGTGCCCCATCTCCAGGAATGTCTGGGAGATAATCTCTTCAATTACGACATAAAGCGATGCGACGTACCCAGTAAAGTTGGTGGTTGCGATGGTAACCGAAGAAGAAGCCAAAAAAGCAGTTCATTCAAAGGTATTTCCTTCTCTAATCCCAGAAAACTGGAATATTACTTCATTTCAAACTTTTTTTTCTTCTTTTTTTTTAAAAATTAGCATAATACACATCTGCTGATTGGTCTTTCAGACATCCTATCTTTGAAAAATCAATAAATTTGCTTTTTTTCGGCACAAATTTACAACATTTCAAACAGGGTCATGTGGTTGCAAATTTATTTGTTAGCCCAGTCTTCGTAGAACCAATTTTATTTTTACACAAAATTACCACAGATTACTTTTTACAAATTGTTGCAGGAATGAGCGATAGTTAAATAGACATAATAAAATCTGACAACAAGTGCACATTACTTTTAAATTATTGTATATTTTATTCTCAAATCAGATGCCGTTAGTGTTTGGTCTTGGAGAATGTAACAAATATGATAGCATGTATGATACATTGACGATGTCGCAACGACGTAGATTCTGAAACCGTTATCAAGCAAGTGGTCCTCACTGTTATGTATCACATATCCAACCTGTCACTCACAGATCTAGAAAGCTGCAGATGAACACCAGGGAAGCAGGTTCTTGAGATGATATTTCATTTTTGTATTTGTACTTTTTCAACTCAGAACCTATCATTTATGTTTTAGCATCCCCTCACAGCCTGTCGAGAAATAAACGAAGTTTTGTGAAAGGTAATTCTTTAGTAATGAATATTTCAAGTGCATATTTGTAAATGCATTTCAGTTCTCCATAGGGGTCACGGGTGGCCCAGTCGTCTAAGGCACCGCAATTCGCTGTGCAGAGTTGCGTCCCTTTGACACGCCAGAAACCTATGATTGTGGGTTCGAATCCCGGTTCGCCCCGATTATGTTTCTAGGTTTGTCAGGGCCACACCCGTGCTCGTGGGTTTCACCGAAGTGGTAAACGTCTAACGTCTGAGACCTGAAACGTTATATTCGTCAGTTGATTATAAGCGTCTAATATGACCCCAAATAGTGGAAATAATTTCGTATCTTAAGATAATTGGGGCGGTCGGGTAGCCTTGTGGTTAAAGCGTTCGCTCGTCACGCCGAAGACCCGGGTTCGATTCCCGACATGGGTACACTGTGTGAAGCCCATTTCTGGCTTCCCCCGTCGTGATATTGCTGGAATATTGCTAATAGCGGCGTAAAACCATACTCACTCACTCAGTCACTCACTCTGATAATCATTCATATAAAATAATCATAAATTCCAATTCAACCATTCATGTACGGCAATCCACGTTGCAGACTTTCAGTGCCCATCCTCCTACGGCTACTACCGTCATCCCACCACCTGCAACCAGTACGTCTGGTGCGTGGACAGTGTGCCCCATCTCCAGGAATGTCTGGGAGATAATCTCTTCAATTACGACATAAAGCGATGCGACGTACCCAGTAAAGTTGGTGGTTGCGATGGTAACCGAAGAAGAAGCCAAAGAAGCAGTTCATTCAAAGGTATTTCCTTCTCTTATCCCAGAAAACTGTCTTACCCTGTAGAGTTACTTAAATAATTGTTATTTGTTGCACTACAGGTTTTGGTGCTTTTAGCGGATTGTGTTCTAATTGTCTTAAATGAGTACACTTATAGTAAACTACGGTTATAACGAATACGCTTATAACGAACTGACGGATATAACGAACTACTTTTTTGGTCCCGACTTTTTGCTGTAGTTATGCTGTATATATGCTAATAACGAACTAGGGTTAAAACGAACTAAAATTAGTAGTCCCTTTGAGTTCGTTATAACCGTACTTTACTGTAAATGGCTCGGGGGTATGGAAATTCGTATTAACAAGAGGACATAATTAACGCAAATTATCTATACTACTCAAAATAAGTTAAAACACCCGGTTCTTTCATATAACTATCTAGGCCGAGACTAAAAAACAGTTCGTTATATCCGTCAGTTTAAAATAAGCGTGCTTGTTATAAACGTATTTCACTGTATGGAACGTAATTTTATTACTTTTGATGTAATTGTATGAGACATGTATCAGTTCATGCTTGTTTATTAGGGTATGGGTATGTGTGACTGTTAAAATGTTTTCAGAAATCATCAGTGGTCTCCTTGGCATAACCTACTAATGTCTTTTGTAGCTTCACCCGCAGTGTCACGAAAGAGGCGCAGCATCGTCCGTGGTACGTTTTTTATGATATCCTTCTTTGTTAGTTCATACATTGAACAGACAAGTTCAGACCCTCTCTGTTATAGTGTATGACACATGCACTGCACGCACGGGCGAATAGTACCAGAACCCCATCTGAAGACTTTATTTTACCATTTTGTACATTGCATGAATAAACATTAGGCGAGATATAACTACATTTTATTCAACACACATATATAAATGTCAAGCTCATTCCTTCATGTAATGACTCACTGGATTGCCTGGTCCAGACTTGATACATGTCATCGTGTCCCAGTTGCGTGGATCGATGCTCATGATGTCAATCACTGGATTGTCTGGTCAAGACTTGATGCATGTAATCGTGTCCCAGTTGCGTGGATCGATGCTCATGATGCCAATCACTGGATTGTCTGGTCCAGACTCGATTATTCACAGACCGCCGTCATATAGATGGAATATTGCTGAGTGCGGCGTTAAACAACAAACAATCCTTTAAATCCAGCCACTAAAACAACAGGACTGTAAAGATATTACGTCTCAAGAAACTCCTCATGGTATAAAGAGATTGGTGGCTACCATTCACAACTTCTGAGGTACAAGTGAGCATGCTCCTTCTTCCAAGATTACAAAAAAAGCATCTTACGGTTTTTTCTCAAAAGTTGATTTATGAAGGTTACAGCATTCAAAGCCTCGGTAAATCTTTCAAAACGTTTTATTGTAGACATGTGGATGACATTTCCACATTTAACGCATCCGTGACATACATGAGGGATGTCCGGTCAGTTCCCAATTTTGATTGTACCATATGTTCCCGTGTTTTAGATAAACAGTTCGCTTGCCTTTGCATGTGTTTGTGACGGGTGCCGCCGGTGGGGCAGGATACCCTCACCTTTTCGCGAACACCTGGTGTCACCACTATTTGATATTGATTCATAAACATATGCTCATAATATACACTAAACTACGGTTATAACGAACTCTAAGGGACCACTAATTTTAGTTCGTTGTAGCCGTAGTACGTTATATGCATATATACAGCATAACTACAGCAAATAGTCGGGACAATAAAGTAAGTTCGTTATATCCGTCAGTTCGTTATAAGCGTGTTCGTTATAAACGTAGTTTACTGTAGTCGGAATCGTACAATGGACTCTGCTTGACACTGAATTCTTATGATCATGGAAAGGGTTTGTAGCATTTATCATACAAACACTTAGGACAAAAAGGTCTTTATGCAAGCACCATACTTAAATATTACCATCTTGCATACAAAACCTGCCATGATCATATATGACTACAGGTTACCAGTGCCCTAACTCCTATGGATATTTCCGCCACCCAACAAGCTGTCGCCAGTACATCTGGTGTGTTGATGGCATTCCCAACCTGATGGAATGCAACGGCGGAAGCGTGTTCGACATCACCATCAAGAGATGCAACTTCCCCTCCCAAGTGAAAGGATGCAGTGGAGGAGACAGGAGGAGCGAGCCAGAGAGGACCCCCTTTTCCCATCTGGGGCTCCATCCAGCAGGCATGGGTATGGCTTGCCGCATGTTGCTTGTACACCCCGTTAATCTGGACGATACCCGTAGCGATAAAAGGTCAAGGTCTTATAGAGTTAGGGGCGGTCGGGTAGCCTAATGGTTAAAGCGTTCGCTCGTCACGCCGAAGACCCGGGTTCGAATCCCGACATGGGTACAATGTGTGAAGCCCATTTCTGGTGTCCCCCGCCGTGATATTGCTGGAATATTGCTAAAAGCGGCGTAAAACCAAACTCACTCACTCACTCACTCTTATAGAGTTAAGAAATGAGCAAACCTTTGTGAAGCCTTTATGCGTTCACATGTGTTCATATGAATTACCGTGAAGATCCGGGGTAGAATAAGTCTTCAGCAACCTATACTTGCCGTAAAAGGCGACTATGCTTGTCGTTAGAGGCGACTAACGTGATCGGGTGGTCAGACTTGCTGACTTGGTTGATCCATGTCATCAATTGCGTGGATCGATGCTCATGACACCAATCACTGGATTGTCTGGTCCAGACTCGATTATTTACAGATCATCGTCATATAGCTGTAACATTGCTGAGTGCGGCGTTAAACACCAAACCAAATTATATAAATGAGGCATGATATGGTAACCTAAAGCGTCCGCCGAAGGCCGGGGTTGGGGTACAATGTGTGAAGCCTATCTTGTGTCACCTGTCGTGATATTGCTGGAGTATTGCTAAAAGCGGCGTAAAACCTTATTAACTCATATGAATGAGAAGTCGGTTTGTTACTTTCATAATTACGCCAAATGTTGCGGTAAGGCTAAAATATGTCAAAAAGGTTCATACATGAAGTTAATCTATCAACATGAGTAAGTCTTTGATCCAAGCTTGCTCGTAGTTTGTTAAAGGTTTACTTTTCAGTCAGTTTACCATACATGTATACTGGATCATTCAGACGTCACAACTTTGAAAGTTTAAGAGAGAATAAAGTTCATTTGTTCATTTGAACAACGTATTTTTAACGATAAAAATTACAGAGCGCCAGAAATAGAATTTATCATGTCTCTTCCTTTCTTGATAAACACATTACGTAAATCGATCATGGGTATGTAGAAATGTCAATTTGTGAAACGATAGGCGTTTCCAGTGGTAACAGTACTATAGGACTATATCCTGGACTATAGGGTTCAGGGTGTCTGGATTACCGGGGTGTACGTTGTCATGAGGCTTCTTTAACCAGGAGCACGCCTGGTCAGAGCTTTGCCTACAATGCCATTGCTTTTATCCAGACAGCAGGATAAAATCCCATTGATAAAAAAGCTACAAAACCATTTCCAAAAGCATAAGAAATATATGCTGAAGGCAGAGTCCATTGTCAGATTCCGACTGTGTATATCATGAGCATGTGTTTATGAATCACTATCAAGTATACTGCAGCAACCACAGCAACATATGTAGCAGGTTACCGTTATGTTCAGAATTAATTATGGATTTCTAAATACGGTAAACTACGGTTATAACGAACACGCTTATAACGAACTGACGGATATAACGAACTACTTTTTTGGTCCCGACTATTTGCTGTAGTTATGCTTTATAAATGCTTATAACGAACTACGGTTAAAACGAACTAAAATTAGTAGTCCCTTTGAGTTCGTTATAACCGTACTTTACTGTATGTTATTCGTTATGCCATGAAACCATTATTTATGTTATTGTCAACCAGTGCCACGAAACGTCATTTTTGTATAAGTGAATTATTAAAGTACTCGACTTTGTCTTTCACACTGAACACGAATGCAATAACGGTTGATGTAATGCGCTCCGCTCTAAGCGACCCAATGCTTATCGCTAGGCTTGGGCCACAAAACATGGAATATGCGTCCATGGGCTTTCGGCTATGCATACACGGCTGCAAAATAGAAATAACCCACTGTACATAAACCCCTTGGCTGGTATGTTGTAGAAGTAGAGGAACCCGAGTACACGTGTGAGGGCGAGGAGGACGGCCTGTGGGGGCACCCCAAAAACTGCTCCATCTACTTCCATTGTAACCGGGGCAAGGGCACGCGGTTTAGCTGTAGTCCTGGCACGTTCTTCAACCCCTCCACGTTAGTGTGCTCCTGGCCAGGGGAGGTCCATGACTGTAGCGAAGACGGAACCGTCAAGGATTTCTATCTTAGAAAACGAAGGAGCGCTTACCTGAAGTCGACATATACGGAAGGTGCGATTGGTGCGCTTGTTAAACAATTCTGGTTAGCCGCCTAAACTGTTGATTCAAAACAATTTCAGAGTAGAATGAAGGGTGTGAGTGAGTTTGGTTTTACGCCGCTTTTAGCAATATTCCAATATCATGGCAGGGGACACCAGAAATATCGGGAATCGAACCCGGGTCTTCGGCGTGATGACCTAACGCTTTAACCACTAGGCTACCCGACCGTCCCGAATGAAGGATGTATTTACCTTGTAATGAAAATCACTAATTACTAGGACGATGTCGATCTCAGTTTCACACAAGGGACACATTTCAATGGGAAAGGCAATGGGTCAGAATTTTGTTGCCACTATCAAGGGCACGCAACTCCGTACAGCAAATTGCGGTATCGTATACCACTGGGCCATCGATAGCTCCCGGCAGTGTAGGGACATAGTCGGTGGTATAGTGAGTTTGGACCATGCTCAGCCATAGAAAGGGGCACGGGTGGCCCAGTCGTCTAAGGCGCCGCGATTCCCTGTGCAGAGTTGCGTCCCTTGGACATGCCAGAAACCTATGATTGTGGGTTCGAATCCCGGTTCGCCCCGATTATATTTCTAGGTTTGTCAGCACCATACCCGTGCTCGTGGGTTTCACCGAAGTGGTAAACGTCTGAGACCTGCATCACTTCGGGCTTTCCTCCCACATTAAGCTGACAGGCCGTGATATAACTGGAGTAATGTTAAAAGCGGCGTAAAACACAACCCACTCACACACTCACAGCCATAGATAGGTTTTCTTTGAAGACATCATAATATAGAAGTTTGTTTTTAATCCCAGATAATGAACGATCAGCACGCTCCACCTCAATCCTGGATGATGAGCCCTTCTTCTGCCCAGAGAAAGATGGTTATTACCGACACGAGAGGAACTGTTCAGTGTACTACAGATGCACCAACAACAAGCCCACCAGGTTCGAGTGTAACCCAGGGACGTTCTACAACCCGGCCATGTTCGGGTGCTCGTGGCCTTTCCAGGTGATCGACTGTGACAGCGAGGGCAAGCTGATGCCACACAGGAGAAGAAGGAGCGTCTTCCCCGAAGAGATAAGAGGTGAGTAGATCGTGGACTGACTTCAGGCCTAAGGGGACATTCATAACTTAAGCGTTAAAGCGTTCGCTCGTCATGCCGAAGACCCGGGTTTGATTCCCAACATGGGTACAATGTGTGAAGCCCATTTCTGGTGTCCCCCGCCGTGATGTTGCTTGAATATTGCTAAAAACGGCGTAAAACCATACTCACTGACTCACTCACTGACATTTGGGCCGAAGGGTAGCTTAGTGGTTAAAGCGTCGGCTCGTCATGCCGAAGACCCGGGTTCGATTCCCTAAAGGGGTACAATGTTTGAAGCCCATTTCTTGTGTCCTATTGCTGGAATATTGCTAAACGCGGCGTAAAACCATACTCACTCACTCACTCAACTTGCTCACTACCATAAATGGTATAAACCCTTATGGGGTGTTTCCACTCCCAATACAACCAACATTGAACAACTCTCATGTCTATGCATGTCCACATTGCAGACAATCACCGCTCTCATGGAAAGGATTCTGAGCTCCCCTTCTTCATCCCAGAAGAAACCTACCCCTGCCCCATCACTGATGGCTATTACCCCCACAAGAAGAACTGCTCCGTGTACTTCCGCTGTACCCAGGGTAAATCCACCCGCTTCGCGTGCAACCCGGGAACGTTCTACAACCCCAGTATATTCGGGTGTTCCTGGCCGGATCAGGTGCGGGACTGCGACAGTGAAGGCAATAGAAGGCCACTGGTCAAGCGGAGGAGGAGAAGTATTTTCTCTGCACCTGGACAGAAGGATGGTGAGCAACCTCATGTTAGGCAGTGACGATCCGGGGTAGAAAAGGTCTTCAACAACCCATGCTTGCCGTAAGAGGCGACTATGCTTGTAAGAGGCGACTCACGGGATCCGGTGGTCATGCTCGCTTGGTTGATGCATGTCATCGTGTCCCAATTGCGTGGATCGGTGCTCATGATGTCAATCACTGGATTGTCTGGTCAATACTCAGTTATTTACAAACCGCCGTCATATAGCTGGAATATTGCTGAGTGCGGCGTTAAACAACAAACAAATGTTTAACTTCGCCCCGATTATGTTTCTAGTTTTGTCAGCACCATACCCGTGCTCGTGGGTTTCACCGAAGTGGTAAATTTCTGAGACCTGCATCACTTCGGGCTTTCCTCCCACAATAAGCTGACACACCGTGATATAACTGTTAAAAGTTAAAATGTTAAACCCAACTCACTCACTCCTTTGTTCAGAGAAAGAATGTCGGAAGTTTAGTCCTTAAGGTCAGTTGAATTCGACATGCAATCGCCATTTATCACTAGGGTACTCTGTAGATGCTTATAGTGCATATGACCAGCCTATGACCAGCCTATGACCAGCCTATTGTCGACGGTGGACTTGTTCTCAAGGTCATATTGACAGTGATTTGACAAGGTCAATGTCAACTGTGTGGGCATGCTCCGTATCTATCATCAGTTCAGTACGCGCCTGTCAGACGCACTCGGCCATCTTTGTTCAGTCAAATATGTTTATTCAACAAATATTTGAAACTTGCCAACTGTAAACACACGTAATTGGAGCTGTACGTGTTGTGTTTGGGGACGTTAATGGAGCTTGATTGTTAATATGGGTCAGTCTCCAGTGACTAATACTGGCCAACCGTCAACAAGTTTTGTTGATGTAAGACCTAGCATAATATTTGATAATTACTTGACCACATCGTCCTCTCAAGCACAATACGCTGGTCATCACAACGACGCCAAGTCTGAATAAATTGTTTATCAGGAAATATTGACAAAACTATCAGAGCTGTTTCCCATTTTATGTTCAATGTTACAGATATGAATACTAATAAATACACTTATTGATATCACACAATCTAATCAATATCGATGTATGTTTAGATATAAATATATTGAAATCGAAATCATTCCGCAGTAAATAATTAATATTGCTAAATATTGCTAAAAGCGGCGTAAAACCATACTCACTCTCTCAGTAAATAAGTAACAGGTCAAAAAGATATACATATCGTGTATTAAACGTATATATTAGTTTACGTGTGTTTTGGAATTATCCATGAAAGATTCCACGAGCTTTTTCCATGTAATTATAAATATGTTTTTTTATACAAATAGTTATTTCATAATGTAAAATCGGATTTGTGATATCAATCATATCAATATTGATATCATAAATCAGGGACTAAGTAGTAAACCGGTGCTCATCCATAACACGGTCACATTGGGCAGCACAGAGTAATTATACTTCTTCTTTTTTAAACATATACAGTAAACTACGTTTATAACGAACACGCTTATAACGAACTGACGGATATAACGAACTTACTTTTTTGTCCCGACTATTTGCTGTAGTTTTGCTGTATATATGCATATATCGAACTACGGCTACAACGAACTCAAATTAGTGGTCCCTTTGAGTTCGTTATAACCTTAGTTTACTGTACATCTACTGATAACACATTTACTGTATTTACGAATGCAGTGAAGGGTAAAGTAAGGCCATACGTAGCTTTCAGTTAATCATTGATATCCATGATTGTCATCTATGTTCATAACAGCACGTTGTGATTCGTATATTTTTTATTTGAATGATTGGTTTAAAATATGATTCTTTTCATGTAACAAGTGTTTGTGTTCTAAACGCAATGAAGATGCTCGTGATGTCAATCAATGAATTTTCTGGTCTAAACTTGCTTATTAATAGAGCGCGCAGCCAAAATAGTCTGCAAACAAACAAACATGGCGGAACATTGTAAACTCGAACTATTAACGCACTACATCGTTTAATACGAATTATATCATGGTTGAACTTGAATCCTTATATGCACTTATGTCTTATCTTGGCACTTTTCTCGTCTAAAACTGCAAAAAGTTGTATAAAATTTAATTCCATATATACAGTAAACAACGGTTATAACGAACAAGCTTATAACGAACTGTCGGATATTTTTTTGTGGTCCCAGCCATTTGCTTTTTATATTCTGTATATATTCTTATAACGAACTACGGTTATAACGAACTAAAATTAGCCGTCCCTTGGAGTTCGTTTTAACCATAGTGTACTGTAGTTCGAATTATCCCTAAGAGTAACAGTTAGGCGACTAACGGGTGGTCAGGCTCGCTGACTTGGTTGATGCATGTCATCGTATCCCAATTGCGTGGATCGATGCTCATGATAGCAGTCACTGGATTGTCTGGTCCAGACTCGATTATTTACAGATCGCCGTCATATAGATGGAATACTGCGGCGTTAAACAAAAACACAAAAAAAAAAAAAAAAATCAATCGCTATAAAATAGTGCTGATACAAATGTTCACGAAAAGGTGGGCGTGCCCTGCCCCACCCGTGTCAGTTTCTGAACAAGTCCCTCATATATTGCTCTATATCGACAGCACCCCTCAAAGGGTACCGATGCCCCTTCATGGACGGGTATTACCGCCACCCCAACGACTGCACCTCCTACTACTGGTGTGTCGGCCGGAAGCCCACCAAGTACAGCTGCGCCAATGGGACTTTCTTCAACCCCAAGATGAAGCTGTGCACCTGGCCTTCTCAAGTGACCGACTGTGACCTGGACGGTTCCCGGATTTCCCACAGCCCCTACCAGTCCAGTGAGTACATGTTCAATTACCGGCATCTTCCCGAGGCAAGAGAGTTAACTGACTTTAAAAGTCCAGTTTCCACCCTTGCCGAACTAGGCTGGTATTATGGAGTTAATTTTGGCTGGACTAACGAGTCTATGCATAGTCCAATCAAAATCGCGCACCGAAATCGAAATCCGGTTCGTAGAGTGTCATGCAGATTTCGGTCGACTGCAGGATTTGCAAAGCATGTGCACCGCTAACTCGTTGTCAACGGATATTTTCTAAATCTTTTCATGTTTTTAATCAAGGTGCTCGCGTGATTTGATGCACTTCGCGATGTAAGACTCGTTTTATCACAATATAGATCTTGATTATCGATCAGATCGTCTTGACTGGGCGCCACCGTTTCGTTTGAAACAAATGCAAGTGATACGAGAGGTTGAATCTGATTGGTCAATAGGAGAGGCGTAGAAAGGACATAACTCGTAATAGCCACTGGTGGCGCTACGATCGAGCCCATGAATTCAAGCCTAGTTCGGCAAGGGTGGAAACTGGACATTTAAAGTCAGTTAACTCTCTTGCCTCGGGAAGATGATTATCGGAGGTGGTGAATGAATGTTCTTTAACGCCGCCGTCAGCACTGTTTCGCTGCATCGTGGCGACCTGACAACTTTGACTACTCATGGCACCAGTGATCGCATCCATCGAGACCGAGGACATGCAATCAGACAGTTCGCATCACCAGAGTTTGACCATCAGATCCTTTTGTCGGCTCTAACATTACGGGAAATTGGAGGCCTGTTCTGCCCGGAAATCTTATTTGGGGTTGTGAAACGATGAACATTTCAATATTTTCATGACAAAGCTGAAGACAAGGTTATTCATTTCACGATTACATAAAACGTCAATGCTAGAGAATAACCAGTCTCGATTATCAGACGAAACGGATTCCCTTGGGCGTACAAGGCAAAATTGCAGTGGAAATTATATGAATGGTTCACTGTTCGTGTTGCACTGATCACTTATCAATGGGGCGGTCGGATAGCCTAGTGGTTAAAGCGTTCGCTCGTCACGCCGAAGACTCGGGTTCAATTCCCGACATGGGTACAATGTGTGAAGCCCATTTCTGGTGTCCCCCGCCGTGATATTGCTGGAATATTGCTAAAAGCGGCGTAAAATCATAATCACTCACTTATCAATGATAACTGTTCACTGTTCATGATCAAATATCAATCTTCATTTTTCTTTTTGCAATCGAATCAGGTAACATTACCACTACTTGTGGAAATAACATTACAAGCAGTTCATTGTAATCATTCTATGTCAGTGGCTAGAGCAAGCCAAGCTGCAGACACAAACATTATAAGGCCAATGGCTAACAACGCCACGTCTATATGTACTAGGACATTAAGGAGGTCAACATGCTCTGTTTTCAATGTAGACCTAGGTTACCTGTGCATTTAAACGCGCTCAATTGAATTTGGAACCGAAAGCAAAGCACTGAAATGATATGACGTCACACTCGTATATAGAAAAACGCCAAATTCCAAGCTCTCAGTTGTCCCCAAAACTTAAAATCAATTCTCTTTGTAGATTTCTATCGTGTTTTCTGCACGCAATGTGTTGCTACACATCCTTTGAAGATTAAAGTAACCACAACGTTGCATTTTGTACTCTACAATATAATTATTTAAGTATGCCTAAAGTACTTAAGTACTATTCTATGGATATTATCTTCCGCGGTGATGTTTCAATCAGAGGGGGTTTATTGTGATTTAACAATCTCTGACTGACCAATCAGAATCGAGTAATTTCCAAATTCATTGTAGAATTGTTATTATCAACTGTCTTCATCTGCCTTGCAGGAGTAAAGGAATTCATGTGTCCCCGTGAAGACGGCTATTACAGACATCCCACTGACTGCGCCTCCTACTTCCGGTGCAATGAGAGGAAGTTGACCGCTTACAAGTGCACCCCGGGAACTCTGTTTGATGCCAAGAACAGCGTATGTGCCTGGCCATCTCAGGTCCACGACTGTACGGAGACTGGGGAAGTGATCGCCAGCTCCTTCATCAACACGCCCCAGAGACAAGCCAACGTGGACGGAAAGACGGACAAGAACTCTACCGCAACAACCACAGCTACATATAGCCGCACAAATAAAACAAAAGAAGAGACGACATTCCAGACACTGCCTACCAAAACCACACCTGCACCTGCTACGACTACTCCGACGACTGGAAAGGCCAGAAGCACCACAGCTAAGACAACGAAGAATGTTACAAGCCGGGTTAAAACCAAGGTTACAAGCAGGGTTACAAACATGGCCACAAGCAGGGCCACAAGCAAGGCTGAGACGTCAGGAACTACATCTACAACGGAGGCTACGACTGCAAGTCAGAATGCATCTACATCAACCACAACGGCTCCTTCGACTTCAACAACATCTGCTCCAACAACAAAGACGCCGAAGGTTACACAGCGTCATTCTGCCAATGATGGTTTCGGTCACGTCATCAACACTGATAGTAAAGGCAGTGATACGTACAAATTTGGAAGTAAGTTTCATGTTTCTATTTAGTGGAATAACAACGGTTTGTTTTGTGCGTCTTCCATCAACCGCTGTAATTTATCTCCATTCTATTATGGGACCACCTCCGTGGTCTAGTGGTAGAGCGTCCGCCTGGAAAGCGGGAGGTCCGGGGTTCGATCCCCGGCCGCGTCATACCAAAAGACGTTGTTGTTACCCTGTCTGGTGCTCGGCATAAAGGGGCTAAAACAAGGACTGGTCGGCTCGGAGTCAGTATACTGTGTCTGAGTGGGGTATTCATGTTAAACTACGGTATGGTATCTCAGTGAGCTAGCACTATAAATCGGCATTAGTCCGGACTAGTACAAACAGCCGCACACACACACATCGCTATATAAGTGCAATAATCTTGGACGCGACGTTAAACCCAATTTCACCTCAACCATTCTGTTATGATAAATGTCCTGCACCAAACTACGTTTCGGAAGGGACGACTCTCCTATCTCTAACTTAGCACAGGATTTCTGTCGCCCATGACATTAATTTCATTGGTCGGTTATTTATAGAAACATATGGCGAAACAGTACTATTTATAGAAACGAATGGAGCTATAATACACTGGTTAATCAAGAATGTGGCTTGGGGTACGCTGGTTCCAGAACATTTGATTTTAAAAGTTTAACATACCGAACTTATATTCATCTTTACACCATTTCTGGTGTCCCCCTACATGATATTGCTGGAATATTTCTAAAACCACAGTGTTGCGTCCCTTGGGCATGCCAGAAACCTATGATTGTGGGTTCGAATCCCGGTTCGCCCCGATTATGTTTCAAGGTTTGTCAGCAACATACCTGTGCTCGTGGGTTTCACCAAAGTGGTAAACGTCTGAGACCTGCATCACTTCGGGCTTTCCTCCCACATTAAGCTGACACGCCGTGATATAACTGGAATAATGTTAAAAGCGGCGTTAAACCCAACTCTCTCACTCGCTCAATCTAATACTACCTCATTCCCTCTAACGACTTATGATAATAAGGTGCCTGTTTTATAGCATCAACATTGCTGTATTTCAGCGAGTGTCCAGTCGCCATTTGCCTGCCCCGACAATGAAGGTTACTTCTCCGACATGGAGGATTGCGCGTCTTACTACCACTGTGAGCACGGCGTTCCCTACAAGAAGGAGTGTGGCGTGGGGGACTTCTACTCGCCCCTCAGCCAGACGTGTATCCCCGGCCACCTCGTCCCCGACTGCAACTACGACGACGACACACCAGAAGACACAACCTACCCTGAGTGGACCAAGGACTATTACAAAAGCTGTGAGTATTTATCGTCGATCTAAGTTGACAAATAGTGTTGGCGTATGTGGAGGTATAAAAGTTTGTTTGTTTGTTGTTTAACGCCGCACTCAGCAATATTTCAGCTATATTACCGCGGTCTGTAAATAATCGAGTCTGGTCCAGACAATCCAGTGATTGACATCATGAACATCGATCTACGCAATTGGGATACTAAGTCAGCGAGTCTGACCACCCGATCATGTTAGTCGCCTCTTAAGCATAATCGCCTTTTACCTTTTACGGCAATCATGGGTTGCGGAAGACCTATACTACCCCGGATCTTCACGGGTCTGGTATAAAAGTAAACATCGTCGTACATTCTGTGTAAATCCGCGGATGTTTACACAGGTTTTATTCCCCCATAATAGCCAAAACATATTGAAGTCAATTCTTAAATAATTAAGTAATCATAACTTCACATACTGTTTATTTTAATATTTATTCATTAACACTAAACACTGAAGACAGAAATACGAAATCAGTGACGTCCATCAGCGCAATAATGCAAGTCCCGCCTACACTGTATTAGCCAATAAGGAAGCAGTCGACAGGTAGTAGGCGTGGCTTAATTATTTTTCGGTTTATTGGAACATTAACCACAAAACTTGGTCATCCAATCAAATATTCTGTTATCATACCCCACGTAATCATAATATCGCGAAATGTCATAACTTACATTGTAAGTAAAACGTGTTAATTCTGATTATCCGATTTAATTTAAAGCAATACTGTTCCAATTCTAGACACCAGCGACTTTGAATGCCCCGATCTTCATGGCTACTTCGCCGACGACGTCGACTGCACAGGCTACTACGAATGCATCAACGGTAATGCCTACCACAGGAAATGTAACGCCGGCACCTACTTTGACGAAAAGAAGGAGAAGTGCACGTGGGACCAGGTCAGCGAGAAGTGTCCATCAGCGGTCAAGGAGGACGCGGTCAAGGAGACACTGGGCAGTGAGTAGACACAACACTCAATATTGATAGAGGGCTAACTGAACATTTAAAAAAAATGAAACCCATTGCCTATTTCTTAATCAAATGGACTATGTGTTCACAAAGATTGTTAACCTCGCTCATGCAAATTACAAGGTAGGATATGAGCCCATTCTGGCCACATTGTTTTTCGATCTGACAAATCAAATGTTATGTAAGTAGCGAGTGGTCGCAAACTATTTGTCTTACTTCATCACACCAACTTCTAAATGCCACTTAAAGAAGGCAAACTAGTTATCAAGCCATTTCAACGTGGGTAAGACGGTCTTGTAGGAAAAGAATATTCAGACTCTTGGAAAAAAGAGTTGGGTGATGTTTTTAAGTCTTTAAGTATTTTTTATAAAATGACCTTGTTCATATTGTGATAAGTCTAAAACTTGCAAGTGATGAGAAAAATTAAGACTATGTGAATGTTCGCGATATTATTTTAAACTAATAACATTTCTGACATTAGAGCAATAGGTTCCAGTAGGTCATATGGCCCTTATCATGTTTCGTACATTGTTTCGTCCTGATATCGTTGTACAGTGTAGTGTATAGCATTTATTTATTGGTGTATGTTTGCCTAACAAATCATAAATACAAAGTGTACTGGGAAAGGACATGCATATTTGACAACAGGTTCCCGATAGATCTGATACAAAAATATTTCGATTTGTTTTCACCCCATTCCCTTAACATAATAAAATGCCGGGAAAAATATTTTTTTAAGTATACCATGTTTGATGGTGGCTAAAAATGAAACAAACAAGAAATGGTTTTTCGATATATTTTTTTACATATTTGACACGGGTGTCAGTTTTCAGTGTTTCGTAGACTGTTTTCAGCCTACAAACGTTTTGATAACGTTTGTAACCTTTTTTCAAATCCAATGTCAAATTGCATACTTTCTTTTGCCCGTCAGTATATTAAATGATTGTAGAATTCCAAGTTTGTAAAAGGGATCGGAATCTGAGTTAAATACGCAGTCGTTTCCCAAACTGGGATTTTTGTGAAAAGGTAATTGGTGCACATGAGGTAACATATATAATGTTGGATATTCATATTTATAATAATCGATAAATATGCAATGCTTTTTGGTAACGTTGCCATGGTGACAAATATAACATTGCCATGTACACATAACAAGTTATCGATGTTGTGATCTAATATTTATTTCAGAATGTATGCGTATAAGAATAGAACTATAACAGAAGTGTCACTAATATATATTATTCGTTTTATTTAAAGAAATGATGAAATCGGGACCATTTGTTTGCCCGAGCCGAGAGGGATATTTTCGGGACCCCAAAACCTGTACAATGTTCTATGAATGTAAAGAGGGTGTTCCCAAGTCTAAATCGTGTGGTCCCGAAACTTTGTTTGATGATAAGAAGAAGAAATGCACGTGGCCCGAGCTGGTCCCCGACTGCGACGTGTACGGGAGGGTCATCCCCAGCGATCAGACTCTCTTCAGTAACAAGGAGCCGCAACAGCTTGAAAGTACGTCGTCGTTAGACGTAGACGTAGACGTAGTGCACAGTGATGTAGTGTTAGAACAGATAGATAGGTGCTGCTTAAGGCGACAGGAGGCGAAGACGCAGTAGTACTACTAATGTGAATGTAGAAGTAGTAGTAGTAGTAGTAGTAGTAGTAGTAGTAGTAGTAGTAGATGAAGAAGAAGAAGAAGAAGAAGTAGAAACATTGTTATTATTAGAAGTTGTTGTAGTGGCGATAGCAAAGTGCTATTAATGTGAATGTAGTAGAAGAAGTAGCAACATTGCTTTTGTTATTATTATCATTATTGTTGTTATTATTATTATTGGGGCGGTCGGGTAGCCATGTGGTTAAAGCGTTCGCTCGTCACGCCGAAGACCCGGGTTCGATTCCCAACATGGGTACAATGTGTGAAGCCCATTTCTGGTGTCCCCCGCCGTGATATTGCTGGAATATTGCTAAAAGCGGCGTAAAACCAAACTCACTCACTCACTCACTGTAGTGGAGATACCAAAGTCAATAGAAACTAGAAGTAGTAGTAGGAACAGCAGCAGCAGCAGTAGTAGTAGTAGTAATAGTGGTGGTAGTAGTAGTAGTAGTAGTGGTAGTAGTAGTAGTAGTTGTAGTGGTAGTAGTAGTAGTAGTAGTAGTAGTAGTAGTAGTAGTAGTAGTAGTAGTAGCAGTAGTAGAGATCCACAATGGCACTTCAAGTATATTCCTATACCTATGGATGTCACAAGTAAGGGCACGGAGTTCAAACGAGATGGAACAAATCAATAACCTGCACTTAAACTAAGTATTGAAACTGTGGCGTTGTCGTATTCGTAGACGGAGAATTGAATGTAGTCACAGCGGTAGTTGTAGGCCGACCAGTTTCAACCAGGAACGCACTAGCGACAGCATTTACAACGTTTGTTTTGGGTTGTTGTTTAACGCAGCTATATGGCGGTGGTCTGTAAATAATCGAGTCTGGAAAAGAAAATCCAGTGATTGATATCATGAGCAACGATCCACGCAATTGGGATACGATGACATGCATCAACCAAGTCAGCGAGCCTGACCACCCGATCCCGTTAGTAAACCTCTAACAACAAGCATAGTTGCCTTTTACGGCAAGCATACATTCACAACAATGCGGTATTCCGAATATGCTTTAAGTGTAACATTGTACTTGTAGCTTTTGTTTCATCATGTGTGTATCTGTTTGTTTTTTTGCAAATAACCATGTTCACAAAATATCAAATTTGCAATTTGATATATTGTAGCCTTTCGGATAGCAGGTAACTAAAGATCATTTACCGTAAACAAACTGGTGATGAGGAAGCTCGGTGCGGGATGAGGGATGGTGTATGTGATACAACCTTAAACCATGTTCATGTCATTGAGATGCTTGGTGATTGTTGGCTCAGGGTGTTCTTTCTACTGGTTGGTTTACAATATACCGTCAAACTATAACCACTATCATTAACACCATTCGTTCTAAAAATAATATAAACTTTGTAACTTTTTCGTTACCGACAAATAACCTTTTTCATGTGAATCCCAATTCCAGAAAATCCCAATGGTTTTGCCTGTCCGTTGCCCAGTGGTCATTTCCGTGACCCCCGTGATTGTTCTATATTCTACCACTGCGTGAAGAGCGTGGCGTACCGTGGCAAGTGTGTTAACAACCACGTGTTTGACCTGGAAGCATTGAAATGCGTTGACCCGGAACTGGTTCCTGGCTGTGACGTGGCCCCGAAGGTTCCCCTGATTGAAGCGACAACTGAAGGTAGAATTGATCATAATTCATAATTGTCTTATTGTCTCAATATTAACAAACTTCACACATGCATACTCAAAGCCTGTCATATATTATAAGCCATGTCAACGAATCGGTGTGCATTTAAATTTTATTCCCATCTCCCTAGGGGGTATACAACCCAAGTATGTTCTGTTGTCTCGTTAGGGGTTTAGTAAACTATGAACTTTGATTCATCGAAATGAATTGACACAAACCCTGAGCACGATACTTCATCATTTCGCAAATAAATCTTAATTCTGTATTTTCATTGTTGTATCTACAAGATAGGAGGTTAGTGATAGATTCACAGGTGTCGAATCAATGTCCTCTCTATTAAGAACATTTGGGCATTTTTAAAGCTCGTATATAATCGAACTTTCTTGATCCAAACGATCTCCAAATTGTTAACCGTCTAATACATGCATCACTTCGTGCTTTCTTCCCACATAAGTCTGAAAGTACGATATTGTTGAAATACAAAGCATCCTCGATTATCCAGAGTACTATATGCCATTCTGTTACGACAAATACCCTTGACCCTTCCGCAAGAACACCTTCGTGTCGGAGGTGACGTCCTATCTACATCTCTCCTACCAACCTAGCGCAGGACTTCTCTCGCTCATAAGAGTAATTTGATGGACGGCTATTTTACCGCCATGCCATTCGAATCGGGCTCAATAAGAAGCTATGGTGGGTGAGTGAGTTGGGTTTAACGCCGCTTTTAACAGTATTATAGTTACATAACGGCGTGTCAGCTTAATGTTGGACGAAAACCCGAAGTGCAGGTCGCAGGCGTTTACCACTTCAAGAAACCGACGAACACTGGCATGGTGCTGACAAACCTAGAAACATAATCGGAGCGAACCGGGATTTGAACCCACGATCATAGGTTTCTGCGTGCCCAAGGGACGCAACTCTGCATAGCGAATCGCGGCGCCTTAAACGACTGGCCCGCCGTGGCCACAGTTATGGTAGGAAACCGTAATTATCATAATTGAATGGTGATATAATACACTGTATAATCGGGTATGTGTTCAAAGCTCAAACTTATCATCTGTCTGGCGATGAAAAGCTATACATGAAATAAAAGAGACAAAAAAACAGTTCCATACTCATAAAAAATCTATTAATAGTGATGATACCATGTGTTCGCAAAAAGGCGAGAGTGTATCATAAGCATGTGCTTATGAATCATTATCTAATGGTGATGATACCATGTGTTCGCAAAAAGGCGAGAGTGTATCATAAGCATGTGCTTATGAATCATTATCTAATGGTGATGATACCATGTGTTCGCGAAAAGGCGAGAGTGTATCATAAGCATGTGCTTATGAATCATTATCTAATGGTGATGATACCATGTGTTCGCGAAAAGGCGAGAGTGTATCATAAGCATGTGCTTATGAATCATTATCTAATGGTGATGATACCATGTGTTCGCGAAAAGGTGAGAGTGTATCATAAGCATGTGGTTATGAATCATTATCTAATGGTGATGATACCATGTGTTCGCGAAAAGGTGAGAGTGTATCATAAGCATGTGCTTATGAATCATTATCTAATGGTGATGATACCATGTGTTCGCGAAAAGGCGAGAGTGTATCATAAGCATGTGCTTATGAATCATTATCTAATGGTGATGATACCATGTGTTCGCGAAAAGGCGAGAGTGTATCATAAGCATGTGCTTATGAATCATTATCTAATGGTGATGATACCATGTGTTCGCGAAAAGGCGAGAGTGTATCATAAGCATGTGCTTATGAATCATTATCTAATGGTGATGATACCATGTGTTCGCGAAAAGGCGAGAGTGTATCATAAGCATGTGCTTATGAATCACTATGTAATAGTGATGATACCATGTGTTCGCGAAAAGGCGAGAGTGTATCATAAGCATGTGCTTATGAATCATTATCTAATGGTGATGATACCATGTGTTCGCGAAAAGGCGAGAGTGTATCATAAGCATGTGCTTATGAATCATTATCTAATGGTGATGATACCATGTGTTCGCGAAAAGGCGAGAGTGTATCATAAGCATGTGCTTATGAATCATTATCTAATGGTGATGATACCATGTGTTCGCGAAAAGGCGAGAGTGTATCAAAAGCATGTGCTTATGAATCATTATGTAATAGTGATGATACCATGTGTTCGCGAAAAGGCGAGAGTGTATCATAAGCATGTGCTTATGAATCATTATCTAATGGTGATGATACCATGTGTTCGCGAAAAGGCGAGAGTGTATCAAAAGCATGTGCTTATGAATCACTATGTAATAGTGATGATACCATGTGTTCGCGAAAAGGTGAGAGTGTATCATAAGCATGTGCTTATGAATCACTATGTAATAGTGATGATACCATGTGTTCGCGAAAAGGCGAGAGTGTCCTGAACCAATCCAAGGAAAACGACAACATTTCGAACTTATTACGACATTCCTTTCCCAGAAACCGCCCACTTTGACTGTCCAAGCGATGGCTACTTCCGGGAGAAGTCCGACTGCTCTGTGTACTACCACTGTAAAGATGGCGTCTACTTCCGGCATGAGTGTAAACCCAATACAGTGTTCAGTCAGGAGAAGGGTCTCTGCACCTGGCCTCACCTGGTGCCCGGATGTGAGGAGAAGAATGACGCCCCAACAGTCCAAGTTACGTCAGAGAGTATGTCTGAAGTTGCGCCACCAGCCGAAGGTGAGTCGAGTGATGGCATTATATGTATAATAGTGTTTAAGTTTCTCAGATTATGTTTTGTGTTTAGATACAGCTTCTCTGTGAATGTGTTCTGTGTAAAATGTCCTGTCTCTGATAATCAGCTGTCGTTTTTGTTATATGTCGATAAGATATGATGTTCTTGAGACATGAATTGGCAGCACTCCCGTAGGCATTCCGGGCGGTCGGGTAGCCTAGTGGTTAAAGCCTTCGCTCGCCACGCCGAAGACCCGGGTTCGATTCCCGACATGGGTACAATGTGTGAAGCCCATTTCTGATGTCCCCCGCCGTGATATTGCTTGAATATTGCTAAAAGCGGCGTAAAACCATACTCACTCACTCACCGTAGGCATTCCGGGTTAGAGTTGGCCCCACCAACCTCGGCAGGTCGTAAGTGGCCGCCAAATTACCTGGGTGGTCAGGATTGGTGACCTGGTTGATTGTGTGTCATCGTACCCCAACGGCGTTACCGTTGCTCACAATATCAACTGGGTTGTCTGATCCGGACTTGGTTATTTAGTCCACCGTCATATAGCTGGAATACTGCTGAGTGCAACAAACAAACAAACAAACAAACAAACAAACAAACACGTTGTCAGGATGTGTATCTGTACCGGCAGTACTTGAGTTACTTTCATCGATGGGATACGGGTGGCCGATTGGCCGAAGGTGTATCAATTCGATGCGCAGAGTTGCATAATTTAGCTGTCTTTTTGCAACTATCGAGGGTTCGAATCCCTTTTTTAGTTCTATAACGTCCAAGATACGCGCATAAGTTCGTTCTGATATGTGCAATTTGTGCCTGTAAAAGAATTTGAAAATTATAATTTTCAAACATTTATATAACAAGTGATTTAAATGAATTGTTGCGTAGCATGTGGAAATTGTTGTACTATGTTGTTCTGTACAGTTGTTCACAGCTGTGCGTTGTTGTGTACTGTTGTGTTGTTGTATGTGATGTCGTGTCTGTACGGCTTGTAGCACAAGAGCCTGGCAGTGACTATGAGTTTGGGGAATCGGTTGAGAAAGGTGAGTCTTGACACTGAAGTTTCGCCATTTACGTCACAACTCTACTACTGCCGTTGGGACCACGTGTTGTTAACACAATAACGTGTCTGTCTCGTTTACCTCGTCTATGTAACAGAATAGTTGATTGAACAATACGAGTGGAAAAGGAATTTTCTCCATTTATTACATTATGTTGCAAAAGAATCGTAGTGCAAGAGGGAGATTTCGTCCCTCTTTACTCACCTCTATCTTTTTCTATTTCTTACGACCTCAAAGAATGTTGGTTTTAACTTAGTCTACCCAGCCTTCCCAGCCTCACCCACCATAATTGTTACATCACTGTTCTGTGTGCACGTCATTAACCACACAGCGAAATCTGTAACTGCGGTTTCTGTAACACGATATGCGTAAAGAATGTGTCATGCTGCGTTGAAGACCTTCTCAGATAGACTTGTTAACGGTTGCACATGCGTTGCGCCATCTTTATTATATTTAATGACGGGTACTTTTTACGATATAACTCAATGCTTTTCATCCAGTAACTGTTTTGATATTGTGACACTGATTACATCACTGTGTAGAAACCGAGAATAAGCAGAGCATAAGTAATACCGGCGCGTCGGAGCAAGGTAAGAGAGGTGACTGGTCATATATTGTATATTGACCGAGGTGTGGTCACATAACATATATTGACCGAGGTGACTGGTCATATAACCTATAATACCGGAGTTGAATGAATGATTGTTTGTTTGTTTGTTTGCTTGTTGTTTAACGCCGCACTCAGCAATATTCCAGCTATATGACGGCGTTCTGTAAATAATCGAGTCTGGACCAGACAATCCAGTGATTGACATCATGAGCATCGATCCATGAAAATGGGATACGGTGACATGCATCAAACAAGTCAGCTAGGCTGACCACCCGATCCCGTCAGTCGCCTATTACGGCAAGCATCAGTTGCTGAAGACCTATTCTACCCCGTATCTTCACCTGTGGAATGAGTGATTGTAGTCTGAGTGAGTGAGAGTATTGTTTTACGCCGCTATTAGCAATATTCCAGCAATATCACGGCGGGGGACACCAGAAATGGGCGAGCGAACGCTTTAACCACTAGGCTACCCGACCGCCCCTTGTAGTCTTGGAAAAAACTTCCTATCCGTTTTTTTCATTGCTAATAAGGTCAGTTAGGCGGACTACTAATTCAAATCTAATCTCCTGCAAGTTTAGTTACAAACAGTGAAACTCCGTTAAGCTGGGCGCCAGACTTCCCAGTAATATCGTTCGGTTTACCAAATGTATGGATAAACGAGTCGTGGGTTTGTTTATGTAGAAGGAATAAATCTCCCGAAGGCGGGTGTTTAGGATCACCGGGGTGAGAAATAAGGAATTTAACTGTATTTCAAATATATTTCATATAGTTAATCGTCATTTGAATTAGAAGAATTTCATCTAATGCTACGTGGGTTATTGCCAGGGAGAATTTTCACAGAAACAGTATCGCGAACACTTCTAGTCAGACTATACATTTATTAAAATGTCCACCTTTTCTCATAGAGTGAGTGAGTGAGTTGGGTTTAACGCTGCTTTTAACAGTATTCCAGTTATATCACGGCGTGTCAGCTTAATGTGAGAGGAAAGCCCGAACTGATGCAGGTCTCAGACGTTTACCACTTCGGTGAAACCCACGAGTACGGGTATGGTGCTGACAAACCTAGAAACATAATCGGGGAGAACCGGGATTCGAACCCACAATAATAGGTTTCTGGCGTGCCCAAGGGACGCAACTCTGCACAGCGAATCGCGGCGCCTTAGACGACTGGGCCACCCGTGCCCCCTTTTTCTCATATAGACACCGTGCATATAGTGCCTTGTTCCAGACAATATATAGTCGCGATAAGAGCTACTAGTCCGTCTAAGTGAGTGGGTATGGTTATACACCGCTTTAGCAATATTCCAGCAAATTCACATCGGGGGACATTAGGAATGAGCTTCACACATTGTACCCATGTGGGGAATCGAACCCGGGTCTTCGGCGTGACGAGCGAACGCTTTAACCACTAGGCTACCCCACCGCCCCTCTAGTCTGATCAGACACAGGTTTTAATGAGATCTGTGAAACACTTTGATTTGGAAATCAGGACAAAAGACGTACACAAAATGAAAGTTTAAAGCGATGTTTCTATCAGGACGAGTGTGGTATCTGGGGATCCAGGGTCGGGAGGGGATGCTGAGTTGTGTTCTAGTTTGGTTGAGGGAAATTGTTCATGGTATATGGCATATGCTTCTGGTGGCTCATCCTAATCATTGTGCCAGAGGTTTTGGTATTGTCCGAAAATCTCCTCCCTGGAACTCTTTATTTGAATCGAGATTCATGTCGAGTACGACTTCAGCCCACTTACACTCCAACCTTCATCTTAACACTGAAGTGAGTGAGTATGGTTTTGCGCCGCTTTTTGGCATTTTTTAGCAATATCACGGCGGATGACACCAGAAATGGGCTTCAGACAATGTACCCATGTCGGGAATCGAACCCGGGTCTTCGGCGTGACGAGCGAACGCTTTAACCACTAGGCTTCCCGACCGCCCCTCTTTCCACTGAAATCAGACTATTACTATTCATGTCAATATGTTCATTTTCTGGCCCACGTGTCCTTACCGTTCTTGGGAAAACATTATATTTGCCCAACCATGAGATAAGGGAACTTATGGGTGAAAAAAATCACATTTTGACTTCTTATTATATTTTAAAACTAAAAGAAATCATAAGCTGCAGTTCATATTGGCAGAGATACATGGCATCAAATATGTTCTGCAAAGTCCCATTTACAGACGCATAACTGTTTCTGTGATGATTGCAGTTTTTATATGTAATGCCTGATTAACTGAACGTTGACATGTATGCTGAAATGTTTGGCCATAATGTTTTTATTTCGTTACGAACTAACCAGGGAAAAAATAAAATTGTTTTGTACAGTCAGCACACGAGGCTTTCTGTCCGGAAGTACGTTGGCGTCAAGCGTCTTTCTTTATGACATCTCAGTACAATTGTGTGTCTCTCGCTTATCTGCTGATACCATTGGTGGTTAATTCTCACAAGGAATTATTTAAACTCTATTGCATGCAATGGTGGATGTTCTCCAGCTACACGACTTTTCTTATCTGACACATCAACAATCGTCATTCTAAATCAGTAGTGAGTGAGTTGGGTTTAACGCCGCTTTTAACAGTATTCCAGTTATATCGCGGCGTGTCAGCTTAATGTTGGAGGACAACCCGAAGTGATGCAGGTCTCAGACGTTCGGTGAAACCCACGAGCACGGGTATGGTGCTGACAAACCTAGAAACATAATCAAGGCGAACAGGTTTCGAACCCCCAATTCTGGCGTGCCCAAGGGACGTAATCTCCGCGAATCGCGGCGCCTTAGACGACTGGGCCACCCGTGCCCCTTCTAAATCAATAACCACGGTAATCTGAGTCATCTAAGGCGCTGCAATTCGCAGTGCAGAGTTGCGTCCCTTAGGCATACCAGGAGGCTGTGATCATGGTTCGAATCCTAGTTCGCCCTGATCATGTATTTGGGTTTGTCAGCACCATTCGTTGGTCGTGGGTAACCATCAAATGCCAGCATCACTTAGGGCTTTCTTCCAACATCAAGCTGACATGCCGTGGTGTAACCGAAACACTGGTTAAATGGCTGAAACCCAACTTGCTCATTTCAAAAATACATGTTTGCAACATGTGATGGTATGACGATACCCTGAATGAGTATTTCAGGTATACATTGTATATAAGTATTCGAGTATGTAAGAGTGTTCTTGGTATCTAAGAATATTCGAGGTATCTAAAGTATTCGAGGTATCTAAGGGTATTCGAGATATCTAAGGTTGTTTTCCTGTTGTAGCCTCCGGACCAGCTGGTAATGACCAAGAAAAACCAGAGGTTGAGAGTGAAAGTAAGCATTTCGTCCATAATACCATGCTTGTGGCTTGATATTTATGTTGCACACAGTTGAAACTTTAAACTCTTTGTTAACACTAGGGCTAACTTGCAGTAAGCGCTCGTAACACTACAAATACCGTGCACCCCACCATCAGCACTGAAGTAGTTGTAACGCTAAGATCGCTTTGTGCATGTGGCCAAAGATGCTTTTAATTTCAGAGCTTGGAAAATATACTCCTGCTGTGTAGTGAACTGTAAGCGCTAATGTCGATTTGACAGCTATGAATTCATTTCATTCATATCACAAAAACTCCCTTCGTCAACGTTATTTGCTTATTTGGCGTATTTTACTTATTCAGAGACTTGTTGATTCATATGTAAACATGTTGCACACAAACTGGTGCGATGTAAAACAATATGACCATTACCTTTCACGTGTGAAGAACATTTAAAAACACACTTTTTCAATTTACATTCAACATGAAGATATCAAGTTTTGGCAGATGAGTGTAAAAATCAGGACAGCAGTGGTGTGAAACGTCAACCCCCGCGCAGTGCACTACATTCACCCCGCACCACACCTACACATTGCCAATCTCAGGGATTCAATTTAAGCTGCAAGGGATCACCCTCAGCTTATAGTGTTTGTCCGTGGTGTCATTGCTAGGTACACAGAATGCTGCAAGCTTTGTATATATACACACGGCTGTTTGTTGGATAATACATTTAACTACGGCGGCACTGGCAAATACAGTTTCAACAGAAATGTTGATTTTAAGCTATAAACAATCATATTTGTTGTTCTGGTAAAACCAAGTATTGTTCGCTGTCCTCACTCTTTTCTCTCCTGCTGCATGCCCCAGTAATGCATGTACAACTTGACTGTGCTTCTCTTGCCGTTCGTGTTTATGTTCAGGTCTATCATGCAATGTGGTATTTGACACTTTGTTTTACAATAAGAAGAGCATTAAGTCAAACGTTATTGGGTATTTAAAACATTTTGTCATATTTGAACAATGTGGCAGTGCAATATTTGCAAATATAAGGACCTCATGCTCAAGACGGTGGCATGTGTAAGGCGAGCACATGTACTTTGTGTTTTTAGTTTTTGTTTTATACTCTGAATGAATGGGACGAATTTCAAACTGTGCGTCCTACGTATGAAGGAGTATTGTGTGGTAAAGGTCAACAGTAAATGACTGTATTTGTTTTATGTTTGTAACAACAAACTTTTTTTGCATGAAATATATATACAGATTTTCATCTATTTGTATGCATTTGTATGCAGGTTTTCATATCAATTGCTTATTTGAACTCTTTGAAAGTGATGCCAATATAACACATGGCATTTGATTGATCGGTGCATGTTTATTTAGGAGATAAACATACCGTGGTTTGAAATTTGAGGTAGTCTAACAGTAGATTAGATACTTCTTTTTTATTTAGGAACAGAACGCTTTAGCGCATTGTTCAACATGTACAACCTCAACTTTCATAACATTTTATCTACATTCTCCCGTGACGAAATGAATGCTAAAAGACGGTACTCTATAACGGTACCAAAACAGTTGTTCATGGTGTCAGTGTTCTTTACAAATTGCATGAACCAGTGGACAATCCCGATTTGTAGTAACGTTCAACATTAACCTGATGATTTACTGGTGGCAATGAGACCGCAGGCTCAACCATTTCCAACTGAAACACTCTGAAGTATGTCTGAATACCGCCGTTTATAGCTAAAGGCAAGTCGGCCTTACCAGATACAGTAATTAGTGTATGTTTTACTTAATTGTTTTTTTCAACGTACCAGTTATGACAAGACATGATAATGTTCAAATATCGCACGAATGGATTCCACATGAGTTATCGGCAACCATTCATGTATGCCACGTACTGCCATCAACAGATGGATGTTTTCACACACATGTTTTTGTGTGAAAATGTGTTTTATGCATCTAATGGAATTAGATACCTGATTCTGATGTTAGTTTGACCAATCAGAATCATGCATTCTTCAGTGTCATGGAAGAATATGTTAAATTGACCAATCAGAATCATGCATTCTTCAGTGTCATGGAAGAATATGTTAGTTTGACCAATCAGAATCAAGCATTCTTCAGTGTCACGGAAGAATATGGTTAATATTATGTTTCTCTATCAACCAAATATTGCTCCAAGATATACTAATTGTGACAGTTCTTTCTCTCTGCGTTCAGCTGCGGAAATCGGTGCTGAGGATTGTATACTTAGTGAGATGGGTGATGATGCCAGTAAGACGCTTGTTGCCTATACCCCTGGTGGTGTTTTGCAAGGATACCTCCTTCGAGCATGTGTATTCACCTCGGTTTAAAAAATTATCGGTTTACATTATATATATAGGCTTGGTGGTTCTCGGACGCACTTTCCGTGGTGACCCGTGAAGATCCGGGGTAGAATAGGTCTTCAGCATCCATGCTTGCCGTAAAAGGCGACAATGCTTGTCGTGAAAGGCGACTAACGGGATCGGGTGGTCAGGCTCGCTGACTTGGTTGATGCATGTCATCGTATCCCAATTGCGTGGATCGATATTCATGATGGCAATCACTGGAATGTCTGGTCCATTATTTACAGACCGCCGTCATATAGCTGGAATATTGCTGAGTGCGGCGTTAAACAACCAACCAACCAACCAACTTTCCGTCGTTTTCACAGTGACTTAAAGAAGAATATCATGGTGATATGGTCATTCTCAAGCATCCTGTGTTTTATGTCTCCATTTAAATAAATACCGAACCAAAAGGGTCAGGGATCATGACTATTTGGGGGAATATGTTTTTTTGTAGTGAGCACACGATTTCATAAAAATAACCCCAAAATATTCACGATCCCTAATTTTTTTGTTCAGTGTAATAATACACTGGATAATTGACAATGGGATACGGTTATGTTTTGGAGGTTTGCATTATCTGGTTTGGTGCAGGTTGGGATGCACGGGTTTGAGAGACATGTTTACGGATGATAAAATTTATGATCATTGGTATGGGAAGTTGTATTGCATAATGTCTCATAGTCTTCAACAAGACATTATACTAGCCTACTACATTAATTGTTTCATTTATCTTATCTTTGACTCACATATTATTTCAGCAAAATACATCTAAACTCCAGAAGTGTAATCATAGTTAATAACATACATTAAATCAGAATGCATACTTAGTGTTTATGCAATGACATATAGGTGAAGAGGAAAGCACAAGCTCACAGGGAACAGATCCTGGAACTAGTAAGATATGTTTCTTATACAACATACGCTATTTGTATTATCATATTGTATAACATTGCATGCATACATGAAGATCTCATTGTTCATAAAAGCATAGGAATTGTAGATGTCCAAATATTGATCCCATCACCAAAGGCAGTTTCACGTTCAGATCACAATGACTGGAATATTGCTAAGTGTGGAGTTAAACAACAAACCAACCAACCCTGTCATATCTATAGTAATGCTTAAAACCAGTATCTTAAAACTATATCTCGCTATCGGCTCACAAGAATGTTATAGGACACAAATAGCCCCCTACTTGCAACTACTAGAAAACGAAATTAGAAATGTCAACATGGTCAATCACCTTTTTAATATCGGTGTCCATGATCTCTCAAGTAATATTTTAACAGAAAAATCACGTTTTCATCCTTCGGCAAACAATGCGAACCAACACCAACAAAACCGTCTGGCCTCGCTGCTATGTTTACAATAAGTTATATCCAGAGTTACACCTGATTAAATGTACGAAGTGTTTGACGTTGCCCAGATGCTGTATTTCAGTGTAGCTGGCACGATAGAACCCAACGTTAAAGAAGGAAGTAGTATACAATGTAAGCATCCCACGGCATGTCTTCAAAGTATTAGGCATTAATCTCGTCACGTGTGTTCAAATACCATCAAAGATGTCCCCAAATGCCCAAAACGTGTGAAGTGTGAAATGTGTTCAAAGTATTTGGCATTAATCTCGTCACATGTGTTCAAATACCATCAAAGATGTCCCCAAATGCCCAAAACGTATGACGTGTGAAATGTGTTCAAAGTATTTGGCATTAATCTCGTCACGTGTGTTCAAATACCATCAAAGATGTCCCCAAATGCCCAAAACGTGTGAAATGTGTTCAAAGTATTTCGTATTAAACATGTCACATGTGCTCAAATAGCATTAATGATGCCCCTACATGCCCAAATAGTACGTTTAAGAATGTCTCCATAATATCAAATATCATTAGGCAGGTCTTCGTGTTATAAATATTATGTCACGTGAAAAAAGTCTCCATGATCTCAAATTTCATTAGGCAGGTCTTCCGGTGTTATATATATTATGTCACGTGAAAAAAGTCTCCATGATCTCAAATTTCATTAGGCAGGTCTTCGTGTGTTATAAATATTATGTCACGTAAACGACATTCAGGCAGCACGCACTATGTAATAGTAGTGGTAGCAGTAGGTCCTCATAAAGATAACTTCCATTTATCCGACTGCAATCTATTTTCCAGAACGTTCAAGTGTAAATATTCATTTTTGATGTTTTTTCATCATAGTCGCATATATATCCAATACATATATATCATATCTTTTGTCTCGATGTTTAGCTTCTGCAGCAAGTAGCGTTGCGTCAAGTGAGGAAAAAGGCGGAGGCAAATGTAAGACTTCTCGTAAACCAAGCATAACCAATTAACATTCAAATTCAAATTCAAATGAACTAAGTTATAAGATGGCCAAAGTTGAAAACTTTCAACACGTATCCACGCATTAGAGAGTTAAGATAAGTTCAAATAAGATGGGATGTTTTGTAAAAATCACAACATTTGCATTCAATCTAGTTAACGAAATACCTATTTGCACTATAGCGAGTGACGAAATCTCGGGAGGCACCAATCCAGATGACAATAGTAGTGACGAATGTAATCGTAATGCTTCTTCTCTTTGTAAATCAATAGTGTTCCTAAGTGTGTAAGGTAAATTTATTATATTTTCTTAAATGCCAGGCAAAGGAAAGTATACACATGGGAATTGAATTTGTCCAAGAAGATTATAAAATTTATCAAAACGTTACTAGGCTGGAAACACTGCAAACTCAAGATCCAAAACACAACCATGAGTGAGTGAGTGAGTATGGTTTTATGCCGCTTTTGGCAATATTCCAGCAAGATCACGGCGGGGGACACCAGAAATGGGCTTCACACATTGTACCCATGTCGGGAATCGAACCCGGGTCTTCGGCGTGACGAGCGAATGCTTTAACTACTGGGCTACCCGACCGCCCCACATCCATGATACCCGTGTCAAATTCATAACCATCAAATAACGTTTCTATGGGTTTTTGATCATTTTTGCCACCATCGAACATGGGTGTATATTTTCCTTTGCCCGCCAGTTTAGGTTAACGTATGCCTTATCCCTGTCTGACAAATCAGTACCGTTACGTTTAGCCGATGGAAAGAGCGACGGTAGTTCAAGCCAAGAAACAACCGAAGAATGTTAGCTTTATTGAATCTTACATACTACATAGTATAAGTAGACAGTATAAGTGAGTAGATTGTGTAAATAGATAGTATAAGCAAGTAGACATTAAAGTTAAGTTCATAGTATAAGTAGATGTATGTAGGTAGATTGTGTAAGTAGATAGTATATATGAGTATATAGTATAAGTAAGCAGAATATTCATTTAAAAATATACAAATATGCATAGATACTTGAAGTTGGAAGACATACATTTTATGCGTCTCTCTTTCTTGCCTCATCCATGGCAATTCTGATATAGGTATACCTATTGTGTGTGTATATTTCTGTAGGTACCAATATTAACATTGCTTGAGGTGAATAAGGTTTTTCTTGGATACTACCTGTTTTATAGAGTAAAAGAAAGACTAAACAGAGATACATTGCGATATATAATGTCGTACCGATAGAATTCAGATTTGTCTTTTTCTGAACGTAATAGGTTTTTTTGTGAGTGAGTATGGTTTTACGCCGCTTTTAGCAATATTCCAGTAATATCATGGCGGGGGACACCAGAAATGGGCTTCAAACATTGTACCCTTGTCGGGAATCGAACCCGGGTCTTCGGCGTGACGAGCGAATGCTTTAACCTCCAGGCTACCCGACCGCCCCTTTTCATATAAATACACACGGAGACCCTACTATTTACACAGTTGCAATTGTCATGATTCTATAAATATCCTGATAAGTTCTACGTTCCATTTGTGTAGCTGGTGTACAAGATAATGGAGGCTCAAGTGACGACAAGAATGGCGCTGATTGTAAGATTTGATCTATATCCAATCGTTACAAATCTGTCATAGATCATTTAATATTTGTAATAAGATATGACACACTCAACTTTGTCCCAGCATTTGTTCCCTGGGTTTCTTGATTTAGGTTTGGTATGACGAATAGTAACCTGGCGAATCAGTTACTGTATGATTTAAATGAGGCTGAGATGATGAGGATAAGATAACGAGGATAAGAGAATTGGTAATGAGGTCTTTTCTTTCTGCTGTAATATTCTTGTCATTCACCTGGTGAAGAAAATTGTAGTGGGTGAATCGAAGTGACCACTGATAATGATGAATATAAGCATACACAACTATCAATAAAGCAAAATTATATTAACAATCGGATCACCATAATTTAATATTGATCTTGTGCTATTGTGGAAGTTAGAATGGTGCCAGGTGGATGTTCAAAGCTTACTGAATCTCTAAGGTTATCTTGCTTCCGTCATAACTTCACCGAAGGGGAGGGCGATAGTGGATGGGTGCCAAGGAAACTGGGAGGAGTGTACGATATCCAGTTGATAACCACGTTCAATTAACCCAATTAACACCCTCTGCTGAGTTTAACAATTTCTGAAGAGTAATCGGTTTCTCTTAGTGTCAAAAATAGTAGTAATACATCTATGTACATGGGGGCTTATGTTCGGTCATATACTTGAACTACCGAGCCTCTTGTGTGATATAAAGTTGTATCACCTACATGTATAACATTATGATCGTATATGCCCTGTGATGTAGCTGGAGGATCAAGTGAAAATGGTTCAAGCGAAGGTAGTTCCGGCGAAAGTGGATCAACTGGAGGTGGAAAAGGCGAAGGTAGCTCCACTGAAAGCGGAACAACAGGAGCTGGATCAGGCGAAGGTAGTTCCGGTGAAAGTGGATCAACTGGAAGTGGAAAAGGCGAAGGTAGTTCCGGTGAAAGAGGATCAACTGGAGGTGGATCAGGCGAAGCTAGTTCCGGTGAAAGTGGATCAACTGGAGGTGGAAAAGGCGAAGGTAGCTCCACTGAAAGCGGATCAACTGGAGGTGGATCAGGCGAAGGTAGTTCCGGTGAAAGCGGATCAACTGGAAGTGGAAAAGGCGAAGGTAGTTCCGGTGAAAGTGGAGCAACTGGAGGTGGATCAGGCGAAGGTAGTTCCGGTGAAAGTGGATCAACTGAAGGTGGATCAGGCGAAGGTAGTTCCGGTGAAAGTGGATCAACTGGAGTTGGATCAGGCGAAGGTAGTTCCGGTGAAAGTGGATCAACTGGAAGTGGAAAAGGCGAAGGTAGTTCCGGTGAAAATGGATCAATTGGAGTTGGATCAGGCGAAGGTAGTTCCGGTGAAAGTGGATCAACTGGAGGTGGGTCGAGTGAAGGTAGTTCCGGTGAAAGTGGATCAACTGGAGGTGGATCAGGCGAAGGTAGTTCCGGCGAAAGTGGATCAACTGGAGGTGGAAAAGGCGAAGGTAGTTCCGGCGAAAGTGGATCAACTGGAAGTGGAAAAGGCGAAGGTAGTTCCGGTGAAAGTGGATCAACTGGAGTTGGATCAGGCGAAGGTAGTTCCGGCGAAAGTGGATCAACTGGAAGTGGAAAAGGCGAGGGTAGTTCCGGCGAAAGTGGATCAACTGGAGGTGGATCAGGCGAAGGTAGTTCCGGCGAAAGTGGATCAACTGGAAGTGGAAAAGGCGAAGGTAGTTCCGGTGAAAGTGGATCAACTGGAGGTGGTTCGAGTGAAGGTAGTTCCGGTGAAAGTGGATCAACTGGAGGTGGATCAGGCGAAGGTAGTTCCAGTGAAAGTGGATCAACTGGAGCTGGATCAGGCGAAGGTAGTTCCGGTAAAAGTGGATCTACTGGAGGTGGATCAGGCGAAGGTAGTTCCGGTGAAAGCGGTTCGAACGATGGTAGTTCCGGTGAAAGCGGTTCGAACGAAGGTAGTTCCAGTGAAAGCGGTTCGAACGAAGGTAGTTCCAGTGAAAGCGGTTCGAACGAAGGTAGTTCCAGTGAAAGCGGTTCGAACGAAGGTAGTTCCAGTGAAAGCGGTTCGAACGAAGGAAGTTCCAGTGAAAGCGGCTCGAACGAAGGTAGTTCCAGTGAAAGCGGTCCGTCCGAAGGTAGTTCCAGTGAAAGCGGTCCGACCGAAGGTAGTTCAAATGAAAGTAGTTCATCAAAGATAGAAATAAAAAAATAATGTAAGCATAATTATGATGATGAAAGAACATATGATAAATTTCCATAAACAATTAACATGCATTTTATGCTTTATTTCGCCATTTCCAAAACGTATAAATACATGATTTGAGCCGAAAAATAATATTAGATTCTGAAGTAGTTCGCTCTTCAACTCCAGCTGAAGGGGAAAGCGAGAGTGGCTGGAGTGACGAGAAAAATGACGAATCACGTAAGAGACTGAATATACATATAAACATAATATGCACATATCAACCGTCTATATTGATAGATGTCTCACAACTTCTAGACCATTATAGGCCAGCATGTCATGAGTGTTGGTATGTGTTCCATTATTACAACAGGTTGACAGCCAAGTGTAATAACGATGATCTTAGTGTACAATAACTGAAGACAGAAAATAAGCTACATAATATAATAATCACTATCTAGGAATGTAATCACGTAATAAGTAGAAGAATGTTTCTATTAAGACTACATGTCTTATCTGATACAGCCGCTGAGACAGACTCAAGCAGCGGTGGATCCGATGGTCAGGATGGTGGAATATGTAAGCATAGTCATATGCAATAACATCATAATCATAAACTATGATTAAGCAGTATAACACTCATAAACGTCCTCGTGTAAAAATGTGTTAAATTTCAACAACTGTCACTGAGTTATCCTTTAAACTTTTGTTTGTGAATTGGAAGAAATCTACACATGCTGAACACCTTCTTAAGGTACAGTACGCTACGTTTATAACGAACACGCTTATAACGAACTGACCGATATAACGAACGTTTGTAGTCCCGGCCATTTGCTATATATATGCTGTATATATGCTTATAACGAACTACGGTTATTACGAACTAAACTTAGTGGTCCCTTGAGTTCGTTATAACCGTAATTTACTGTACTCATGTATTCTAAGTAATTTCGTGAACAATTGAGAAAGATTGATTAACAATAATGTATATTCACCCGATCCATTTGCATTTAAGCCACTGAAGTAGATCCCAAAGACTGTGAACCCGGGAGCAACAGTGACGGGAAATGTAAGCTTGTAATATCCATGGTTTCATAGGGAGCATCTTAAATCACAGAAATATCTGGCGAATATCAAAGTACATCAGTTATTGAAAAGCAAAATAGTAATTTCGTTCAATTAATTCCAACTTCCAGATGGACACCACGTTTCATCAATGATGTATTATAGACCCAATATCAAACAATCTGTATATAATAGATTGGGTTGGGTCGATTATTTCAATAAACATACAGTCCTTCCTGGTTACAGTCCACCCTGATTATAATCCCATCAGGACGGATTTCCGCAGTGCAAAATTCCCATGTCCAACTTTTTTTCTGAATGTTTTTTTTTCCTATTCCCTGATTATAATTCCATGTTGTTTCAAATAGAATATCTGAATTAATTGCTGAATAAATTATGCCTCCGTTTGACATAGTTCCGTGAAAATTAGTCTTCAGCAACCAATTCTTGTTTTAAGAGGCGACTAACAGGATCAGGTTGTCAGGCTCGCTGACTTGGTTGATGCATGTCATCTTATGGTAGTGCCTAGCTTGATGCTCATGATGTCTTTCACTTGTCTGGACCAGACTCGAGTATTTACAGACCGCCATCATATAGCTGGAATATTGCTGAGTGCGGCGTTAAACAACAAACAAACAAACGTTTGACACGTACGACAATGTCCTTGTATTCTGTCTGACGTGGTATGTGGTGTCTTCAGCTGGTCAGGGCAGTGGAGGTAGTGACTCAGATGACGGGAAAGCTCCAGCTGCTTGTAAGTTCATAACCATATTGTCTATCATTATATATATTTGACAACAGTAATTTATGTCTCGCCTTATAATAATACTTGTGTAATCACGATTTGCGTCCCTTAGGCACGCCAGAAACCTATGATTGTGGGTTCGAATCCCGGTTCTCCCCGATTATGTTTCTAGGTTTGTCAGCACCATGCCCGTGCTCGTGGGTTTCACCGAAGTGGTAAACGTCTGAGACCTACATCACTTCGAGCTTTCCTCCCACAATTAAGCTGACACGCCGTGATATAACTGGAATACTGTTAAAAGCGGCGTTAAACCCAACTCACTCGTTCACAATGACAACACCACATAAGGCTTGGTGTATGTTACTTACGGTTATGGGGCCATACTAATTATAGAGCAGTATTGGACATTACCTCAGTCGAGTAAATGGAAGAAGCTGTGTTTTGTTTGTCTCATGTTCGTATTATGTTGTACTTTCAAGATATCACGCCTAATGTAGAGAGCCCGACCTATAGTGGTTTTGTATGCTAACGGATGACATATCCAAAAAAAAGCATGCACTACTCATTTTGGACAATGGTTGGGCTTTTTCTAACTCGAAGTATTCGAGTTGAAGAGGTTTCATTGCATTGTTACCACGCAGTAAAGGTGATGTTGTAAATAAGAAATCTGACATGCATGTTGCATACACGTATATTACTGCTCACGTTTTGTAAACATCCTTTTTAGCTGATGGAACAGACTCTAACATCGAAAGTGATAATGAAGAAAGTAAGCTTATCTTGACTATTTCATTACATGGCATGGGATACTATTTGTAAATATATTTCGTACGTACGTTTATTCAATGAAATGATGTAATAATTGAAACCTAAACAGTGTGCTATGTCTTTCGAATTTCTACTATCATACCCGTATCGGGAACAATAGATTACAATAGATTACCTGCTTTGGAGAACCGAAAAGAAGACTTCAGTAGTAACACTTTACAAACATCTTTATGTTAATTCAGTAGAAACATTTCACAAACATCTTGATGGTAACTCATTTGTAACATTTTACGAAAATCTGTATTTAATTCAGTGGTAAAACTTTTCCACTCACCTTTGTCTGAATTCAGTAGAAAACCCGACAGACATCTTTATGTTAATTCATTCGAAAAACTAACAAACATCTTTATGTTAATTCAGTAGTTAATCTGACAAACATATTTATGTTAATTCGGTATTAAAACGTTACAAACATGTTTATGTTAATTCAGAAGTAATATTTTACAAACATGTTTATGTTAATTCAGAAGGAACATTTTACAAACATATTTATGTTCATCAGCTGAGGAAGAGTATGACAGTACCTGGGACGCAGAGGAAACTGAAAAACTCTGTAAGAAATGTTACCATTACCCACCTAGGTTAATATTTTTGAAGTCTGTAATCAGTGCACCAATGTTTATGAACATATACTTCACGTAAAACCACTCTTTTCATATATTTAATGGTCCTTTTTGCAGGATCTTTTAGATATAAACATATGTGCAGCAAAAGCATATTAATTTGGCGATACATGTAAATGTGTCTTTGAACATGACTATAAAATCATATATGCAAACATTCTTTTGACAAGGTTCAGTGCATAGTATGGTTCAGTAATATAATCTACATCTAATGTCACATCATCATAGAGTAATTTCACGAAGCTATATTTCAGCTGACGGAGAAAATAATAGCGAAGCGAAATGGGAACCCGAATGTAAGAATAACATCATTTCTCTTTCAAGGGAAGAATGTTATTTATATTATTTCATTAGGGTTAATATACTGAGACATGACCATCAACATGGAGAGCATACCATTTCAATGTATGTTTAATTAGCTGATTGAAAGTAATCCTATAAAAGAAAGCAATGACAGAAATAATTAATGCCGCAATACGTAGGTTTCATTGAAATATATATATGCAAGTGATATCTTCAGGTGTAAGCTTTAGATATACTAGAGTCCAGATAGTTGTGCTTGTCAAAACTCCATTATTCACACAAGATCTTTCGCCACTCAACGGCACTTCCGGTATATATATATCTAATCTCTCATCTGCTATTTTTGTGCATCATCTTGCGATTGCAATATGTATGTTTTGCAAGAGATATATATCTCATCTATTACATTTGTACATCAGCTGGTGGGGCTGACTCCAAAATCTCTGGATCTGCACCTGAAAGCAACGTGAAAAGTAAGACAACGCTTCACCGTCTGGATTATAAGCAATACTAATTGTCATTACCTTCAGTGATGCATTTCCCAATTGATAATCCCTCTGGATCGCCTAATGGAGTGTTTTTGTAAGTTCGATAACTTATAAACAAACATTTTAAAATAACCAACTCCAGGTGCAAAGTTAGCAAAACTTTCAAACTTCTTTGTTGTTTGTAAAGTCCACATGTAAATAGTGTTCAGGTAATTCCCTTTGTGTGACTGACCTTTGCATCACGACCTCACGGGGATGTGTTGTATATCTGTCGCTCCTGGTCCAGCAGGTGAACCAGCTGTATCTACCGGCTCCGAGAAGCAAGGAGGGGAGGAAACAGTCTGTAAGCAGTTTTTAGGTTGTGGAATAAATTGTATATCCCCCTATCCATCAGAAAGGCTAAACATTGGATACTCACACCAGTTTTGCAAACGTAAAAAAAACAAAAACGTTGTACTTAAACGTTGCTGAAATAACATCAACGTTCTTCTCCATCTGTTATTCATCAGATAATCATAATACCGTCATCTTCTTCAATTCATCCTTCCAATGTTTGTTATCTGATGGGTTCTCATTTGTAAAAACACGTGAGCTATACCTCCTCTATCCAAAAGCTTGTAATGGAACATTTTGGAGGGGGACAACTGACGATTCCACATTGAAGAATACGATGCGGTACCAGGACATGGTTTTGGAAATGTGATGGTTGTTTTGATGAGGTTTAAGACAAACAGTTTGGGAATTGAACTTGACTCTCCTTGGTAGTGGTATCCTATTGACCTTATCATTCGAGGAGATTGATCCTTATGGATAAGTTTGGTGGCTGCATGATTTTGGCTTGGATTTGTCTGAGAGTTTGTATTGTGACCTATATTACCTTAGTATGTTTTTTACAGCTTAATAACCAGAACGGGTTATTGAAAATGATAAAGCGTGCTTTGTGGTGAACGTTGTAAGTCATCAAATATATTGAAATGCATTGAATAATTGATACGCGGTGACAAGAGGCGACTGTGCTTGTCGTAAGAGTCGGCCAACGGGATCGGGTGGTCAGAGTCGTTGACTTAATTTATGTATGTCATCATATCCCGATTGCATAGATCGATACTCATAATGCCAGTCACTGGATTGTCTTGTACAGACTGGATTATTTGAGGCTATACTGTACTATACTATAGTATACAGAATTGAATAACTTAGATGAAATCATGTTCTCTTTTAGCAAAGGCGGGTTTAGTGTCTGAGACAGAGACAAAGACAGGAGGAGAACGTAAGATCCACACACTTGCCTTTGTGGTATATTCGGGGAAGGTGCATATGTATACGGAGAACAGATACCATGGTTCATTTTAGCTTTTGGTTTTATATAAGACAGCGATCATGGCCCGTGACATGGTGACAGTGCCCGTGACAAATGCAATCTCCCGTGACATGGTGATAGTGCCCGTGACAAATGCAATCTCCCGTGACATGGTGATAGTGCCCGTGACAAATGCAATCTCCCGTGACATGGTGATAGTGCCCGTGACAAATGCAATCTCCCGTGACATGGTGATATGGTCTGACAGGTGCTATGGCCCATGGCATGGTAATATGGCGCGTGACAAATTCTATTTCCCATGACAAGATGATATGGTCTGTAACAGGTGTTCTGACCAAGGACAGGTGCTATGACCCGTAACAGATGATATGGAACGTGACAGGTGATATATACATGGATATTGCTTACTGGTTTGATATACCTCTATTTTAACGGTGGCTCATCTTTGTTCACCATCGGTGGCTGAGTTGTCAGCAGCTGGTCAATGTACTGCAGTCTGATCATGCCTACCTACATATAACCTGACTTCCAATGTTTTTGTTACCCTTTTCTTTTCACAGATGGTGTACTTCGTTATTGATTTCGGTTCTGGTACATACGCCTGCTTTCATGTTCCTTAAACTCCTACAGTGGTTGGCGTTAACTCATTCCTTTTCAGCAGCTACATGACTCTTAAAATCATCATTTTCTGATATTGAATGAAGAATGTTCCTTCTCTATTTAATGAAGATGCAAGACTGTTTGTCAATGCAAGAAACAGTACAAATGCAAGCAATGTAAATACAAGAACAAAATGCCAACAATCAGACCTTACAAAGGTGCCAACTCTCCAGTAGCCATGATCTTATTTTCTACCAATGTTTCTTTCCAGTAATGCAAGGAGATACTGGGTTTGTATGTCCTCCAGTAATTGACGGTTTCTATGGGGATCCGATCTACTGCCAGAGATTCTACAGGTGTGTGGGGGACAAGAAGTATTCCTTCACTTGTCCTTCCGGGACATTCTTTGACAATGGACGATTCATCTGTAACTTCAAGGAGAAGGTGTCCGAGTGTACATCAAGCGGCCTTAGGATTTCCCAGGCGGGCAATGGTACGATGTCAAAGGTTCTTCTTTCATCCACTGGATATAGATATACGTATCTTGTGCCTATTATTCATACATTAACGCTTATATTATTGGGTGCGGTGGTGTAGCCTAGTGGTTGCTTATCACGACGAAAGCCTGGGTTCGATCATCTGAATGGGTACAGTGTGTGAGTGAGTGAGTATGGTTTTACGCCACTTTTAGCAATATTCCAGCAATATCACGGCGGGGGACACCAGAAATAGGCTTCACACATTGTACCCATGTCGGGAATCGATCCCGGGTCTTCGGCGTGACGAGCGAACGCTTTAACCACTGGGCTACCCGACCGCCCCTGTACAATGTGTGAAGCCCATTTCTGGTGTTCACCGTCGTGATATTGCTGAAATATTGCTAAAAGCGGCGTAAAACCATACTCACTCACTCACTCTAACATAAACTGACAGGCAAAAGAAACACTTGAAAAATTGGATTTGATAAAAATAAGTATAAAAGTTATCCAAACGTTACTTGGCTAAAAACAGTCGCCGAAACACGTCCACAACACAACTGTGATACCCATATCAAATATATCACGCTCGATTAAACATTTCTTGCTGTTTCATTTGAGTCACCATCAAACATGGTTTTGTACTTTTTTGCCCGGCAGTATAACTTTTTTCTTTAGTTGTGAATTCTCTTGTGAGTTCCGATAATAATGGCACGAACTTAAGGACCTATATTGACTATAATGCATTCAGTTCTATCCCTAGGGTAGCAACTAGAGTATGGTGACTTCTGGTGTAACCAGTACAGTGTAATAAAGGAACCACGGTTGTATTTCAGATGCACCAGAAGAAGTAGATGAACCAATGATGGTTCCTGAGGTCTCGGCTGTTGTGACTGCAGGTATGTTGGTGTCATCCTACGGGAATAACATGCTGGAAGCTCAAAAAAACTTTCTTTCCCATTACCGTGCTGAGACCATGACTTGGGGAATAGCCATAAACTTACCAGGCATTTGTGCAATTCCTGCTACCCCTTCCGGGTTAGGCTCGGCTACTTAGTTGATGGCGATGGTTGCTGCTCATAACATCGATCACTGGATTGTCTGGTCAAGACTTACAGGCCGCCGTCGTGTAGTTGGAATATTGCTGAGTGTGGCGTTAGACAATAGACAAAAAGCAATCAGATACCATTCAGACTGTTGGTAATTGTTAAGAAGAGTGTATCAGGCAGAAAAACCGTTAGGTGATGTGTGTGTGGGGAGGATTGGTGGGGTAGGGGAAAGGTGTATATTTCTAGTCGAAAAGGTACCACGGGGAACGGGGAGTGAGGATCACATCCGTATAATACTGACAAGTCACACTGAAATCTCTAATATATGCTGATCAAACCATAATTTTTCAGGGGAGGACTGGTAAGTACAAAGCAATTTCTGGTATTCAGGGATTGTGTTTGGGAATTTTTGCCATTGTAAAATGTCCTTTTAAGATGATATTGGTAACAGGCAATGTATTCAAGCGTCACATACAATGTCCCTCTATAACTTGGTGATTACCTATATATCCAGGCTCTTTCTGCTCTTTATATGGTGGGTTTGTACAGATGTGTATGTATATAACAGTTCAGAGGGAGTGAGGCATTCTGATTCTTATACGCCTTGGTTTGGAACTGGTGGTTTCAAGGAGTTTCAGTGAACCATCTATATAATTTTCACCGCTATTTTGCCTTTCACGCCCAATGGAATCTCTGAAATTCACGTTCGATATTTGTACAAGTTAGATAATAAGATGTTAGATGATCCATATCTTCTTATATACATTTCACTGATTATTTGTTTGCTCTTTCGGGAGTGTTATAAGTTTAAACATACCATATTGTTTTATGTATGGTCGATGTAACCTTAAAATTTAACTCACTCGATCACTCATTGTTATTATTTGAAGACTTCAATGATAAGTTTAAAGTGAAAACTGTTCTACCCCAAAATCATTTACTTTTGGAAAACAAATTTATGTTTTCATCATTCAAGGAATCACATAACAGATTGTCGTAATTTGAACGTGAGATCATTTTTTAATATTTTTTTTCATTTGACTAAAACTGTTGTTTTTCTTTTGACAGAACCAGTCCCCCCGTGCCCTGAGTCGGACGGGTTATTCCCCCATCCATCTTCCTGTTCCAAGTTTTTGTATTGCGCGCGCTTTTCCGCCATGGTGTTGACATGTCCAAAGGACCTTGCGTACAACATGGAGAAAAAGACATGTGATTACAGCGACAACGTGGTCTGTATTCGGTACGACTAAACCACGTCGACGACGACCATTCAAATTCGGGTTGTGGGATTCCACGGGTTTCTGTGAAGTTTAACGCGATATGTGACGTTATAAGGTCCAGTGCATTGACACGCGACCTTGAAGAAGGGGACATAACCCTGTTCCAACTTACCAAGTGTGTTGTGCACTATAGCGTTGGTGACTATACAGAACATACTTCAGTATTCTTTATTTTTCTACAAAGGAAAAACAATCTACTGAATAGTCCCACAACATCCTCAAAGAGTGAATGCTTTTCTATAATCTGCAGCTTTTTATACAGATCGTGGATGATCCTCTATGTTATGGAGGAAACGACTAATTGGTACAGTCTGAGGATGCTGAAGAACTTTACACACCAAACTCCTGAAAAATGCATAGTGGCCTAAGATTTGACGATATAATCTCAAAATATATCTCTTGTAATTGAAGGGGCTCTTTGGGATCTGGACTTGTGTCAAAGCAGTATTAAGATAGCTCCATGTTGTGTGGTTAAATTAGAGGTGCATATCCTTTAAATTGGCAAATATAAAGAAATAAGAGACGGGTACATACATAGTGTTGTGTAGTACAAAAGGTAAGAAGATGTACAATCTCACTGAAATCAGACCTCAGTTCTCGCAACCGCTAAACAAAGATCTGAGGACATCCCATTACGGGTCACGTCAGAACGATCTTTCATTCGACCAATCAGAGCATCGCTTACCAGATTATGAAAGTGACAGTCGGAATGTGATTTCTGATCATGCAGCCTCGAAAACTTTAACTCCAAACGATAGTAACATTCCAGAATGTTCTTTTGTTCAGGTTTCAAATTTGTAATCGAGAACTTGTCAAAATATGTTTCGAAGCGTAGTCGCCAATTTGAAATTAGTGCCGTAAAGCACGAGAAAGCTGCCTTCTGATTGGTCGTTCCATTGGTCGGTCAAAGTTCGCCCAAGGTCGGTCTGACGTGACCCGTAATGGGATGTCCTCAGATCTTTGTTTAGCGGTAGCGAGAACTAAGATCTGATTTTAATGAGATTGGATGATGTATTATGCTGACCTGGGTTACCGTCTCAAGGGGCACCTTTCAAACTAGTTTATCTTTTCCTTTATGATCTGTATGCATGTATACACGATTAAGATTTTGAATTTAGTGAACCATGACGACAACACTGTGTTTCAATATGAAGCCATGACTTTGTATATTGCTTGTGAAGTATTGTTTTTGTTAGTTTTTTTACTTGCTTTTTACATTGTATAGTTTTATCCTAACTTTTGTATAAAAATATTGAATAATATTATGTGTTATGTTTTTCTTGATTTCATTCAGATGAGATTGAATATTGTTTTTACTTATCATTTGACCATCACAGTTATTGGTGACTGAGCGTCATCACGTCACCCCGATAACGCTGATCATTAATACATTGATGACCAGACTTTATTGAAAACATACAACTGATACACTTTCAGACAGTCGTATTCGTATCTCACCCAGTTCACGACCGCCTCCGTGGTCTAGTGGTAGAGCGTCCGCCCGGAGAGCGGAAGGTCCGGGGTTCGTGACCCGGCCGCGTCATACTAAAAGACGTTAAAAGATTGTACTTGTTGTTACCCTGTCTGGCGCTCGGCATTAAGGGGTTAAAACAAGGACTTGTCAGCTCGGAGTCAGTATACTGTGTCTGAGTGGGGTATTCATGTTAAACTGCGGCATGGTATCTCAGTGAGCTAGCACTATAAATCGGCATCAGTCCGGACTAGTACAAGCAGCCACACAAACACACACACGTACATGCACGTCGCTATATAAGTGCAATAATCTTGGACGCGACGTTAAACCCCATTTCACCTTTCCTCACCTGACCCAGTTCAGCATGTGTGTATGCGATTGTTACGTCGTTGTACTAAGGGTTGCTCTTGCCTATCAGGGGTGGTAGGGTAGCCTTGTGGTTGAAGCGTTTGCTCGTCACGCCGAAGACCCGGGTTCGATGTTCCACATAGGTACAATGGACGAAGCCTATTTCTGGTGTCCTCCGCCGTGATATTGCTGGAATATTGCTAAAAGCGGCGTAAAACCATACTCACTCACTAATTCCTTCCTATCAGCTTCTTCATCCAACCATAGATAGAATACCCTTGACATGAATGTATCCTGGAAATCGATGACATGGCCAGTATGGGGAACCGTTGTTAGAGGCAACAGCATGTTTCTGAAGGCGTATGTAAAGCGACGCTAAAAGCTTATTATACTCAAAGGATTCCTCGGTTCTGTCATTATGAAGACAATTGTTTTGTTCGTGCGGGGAGTTCTCCTGAGATCTGTGACTTTGTATGGGATAATACACAATGACCATAAACTATCAAATGTAGACGGGCAATGAAATATTAATAACCTATCTTGAAATTGATGCAAAAGGGCAGGAACAAACGTTACCCCAGTGTTAAACAATCATGATGACGTCGTGCGGTTGTTGTTGCGGTTGATTCTGAGCCAAGAATTTACTGGCCATTCTGAACATGCATTTTAAACAAAAAAAACTGATGCAATTACGTGTCCTTATGCAACATTATAGGGAAATTACATATCAACCATAACAAGTCGGTGAAATAACTCGATTCGTCTTCCGGAAACAACAGATTTAAGTGATTTTTCCATTACATAATTATAGATGAATCTATCTATCAATCCATCCATTCATTCATCCATCCAACCTTCATTCCTCCAACCAAACAACGGATCAATATCAAAACAAACGACCTATTGTTTCTTCTTTGTTTGTATTGTATGTTCCATGACTTGGGAAAACTACCTCTAGAATCATTCAGTGACTAATTGTACGGGAAATATTAAGGTGAAAGGACCACCTCCGTGGTCTAGTGGTAGAGCGTCCGCCCGGAGAGCGGAAGGTCGGAGGTTCGATCCCTGGCCGCTTTCGATCCCTGGCCAAAAGACGTTAAAAGATGGTACTTGTTGTTACTCTGCTTGACGCTCGGCATGAAGGGGCTAAAACAAGGACTGTGTCTGGATGGGGTATTCATGTTAAACTCCATTTCGCCTCACCTCATTTTCAAATGAACAGGTCGCACTGTGTGTTTGACTCACAAGAGACACTGAGGACCACAATCGAGGCTGTTCCAAGCAACCTCCCTCGTCATATCAGATTCATGGCAAATAATTCACTGGCCATTCTGAACGTGCATTTCTACAAGTAACACTGACGCAACCACAGGACATATTCAAAATTATTGGTAAGGTGAACTGGAGTTTAACGTCGCGTTCAAGATTATTGCACTTATATAGCGACGTGCATGCACGTGTATGTGTGTGTGTGGCTGCTTGTACTAATCCAGAGTGATGCCGATTTATAGTGCTAGCCCACTGAGATACCATGCCGAAGTTTAACATGAATACCCCACTCAGACACAGTATACTGATTCCGAGCCGACCAGTCCTTGTTTAAGCCCCTTAATGCCGAGCGGCAGACAGGGTAACAACAAGTACCATTTTTTAACGTCTTTTGGTATGACGCGGCCAGGGATCGAACCTCAAACTTTCCGTTCTCCGGGCGGACGCTCTATCACTAGACCACGGAGGCGGTTTGAAAATCATAAACAAATTATGTATCAATCCATAACATGTTATGGATCGGAGAAATCACTCGAATCTGTAGAACCTTTAAATACATCCATCCATCATCCTTCCATGTATCCATTAACCAACCAATCAATACCAATCAGTCGAATGTGATTCCATGATTTGGGAAAACTCCCCCTAGAATCACTCAAGGACTAATTGGACGAAAACTATTCCAATGAACAGGTCGTATATTTTCATTCTTGTATCAGGGACACGGGTGCCCAGTCGTCTAAGGCGCCGCAATTCGCTGTGCTGAGTTGCGTCCCTTGGGCACGCCAGAAACCTATGATTGTTGGTTCGAATCACGGTTATGTTTCTAGGTTTGTCAGCACCATACCCGTGCTCGTGGGTTTCACCGAAGCGGTACACGTTTGAGACCTGCATCACTTCGGGCTTTCCTCCCACATTAAGCTGACACGCCGCGATATAACTGAAATACTGTTAAAAGCGGCGTTAAACCCAACTCACTCACTAATTGGACGGAAAATATTCCAATGAACAGGTCGTATGGGTGAGACTCGCGAGAGGCACTGGGGACCACGACAGGAGCTACTCCTGCAGGCTGCCCCTCGCAACACCGAATACATGTGCTTAAATAGAAGCCTTGAAGAAAGTTCATTTACTATATATTTCCATATAAATATATAACGTCAAAACCAGAGAAGAACCAGTCTCAATTATCCGACGAACAGATTCCATTGGGCGTAAAAGGCAAAATAGCAGTGAAAAGTACATGAATGGATCACTAAAAGTCAGTAATGACACCAGGTGTTCGCGAAAAGGGTAAGCAAAACGGTCCTTAAATACGCATCCTGTAATATTTTTCTGACGAAACAAACCCGTTGTGTCATGAAAATGAATCACATTGAAACACAGAAACCGAAATCGATTGTCTAATGAGATGTTTTGTAGCTGTGCAATGGCAATAACTACTTGACTTTTCAAATGCGTCCCTTATATCAAATCATACGATTTGACGCAGCACCTGTGGCCATCTGGCGAAACACACAGTGATCTTGTACCAACCTAACGGCAGGTACCGATTGTTTCATAGGCCTCTATCAAACCGAGATCTATGTCATATGTAGATATTTCCAAAATAAATTCGCGAAGAAAACAAAGAATTGGTGGTGCTTGTTTTCAGGCATATAATGACAGTACAAAATTAAACCATTTTTTTTATATCGATAGCATTTATATTTCGTGTTTTTTTTCGGTGCTGTCCAAAACTCCTTGAAGGTGAAATACTGGTTTCTAGAATGTCTAAAATTCTTTTAAAAAACCAAGAACAGTTGCTTATTCTTTCAACAAATATATTTCTTTTTATTTCTGGTTATGATATAAAAAAATAGTGATTCATAAAAAAAGTATCTAGCAGAACTCATTCCATTATATAATCCTATTTAAATTTAAAATAACTTTCTTTATGATCATTTCCAAAGGTTTCAATTTGAATTACCAATCAGTGATAATTTAAGTTCTGGCTTCCAGTTGTCCTTTGCTAATCACCTATCAGGGCCCATTAGCTGTTGCCTTACCATGTTAAGTTTCTACCTTTGTTACCATATTTCTTTCTTTCTTTTGTTCTTAAAAGTGCATGTATATGTTCTCTGCTTTATAGCATTTATTTACCTGATGAAGGAGTAAGTATATACTTAGAAACGTTGTGTTCTGCATAATAAAGAAGTTGACATCCATAAATTCTCTTCCTTATGTCTTTCACTTGTAAATGCCATTCAAAGATCAAAATTGATCAAACTTAACAATAACAAATGCATATTAACGCAGTTAATCAAACGTATTTAGAAGCAAATCGCAAAATCCGTATTTATTACCCTTGAGTACTCAAAAATATATTCTTCTACATCTTCACATTCTCTACCTGTCCTTGCATTAAACTCACCACCTAATACACAAGCTGTATCTCCAGCATCTTCTACAATATCTAATAACTTGTCTTGGAATAGATTAATTCCGTGTTTACTAACCACAGTTTTGTTGTTCCATGTTGACCTTTCAGGATGCATGTGTGTACACCAGTAAAGAACATTTGTTTGTTTTTTGCTGTGAAAAAACCCGTTTGGTTTATGAAAGCCGACACAGACAATAACGGTATATGAACTTATGTCTGAAGCAACGATGAAGGATTTGTTTTCATTTTGAGAAAAGCAAACCACATTGCCTTTGCTACTTTGGTTTTAGAACCATTGGAACTGACAAATGACCAGTTTAGTTTGAAAAGGAGTATAACCATTTCGGCGCATGCGTAGATTAATTAACTTACTACGCATGCGCACCATTAATCGAAAAGGGCGACAACGCGACAATGCAACATTCTCAAATGTCGCGGTGTCGCGCTGTCGCGCATTTAAACGCCTTTTTTACACATTTTGGATGGGGCGACAATGCGACAACGCGACATATTTTGACCTTGGAAAATGTCGCGTTGTCGCATTATCGCGTTTTTGTAAAAGAAAAAAGATTACTCTAAGCGCGACCTTTGCGACAATGCGACAAATGGCCAAAATGTCGCATTGTCCCGTTTTGGCTAATTTTGGCACTCTTTGCTTGTTTTTTGGAAGGGCGACAATGAGACAATGCGACAACGCAACAACGTCCCTTGTAGTATTCCATAAGTGTCCCACTTTTTAAATATTAATGTACGTTACTAGGTGCGTTCGAGTATAAAAATTTGAGTGACCTGAGTCAGTCGAGGTCGCGGCATTTCTGGCAACCAGAGTTTACGAGATTTAACCTGAGTTAACTCAGGCAGTATCTAAAATAAAACGCATAAAATGCAACCTAAGATACAATGATGGCTGTCAGTTGCAGGAGACGGAGAAACATAACAGGCATGTGCAACAACACATAACTATGAGAGGTTCATGCATATTAAACAAAAAGAAAGTTTAAAAAAGGCTTGTAAAATCAAACGACATGCAACACCATCATCAAAGTTGCATAATTAATTGTAAAGTATTTATATCAACAATCGAAAGTTAAATTTCCTTGAGGCATAACAGAAAACATATAGCCTATAGTTACGTTTAGTCAATAATATGCTTTTATATGAGTGAATCACGAAATTAAACTAATTTTCTTTACTGATGACGTCACTTGGAGGCTGCTAACGGGAGTACCGCACCCTGGGGTTCAGTAGGTGTGGGCAACTGGGGGCTCAGTCTTGGCTGTACAGTTAAATCACCCACCCTACAGCCCAGACTTAGCCCCCAGTGACTATTTACTGTTCCGGCAAATGTTATCTGCCCTACGTGGAAGACGCTTCCAGGATGACGAGGACATAAAGGCTGCCACAGAGGCGTGGTTGGAGGGCCAATCTGCGGATTTCTACAAAAGAGGTGTTAAAAGCTTGAAGGACAAATGGAATAAGTGTATTGAGGTGAATGGAGATTATATTGAAAAATAAAAGTGCAAAAGGTATTCTGCGACTTGGTCTTATATTGAAGTTGCAAAACTTATTGAACGCCCCTCGTAACTCTGGGTCATCAACGGTTTTCAAATCGAACGCAAGCACGATAAGCGTCATATAGGTCTGAAAATTGTATTTGCGGAAATGAGGAAGAATAACATTGAGTGGAAGCAAGTCGGAGAAGGAGAGTGGACAAGGAGGAAGGGGGGGGGGGGAACAAACTACAGTAAACTACGGTTATAACGAACTCAAAGGGACTACTAATTTTAGTTCGTTATAACCGTTGTTCGTTATAAGTACATATACAGCATGACTACAGCAAGTAGTCGGGACCAAACAGTAAGTTCGTTATATCCGTCAGTTCGTTATAAGCGTGTTCGTTATAACCGTAGTTTACTGTACTTCTATACAGAACTTTAAGAGCAGTTACCCTGTGACCTTTATGCGCAATATGACTCGAAAAAACAGACGAGCACAGGCGCATTTTAGATGTGGGGTCGCACCTGGAAGGTTGGAGTCTGGGAGATACGAGAACTTGACCCTAGAGATTCTATTTTTTTACTGAAAAAGACAATCAAACAATTCATAACTTCTAGTCTTATGACTTGTATGTATTGTAGGATTTATTTGTACCTTCTGGGATACCCTTAGACTAACATCTAGTCTCTGAAATGAACATATCGTAAAGAAAAAAAACAGTTGCTCAGTTATCTTAATAAAAATATAATAAAAAGGGCGCCCAGTGATTCTCTTCATTATACTGCAGTAATCTAGACTTGCCAAACATTAGACTTGCATGGGCTGTATTTGATTTATATTTGTATCAGGGTCTGTAAGACAGACTAGGATACCCTCAATAATGTTGTCATGTCTCATGCTCCGTCTCTCTCAGTCCTCTACACGGTTTTCTAGCTCTCGGAAATTATTTGTAGCATCAACTTTTGTCATGAACCACATCGTCATCCAATCGGACTGTATTTTGTTCATCCCCTGTGACATGTATTTGCTTTTGTAAATATGGGACGTCACACCTAAAGCCTTGTTTATATGCAACCCTTTACCACTGGGGCTAAATTTGACCCGAGAAGGTAAATCTTGTCACGCATTTGGTCAAGAGTTATATATCCACACACAGCTGGACAGAACGTCCAAAGCAGACACTGCTGTTTATTAAAGTCAGCAAGACAAAGGAACACAAGGGTTGTGATAAAACGTCTATCCAAAGCAAAGAACGTATGAAAACACTGAAAAAGTCTCCAACGGGCAGTTCGGGGATACAATGGCACCCAGTGGCCAGTTTAGGAAACTAAGAAAGTTATCTGCTAAGCTAAATGAAATATTGAATACAAGACCGGCAACGTCACCTGGAAAAGACAATCAAAGCCAGTAAATCAACCACTGACAATTCATCTGATACTGGCGCTGCAGAGGTTCACACTGATCTCGTTATAGAAGATGACCAATGACATGACCAGGAAGAAGGTGATGATAGACTTGATGTTGAGCCACGCCTTCACGATAACACTGGACCCGTGAAGATCCGGGGTACAATAGGTCTTCAGCAACCCATGCTTGCCGTAAAAAGCTAATATGCTTGTGGTAAGAGGCGACTAACGGGATCGGGTGGTCAGGCTCGCTGACTTGGTTGATGCCTGTCATAGATCCCAATTGCGTGGTTCGATGCTCATGATGTCAATCACTGGATTGTCTGGTCCAGACTCGATTATTTACAGACCGCCGTCATATAGCTGGAATATTGCTAAGTGTGGCGTTCAACAACAAACAAACAAAGCAGGAATACCAACTGGTATGTTCCATTCGGGATATTGTCTGAGAACATGTCAACTATCTGCAGTCGTACGTTAAGCTGAGTTTGAGAACACCCTTGCGTCGTGTACGAGACCCGGGTGCCCAACGCAAATATCTGTTAATTTATATTTGTCATCAAAAACAGCCTTGAGTATTTTTGAATACCATCCTTTTCTATTTACGTAATCATAGTGACAATGATGTGGGGCAGTTATTGGGATATAAGTCACATCTATTGCTTCAGCACATTTTGAAAATTCCATTTGTTCTGAAAGCCCTTGATCATATCTTTGAGTTCATTGCCATCTGGATACGAGATCTAGATACCAGTGATATATAATTGACAATATTTACATCTTGAGATACACCAAAATATAATTCAGTTTCACAAGCATAATGTAGACATGGATTGTTGCAACCAGAAAAAAAAGCACTTTAAGGTTTGAGAGAACAAAAATTTCCGTGGCCAATATGGGGATCGAACCCATGACATCCGCGTTATTAGCACGGCGCTCTAACCAGCTGAGCTAATCGGCCAACTGATAAGTCTGGGTAAAAAAATAGTATTTTAGGTAATATAATTATTGTCCATTTTACTGCTTTTTGAACACGTGTATATCAGTGTTTAATATGTTTAACTTCACATTGGGAAATTTGTTTTTGTAAACAAGCAAATTATGTTGTCCTTCCACGCTTATGGAACGAAGAGTTAGCTCCCTTCCCCTAGATGGCGCAAAATCGCGGGAATTAAGAAAATGGCGGGTGTAGAAGCTATGGAGGTGGAAGCTGTGGCAACTCCAGTGAAACCTGCAAAAGAAAATGTCAAATCAACTGGTTATGAAATGCCATGGTTAGTTTTAACTCACGTGGAACTTATCACGTGATTACATCTTATATCACGTCTTGTTATTCAGACAGTGCGTCCGACGGCTTGTTTTGACCTGTTTTCGTTCACCATCAAATGTCTAAACTAAAACTACAAAAATCTAGAGCCATGTCGCCGAGGCCTAATTTTGTCCACACAACCTATCAACCCTGCCATACACGCCATCCGACCGTCTCACCGTGCGTTGAGTAAACCAGGGAGGGACAGACCGGTTAAGTTGCTGAGTGCAACTTTCCTTTTCAACAATAACATGCGAAGAATGTCCTACCAAAAATGAAAATTACAATTTATGATGCGATGAGCAAAATCACTGCATTGTACAGCTACACATGTGACAACTGCCTTGGTGTATCGAAGTATCGATCAAGTCACACACTAAGTAAAAAAGGATTCTTACCTTAAATGTTTGCTATGATAACTGTTGCTTCAAACACTAATTAGTAGTGAAAACGTAAATATTTTCATCCATTGTGCCACAATTAATACTGTCAACTGAAATCGTCACTGTGCCTGCACCACAGATAAAAGCACATGCAAGTACAGTGATAGTGATACGTACATATCGGATCGTTAGCATGGTATTGTGATACGTATTTGATCGGTAACCGTTAAGAGTCCATTCATTAAATAGTGTTAAAAATTAGAATATATTTACACACTCACACAAATCCCTCATCTCTTTCCTATAATACACACACACACACACACACACACACACACACACACACTATGATAAATTCCCAGTCCCTTATGATTAACATGTCACCTAGAATATTGGTTTATGTGCCTCAAAGAGAGGATCAGTTATGTTTGTTTGATGCAAAACCACACATAAAAATAATGAATGTCACTTTTGTTGTTGCTCAGGGTAGAAAAGTACCGACCAACTAAACTGCACGAAATTGTCGGCAATGAAGAGACAATCAGCAGACTCTCAGTATTTGCGAAAGAAGGAAATGTGCCAAACGTCATTATCGCAGTAAGTAATCTACATTGCTGTCATGGCAATGGTTCAGTGCCACAACTTCCAAACTTGTAAAGTAGTGGATAATGGGGATTAGGGCTCTAATGGGTAAAACGAATGCGACTCGAGTACTCATCACCTCAAACCAGATTCGGACTCAGGTACCCAATATTTCCTGATACTAGACCATGCTTGAGGGTCCTGATGGGGGGAGGGGAGGGAGGGGGCTTGGGACCGTGTTTTCAAAGTCTGTAGTCAGTTATTTATTTGGTCAATTTAAGCTTACTGTAGTGAGTGTAATCCCTAATTTTCACATTTAATGTGCAATAATACAGCATAATATAGACAACGCTTAGCTTTTGTTATATTATTACGGTCAATGCAGGGTCAATTTAAAGTTTATGATAATTTGACTTTACGCAAGTCATTACAACCCCTCCGGACTTGTAAAATGTTAGAGTTATTGCCCTTTGTTCGGGTACTCACGCTCACTGACTTGGTTGATGCATGTCATCGTACCCCAATTGTGTAGATAAGATGCTCATGATATCAATCACTGGATTGTCTGGTCCAGACTCGATTATTAACAGACTGCTGTCATATAGCTTGAATATTGCTGAGCATGGCGTCAACCAACAATCAAACAGATAAGAGGCAACTAATGGGTTTGGGTGGTCAGGCTTTGTGACCTTGGTGATGCGTGCCATTGTATCCCAATTGTGTATGATGTCAGTCACTGGATTGTCTGGTCTCTGTTATTGCTGAATGAGACATAAAACAACAAACATAATCCTCATGCTTAATGTCAAAGATTTATGCAGAGCTCCAGATAAGCTTTTGGTGTTGTGGGTATTTTACCCATGCATTTTAAAATCATTGGGTATCAGTAATTCTATCTGCGTATTCAAATTTCTGTTACCCACTAGTTTTTACACATGTGGGTATTTAAGTCAAATATTTAAAACACTATTCATCTAGTCCCTGCAAACTGGTGTCGTGTGGGTTCGAGAGCTTTATAAGACTCAAAAATACCACGATACTTCCACAAGAAAGTGTGATGGAAAAAGATCATGATGTAACTGTCATCGTGGAGTTTGGCAAGGTTGACGGAATGCCTGTTTATATTTTCAAAATAAGTTGCTTATTTGCTAATCGAATACGTAGGGTTACTTCACAATATTTTGATGATACGCATAAGTTTTATTTTGTAGCGTATCTGTAATGTTCGTTGCGTATTTGATACGCTTGGATTATATTTTACTGCATATTTCTGCATTTCTGATGCGTATTTCACGCAGAGACGCAGCTTATCTGGAGCTCTGTTTATGAGTCCATAGTTCATATAGATTCAAATACCACAGGAGAAACACTCAAGGACCCGCTATCATTTCGAATACTGATTCACTTGCTATTCTTTTTATTATCATAGCATGAAGTTACTACACATATTACTGTGTTACTATAGTTACTGATATGTTGATATGGTTACAGGGTCCTCCAGGAACAGGCAAGACAACAAGCATCCTCTGTCTGGCCAGGGCTCTACTGGGGACCTCATTCCGAGATGCTGTGCTGGAGCTCAATGCTTCCAATGACAGGTGAGTCAGAAGCAGGTGTTATCTTTGCATCTGTATCCAGTACTTGGGACACCTGTGAAGATTCCGGGATAGAATAGGTCTTCAGCAACCCATACTTGCCATAAAAGGCGACTATGCTTGTCGTAAAAGGCGACTAACGGGATCGGGTGGTCAGGCTCGCTGACTTGGTTGATGCATGTCATCGATCCCAATTGCGTGGATCGATGCTCATGATATCAATCACTGGATTGTCTGGTCCAGACTCGATAATTTACAGACTGCCGTCATATTGCTGAGTGCGGCGTTAAACAACAAACAAACAAACAAAAGTACTTGGGCTAGGCAGTCTGTCCCCAAAACCTTGAGTCTACTAGTGGGAAAATGTAGTTTGACATAATTTTTGGTATATTTTAGTCTTAGTTTATGGATTAGTATAATGTGATCTTACTTATGTTACCAGACCAGAAGAAATTTTGCTTTACTTAGGTTCCGCACTAGTGGCTAAAGTCGCAGGTTGGTCAGGTAGGACAGAGATTTATCTAGACTTGCACTGAGTCTGAAGCAAATGACAGTAAAAATTCCTAATTGGAAATTTTCCAATTCCTCAGAATTTACGAAAATAAGAGTAAAAATATCCAAATCTGAAAATATCACGATTTATTCCTGATGTATTAGTTCTGAAGCCTAGGTAAATCCCTGAGTATGGCAGGGGTGGATTGTCCCTCTTAGATGCAGTTACCTTGCAGAGTTACCCCCCTTAGTTGTGCCAGGATTCACTTATCTTGGAGTCATGAAATGTTGCCCTGTGGTACTTCTGGCTTTCCTCCCACATGATACAGACATGCTGTGTAGACTTTCCAGGTTAGAATAGGTCCCCAGCTTCTTATCCTTGTCATCTGAGGCAACGTACTGGATCTGGTGGTTAGATCCGGTGACTCCATTGTGTCCATGTACTCTGACAGAGTAGGGCGTGGCTTGTCATGTTTGTGATATCAATCACTACCAAATGCGTTTGTGGATTTTGGAGATAAACAAACTGTGTTTTCAATGTAGAACTAGGTTGCCTGTTGATCTATCCTTGATAAATTGAATTTGGAACCGAAGGTGCAGCAGAGATGGTTATTGTGATTTTCAATCTCTGAATGATCAATCAGTGTCGTAATATTCCAATTTTAGGTAACATTCTGACTTTTCAGGAACGCCCATAGTAGAGTAAATAAACTGCAAGAAACATTTTGCGAACACAAAGAATAGTCAAACTGATTACAGTCGCAGTGTCTCAGATAGATGCCTTCTTGCTGTCACCGGTCTGATTTCTGTTGGGAGAGGTCTGCACAAAATTACTGGGGACCTATCATTTACTACAGGGTTGGTACCCGTGAAGATCCGGGGTAGAATAGGTCTTCAGCAACCCATGCTTGCCGTAAGATGTGATTAACGGGATGGTGTGGTCAGGCTCACTGACTTGGCTGATGCATGTCATCGTATCCCAATTGCGTGGATCGATGCTCATGATGTCAGTGACTGTATTGTCTGGTCCATACTCGATTATTTACAGACCGCCGTCATATAGCTGGAATATTGCTGAGTGCTGCGTTAAACAACAAACGAACAAACTACAGGTTTATAATGCTCTAATGCACTGAAAATAATGACCCAGCCCCAAATGCTTGTCATATTTTTGGAGGACCCATTTCCTTTGACATTTGGGGCGATGGTAGCCTAGTGGTTAAAGTGTTCGCTCGTCACGCCGAAGACCCGGGTTCGATTCCCGACATGGGTACAATGTGTGAAGCCCATTTCTGGTGTCCCCCGCCGTGATATTGCTGGAATATTGCTAAAAGCGGCGTAAAACTATACTCACTCACTCACTCCTTTGACATTTTTATCACAACCCTACTAAATATATGTTATTTTTTATGACCCTTCCTCAGAGACTGTCATGTTTTTTGGTGACTCTTCCACCTGTTATAGAAGTTACAAATACTTCAGACACTGTACAGACAAGAGATGTATTAATACAGTTATCATTATGAAGATGATGTGTTGTGGTTTCAGAGGTATTGACGTAGTGAGAAATAAAATCAAGATGTTTGCACAGCAGAAAGTCACACTCCCCAAAGGAAGACACAAAGTCATCATCCTGGATGAAGCTGACAGGTAGGGATGGAGTTACATACTGGTTTCAGGTGACAGGGACCAACAGATAGCCAGTAGGTAGCAATGCGAAATTGATATTTTCTTGCACTAATAATACACAAGGGAAACCCTGATGGTAACAGACAAGCTGACTTTGTTTAAAAAATTACACTTACCGTATTCAACGTAATAAGCGCCCACGGTGATATTTGCAAGTGAACAATCCCAATTAGCACCCTTCCGATTGATCAATGTACACAAGACTTATTTATTCGTGTATAATACGCACTCGTGTGTTATATGTACCCTTAATTATGGGCAATTAAATTCTGGAAAGATATATCTGTCGTATATAAACAGTTAAGGCCGTCAGTATAAACCACAAAATTTATCTTTCAGCTCTGTTTTTTCCGCCAAAATAATATTCTAATAAGAGCCCCCCATTTCTAATTTTGAGCGCGCCCCGGGCGCTTATCATGTTTATGTTTAAAGATTTATAAGGTACTTTTTTTTAATTACCAGTCCAAGCCTAATTTTACAAGTAAATGACGGGTAATTACCAATAATCAGGAACACTGTCGTGGATTTGGAGCTGTGTCAGTGGATGTTAATCTGAGCGTTCTACAGCATGTCTGTCCTGTGTGTTATACAGTATGACCGAGGGAGCCCAGCAGGCCTTGAGGAGGACTATGGAGATCTACTCAAAAACAACCAGATTTGCACTGGCCTGTAACTCTTCCGAAAAAATAATAGGTGAGCACAGGCTGAACCTTCAGCCACAGCTGTGATGTGAGGCCCAAAGTGCTGGACATCGAAAAGAGTTGCGTCCCTTGGCTTATGAACTGGTCCATCAGGGATTGCCCGTGACAAAAGGAATTAGGACGTTTTCATGACTTCAATAACTTTTGATAGAACATTCTTCTGTATCTCTACCAAATTTGAAAAATATCTATTGGAAATTTTGGGTTACAATAAGTCAGTGTCCTAGAAAAGGAGCCCAACCCTGCCCATACCTGTCCTCAAGTGATGACTGCCTTTGTGGTCTAGGGGCAAAGCGCCCACCCGGGGAGAAGAAGGTTAGGGGTTTGACCCCTGGACGCATCATACCAAAAGAAGTTTAAATATGGTACTTGTTGTTACCCTGCCTGGACCTTGGCAGGAAGGGACTAAAACAAGTACTGGTCAGCTCGGAATCAGTATAGTGTCTGAGTGGGATACTCCTGTTAAACTGTGGCATGGTATCTCAATGGGCTAGCATTATAAACTCAGTATTAGTCCGGTGGGCTAGCATTATAAACTCGGTATTAGTCCAGACCAGTACAATTTCAAACCCTGACGTAGAATATTAATCACCTACTGTTTTCAGATTCAGAGAAGAAAAAGCTTGTAGTGACAGTCTTCTTTCTTCCCCCCCCCCCCCCCCACCCCCCCCCCCCATCCCCACCTACCCATCCCCACCTCTCCCCCTCCTCACCTCTCCCCAGAGGACGACATGGCCATTTCCTCAGTATGTTTTCCTGTGTTGTAGAACCCATCCAGTCGCGGTGTGCGGTGTTGCGCTACTCCAAGTTGTCAGACGGCCAGCTGTTGGCGCGTCTCCTGGAGGTGTGTGACAAGGAGGGGGTGAGCTTCAATGACGAGGGGCTGGAGGCCATCATCTTCACCGCCCAGGGGGACATGAGACAGGTGAGTCAGGGGGTCCAGGAGATCCTCGCTCAAAAAACGCTCTGGCCTGCTGGACCAATGCTGGTCGATATTGATCAGGACCAGTCATTTTAAACTTAAATTGTCTGACTGGCTTGTGAAAAAAAACAAGTCTAGTGCACTGATGATAGTTTCTTTCCAGAAAGAAAGGATGGCACTAGGCAGAATTATGTGTAGTTTACATGTGGTTTGGTGAGAGAAATGTGTTGAACACTCTGATTTGTTGGCTATTTCTGTAAGACTTGTTATTTTCTGGTGCTGTGTCAAGTATTTGGTCATTTCGTCATTAGATGACTGTCATTACCTGTCTAGCTGTATTCTAGACAGTTTCTGATGCTAAATAGTAGATGAAAATAACATTGTGTTTAACTTCATTTTGTTTTTCCTGCAGGCTATCAACAACTTACAGTCAACGTTCCAGGGGTTTGGCCATGTCAGTACAGAAAATGTATTTAAGGTACCAGAAAACTGTCTCTCTGTTTCTAGGTTAAGAATACTGAGCTAATTGTGAAGGGATTTTCCTCCTGTTCAAATTATGTCCCCTCCCCCTTCCTCCCTGCATCGCTGTACAGTGGTGGGTGGTCGGGTAGCCGAGTGGTTAAAGCGTTCGCTCTTTATGCCGAAGACCCGGGTTCGATTCCCGACATGGGTACAATGTGTGAAGACCATTTCTGGTGTCCCCCACCGTGATATTGCTGGAATATTGCTAAAATATTGTGGCTGTTTCGGGATGTTTTTTGGTTGAGGACAAGAAATTTTTGTGGCCACGAATCGCTAAGATAGCCAAGAATGCAAAAGAATCGATCTTCGAAGCTGGTAAGGAACATAAGAATTAATTACGAATGGATTACGAATGGATTACGAATAAATTGCAATTCGTAGACCCTTCCACAAAAGGTTTTTACAAACAAAAACTTTCTCGCGGATTCGACGAACTCATGCGGACTGTACGAATGTTTGGGGATCAAATAAGATTCATTTAAGAACTTCAAGAAATGATTGAGATTTATCCACGAACATGAAAAATTTCCTATTCGGGATATTCAGAGTCGTAGTAAAATGGGGGCATTACAGGCCACCATAACATAGGTGGAACATTGCCGAAAGCAGCATTTAACAACACGCACAATAGTGAGGTGTTTCTCTGATGCAGGTGTGTGACGAGCCCCACCCTGTGACAATCAAGCACATGCTGGACCACTGCGTCACAGGCAACCTGGACGAGGCGTACAAGATGATGGCGCACCTGTGGGGGCTCGGGTACTCCCCCCATGACATCATCACCATCATCTTCAGGGTCTGCAAGAACCAGAACATGCCGGAATTTCTTAAACTCGAGTTCATCAAAGTAAGGGCAAACAGAATCTAAGCTACAGAAGATTAATTGTTTGTTCTCATCCTTTCTTTTTAAGATATTTTTTTTGTAATTTGGTAGGGAGTTTCTGATCCTGAATCGGTTACAATTTGAAAGTTGGTTACAATTTGAAAGTTGTCACAAGAAAACTTGAAAGCCTTTCAGTCCTCAAAACCATCAAATATTGTCCTCACTATTTAGGCTGAAAAAAAAATAGTCTTGGTTCTCAGGCACTGTGCATCATTAAGTCTGCCTCATGTTTCATTTTTATTTCCCTTTTTTAAAAATCCCCCCAAAATCCTTAAATATTCCAAGACCAACGGTCATCAAATACTGTAAACCAGTATTTATTCCTCAAGGAATACGACCCGTGAAGATTCCGGGGTAGAATAGGTCTTCAGCAACCCATGCTTGCCGTAAAAGGTGACTATGCTTGTCGTAAAAGGCGACTAACAGGATCAGGTGGTTAGGCTCGCTGACTTGGTTGATACATGTCATCGATCCCAATTGCGTGGATCGATGCTCATGATATTAATCACTGGATTGTCTGGTCCAGACTCGATTATTTACAGACCGCCTTCATATAGCTGGAATATTGCTGAGTGTGGCGTTAAACAACAAACCAACCAATCATCAAGGAATACATTTATGTAGGTAGGCCCTTTCCCAGGTTACCAGGAACAACTATTCATTTGGTTCTAGTTTGAACAACCCCCCCTAAAACCCACCCGCCCGCCTGCACCATATTTTCAAAAGCCTTTGCCTGAGAACCATTTCTTTTATTTTTTTAAGCCTTGTCAAGGATGTAATATTCAAGCTTGTTATATTGCTACTATTCATTCACATTCAACACAGCACTGAAATAACTTCCTGCTCGGGGAAGTTAGTCCTCACGTCTGTCCAATCCAGCATCAGCAACCTAGATGCAGATTATAGGGGAGGTTGGTGGGATTACTCCTGATGTAACCGACGACAGTATTCTTTGAATCATTGAAAAATGATACCTATGACTACAAAAAAATAATAATCTTGGTTATCAGGCACCGCCTGCGTCATCTTAAAGTCCGCAGCACATTTTGTTTTTATTTCCATTTCTAAAAAACCCGAAAAATCCTTAAATATTCCAAGTCCAACTAGAGTCAAATACTGTATTCCAGTATTTTACTCATCAAGGAATACATTTATGTAGGGAGACCCTTTTCCAGTTTTATTGTTCACAGCTTTTTATTTAGATACACAAATGTTTATTTGGTTACATACGAGTTTCAACAACAACAGAAAAAAAAGATGCCATACGCCTGCAGTATGTTTTCAAAAAACATTGCCTGTGAACCAATTCTTTTATTTTGATAAGCCTATTACATGTATTTGATATTGCAGGAGATCGGCTACACCCACATGCGGATAGTGGAGGGGGTGGACTCGCTGCTGCAGATGGCGGGGATGCTGGCCAGGCTGTGTAAACTATCTGCAACTCCAGGGACGGCAGTGGGACAGTGACCTGCATCAGCAACAACGCTCTCACATCAGACAGCATCCCTAGTGCTGGGTTATGGGACCACAAGGATAATGCTCTGGGAAGAACTTGTATGCTTGTGATAGAAAACTTTGATTGTGACCAAATTGCAGACTTGTATCATGATTGTAACCAAATTGCAGACGTGTATCATGATTTACAAACTGATCAAATTCATGAGAGGTCAAAAGAATGCTTGTTTACATTTGATCATCTATGTTTACAGTTTCCAGCTTCTGTCTTTTTATGTTGCACAATGGAGTTAATATTAGGGCTTGGACGATACACCAACTGTGCTATCCGATACGTATCGTGATACCTTGCTCACGATCCTATACGTGTCACGATTCTTGCATGTGCTCTGTGATGCGTAAGCCATCTTTGTCATACACAGGATGGCCAAATACCTGGCACATTTACAATTTATATTTAGCAGTGTCAAGTATGTCACAATGTATGAAAATAATTGTTTTCACTGCTCATTTCCAGTAATTAGTGTTTGGTGTAAGATTTATTAAAGAATACATTTAAGAAAGAATCGATACATTTTACTTGTGTGCAATTGTGATCAATACTTGTATCGAGAAGTAAAAAATCACGATCCACCGATGCATCAGTGTATCGTCCCACCACTAGTTACCATGGTTACATGTAACATCAGCCTCTTCGTGAATGGTCCATACGATGGGAAAAATTACTTTTCATGAATATTTCATTAACATTCTCAAAATGATCTGTAAACATCTCGTCTACATCTTAAGAGATTTGTAGACATCTGTCAAGTTCATGTACAACCCACATGTTGATGTAATTCTGTACTTGTCATATTGTTATCATTGTTGTAAATAATGCTCATTCTTAGTAAACATGTACCATTTCCAGGATTGTGTTTGTACTTGCTGAAATGGAGGCCTCCATGGTCTATTGGTAGAGCATCTGCCCGGAGAGTCCTGGGTTTGATCCCGGGCCGTGTCATACCAAAAGACGTTAAAAGATTGTACTTGTTGTTAATCTGTTAAAGAAGGGTCAAAACAAGGACTGGTCGGCTCGGAGTCAGTATACTGTGTCTTAGTGGGGTATTCATGTGAACCTGCGGCATGGTATCTCAGTGGGTAGCACTTAAAAATCGACATCAGTCCGGACTAGAACAAGCACAGGCATCAAGTCGCTATATAAGTGCTATAATCTTGGACTCAACGTTAAACCCCATTTCACCTCACCTTCACGTTGGTCGGGTAGCCTAGTGGTTAAAGTGTTCGCTCGTCACGCCGAAGACCCGGGTTCGATTCCCGACATGGGTACAATGTTTGAAGCCCATTTCTGGTGTCCCCTGCCGTGATATTGCTGGAATATTGCTAAAAGCAGCGTAAACCGCATTCCCTCACACACTCACCTTCACCACTTGCTGAAATACTGGATCTCTCTCAAAGGTGTGAGTGAGTTGGATTTTACACCACGCTTAGCGATTTTCCAGGAATATTATGGCTGGAACACCAGAAATTTTACATTTTAGCCTGGATCTTTGGTGTGACAAGCGTTAACCACTCGGCTACCCCTGAAGACCAGTTCTGTCCCAGATCTTCATGGAATGAGTTGTCAGGTCAAACAGATCTGGATGCCTCAGATGATCAAACTTCTATCTACAAGTGATGTCTTTGTTTTGACACTGATTGGATACAGAAACTTCCCTTGAAGATCTGGTTTAAACTGGTCATCCTATCCCAAAGGGGTAGATCGATGATCATGATTTCAGTGTAGGAGAAACCATGTCTCCGAGGGATTACTAGAGATTGTAAACCCTCCCATGAAGTAGACAACGTTTTTAATTAAATAACTGTAATAAAAACTCTCAAATGTATAACCTGTATCGGAGATGAAATATCGCCTGCAGTCGTGAACTCGGTTCAGTGAAACCGGTGACCTCAGCACGCGGGTTTCGCAACGGTGCGAAATCTGCACGTGCGTCTCGTAATGGCACGAAATCTGCACGTGCGTCTCGTAGTTTTTGTTTTTGAGGGTTTACAATGATTGTAAGCCCTCCTGCGAGGTGTTACATTCGTTGTAATACCTCCTACGAGGTGTTACCACAATTTCAAAAACTCCATATCGAGTTACACAAACAGCCAGTAGGTTTATTAGTGACTGGATTGTCTGGACCAGACTCGATTTTTTACAGACTGCCGTCATATAGCTTGAATATTGCTGAGTGCTGCGTTAAACAACAAACAAACACAGATACAGAAACAAAAAGGCGAGTGAATGGTTGAAGGGTTTTATTGAAGGATACCTGGGACATAGCATCTTGGTGCGCTCTAAGGCCATCTTTGTGGTATTGAAAGTATCACAGACAAAAGAAAATGAAAACAGCTGAGATGGAGTAGAATGAATCGGACAATAGCACCAATCCTAGATTGACATTGTCACTATCCAACAAGACCAAGTATACAAAACCTTCAACAATGACACAGGGTCCATGACAAACAGGTTTCAGATCTGTAGTACGAGCATTGGTCAACATGTACTTCCTGCCTTAATATTCCCCAACTGCCTACTGATTAACGAATACTATACATAAAGCTGAAGGCCAGATCCAGCCTACTGGATGCTGATGGGGTAGTTATTAATACAGTATTCGTAGCAAGGACTTACTCCATCCTTAACAAGAATGCATTATTCTTCTTTATGCCAACCAATTGATAATTTGTTTACTCTTCATAAAAAATTACCCCCCCCACCCCCAAATATGGTTATTGACATGATTGCAGGCCTTGATTATTTTACTTTTTATTCATCAACTTTTCTTTGTGTTCTCTACCTTCAGGGATTTTTTGGAAGTTTTTCACCCTTAAGATTTGACCTATCTGCCTACACAAATTTTTGCAAATATCAAAACCAATCTCATTAAAATCAGGGCATAGTGGTACAAATGTCTGATAGTAATGAGACTGCTCAAGAACCGAATATGGTGTTACTTTTTCAGCCAAATGAACCTTGATCCTGTAATTGTCTTAAATCTGAAAACATAAGTGCTATTATCATTAGTTCTTGTTGCTTGTAAAAAAAAATTTAAAAAAAAAAAAAAAAAAAAAATGGCCTTCAATTGAATAAACTTAAACTCCAACCTCCATCCTGTGTCAGCTTTATAAGATATTAGTCATGCATATGATACAATTATTGCAAATTACTCTCCTTCATTCACACACCAAATTATATTTATAATCATAACACAACTTCAGCATGTCAAACAGGAATAAATAGAATCAGAACACACTATATAATATGTGGAGATGATAGGCAGAGAGGGAGCTTGTACACAAGAGATGGAGTATATTGAATGAGACAGTGTCAAGCTCTCCCATACAAAAGACCATCTTCCCGAGGCAAGAGAGTTAACTGACTTTAAAAGTCCAGTTTCCACCCTTGCCGAACTAGGCTGGTATTATGGAGTTACATTTTGGCTGGGCTAACGAGTCTATGCATAGTCCAATCAAAATCGCGCACCGAAATCAAAATCCGGTTCGTAAACTGTCGTGCAGATTTCAGTTGACTGCAGGATTTGCAAAGCATGTGCACCGCCAACTCGTTGTCAGCAGATATTTTCCAAATCTTTTCATGTTTTTAATCAATGTGCTCACGTGATTTGATGCATTTCGCGATGTAAGACCCGTTTTATCACAATATAGATCTTTATTATCGATCAGATCGTCCTGACTGGGCGCCACCATTTTGTGTGAAGCAAACACGAGTGATACGAGAAGTGGAATCTGATTGGTCCATAGGAGAGGCTTAGAAGGGACATAACTGGTAATAGCCACGGGTGGTGCTACGATTTAACCCAGTAATTCCAGCCTAGTTCGGCAAGGGTGGAAACTGGACTTTGAAAGTCCGTTAACTCTCTTGCCTCGGGAAGATGACAAAAGACAGTAGATGAACATGACGCACAGATCCATGGGAGGACTCCGACCCATGAAGGATTCTCGGATATTGGGCATATTTCCTAAGTCTATTTGCTGGATCTGAACTAAATTTCACGACGTCGAATAAAACTAAAATATAAAGAAAAGTCCTTGTCTGTTAATATATTTCATTAAAAAAAAAATTAACAGTGTCAGTGACATGATATAATTGTTCAAAAGAGACTGCGTGTTAGAACTGTTTCCACTGCTATTGACATGGCAAATTTTCTTGGCTTGAGGATTTTTTGCATTGACGGTTCTTTGGTGGTTGTAAATCTGGTCACATAGTGTAATTTTAGTGCTCAAGGGCTGCAATAGTAAAGGCCAAAAACATTTGATATTTTTTTATTTACTCATTAATTGAGATTTTATTTAGCACCTGGAAAAAATAGAGTTCATAAACTTTAAAAAACATACCGTATTCGACAATAAGCGCCCACGGCGATATTTGCCAATATATTGGCAAGTGAACAATCCCAGTTAACACCCCTTCCGATTGATCAATGTACACTGGACTTATTTATTCGCGTATAATATACACTTGTGTGTTATATGCACCTTAAATATGGGCAATTAAATTCTGCAAAAATATATCTGTCGTAATATAAACATTTCAGGCTGTCAGCATAAACTATGAACTATATCCTTCAACTCTGTTTTTTTCACCAAAATAATATTCTGAATTAGCCTATTAGCCATATACCAAATACAGTCCATAGATCGGAGTCCAATATAAATATACTGATAAAAAAATAAGGGAATAAATAAAAATGGAAGCATACATAGGGTATGAAAATTTGTATGAACCCCAGAGAAAAAATGATTATTTACCAGTGTATTGAGAATATCACATACTGATACCTCACTGACTCTCGTGTTGACATACAATTATTTACCAGTGTAATGAGAATATCACATACTGACACCTCACTCTGACTCTCGTGTTGACATACAATTATTTACTGAACACAGCAGTAACCAGTACTCCATTCTACTGTTCTGCTTCATCAACAGGATGTGTAAATGTGTGTGGTGTGTTTAACACACAGCATACAATGAAAAAGACTATTTTATTCATACGAAGTGAAGATTCAGTATTCAAATGGAACCTGTGAACTCCTTGGTCCAAGGGCAGATCCAGCATTTTAGTGAGTGAGTGAGTATGGTTTTACGCCGCTTTTAGCAATATTCCAGCAACATCAGGGCGGGGGACACCGGAAATGAGCTTCACACATTGTACCCATGTCGGGAATCAAACCCGGATCTTCAGCGTGACGAGCGAACGCTTTAACCACTGGGCTACCCAACCGCCCCTCCAGCATTTTAAAAAGGGAGGGGTCCAAAATATCAAAATCCTCTCTCAGTCAATTTGTACTGCCTTCAACATACATTTGATTTTCGAAAGAGGGGGCGTCAGAGCCTACTGGACCCCCATGGATCCGCCTATGCTGGTCCTTTGAGTCCTAACCATGGGTGAACTTAGATTGGCATATTCTTTCAAAAACCAAAATCAAAAGCTAAATTAAATTTTTTTTGGCAATACCACTCATCTCTGATAGATTAGAAAACAGTAGTAGAACACAAGGTAAAAAGTGATTAAGAGATGAATTTCTTGTAACATCGAAAGATTATTGTTAACATCCTACACTCGAAACAATGTTAGCATTCTTTCTCCCCACTATAGGGGGCACCGGTGGCCCAGTCGTCTTAGGCGCTGTGATTCCCTGTGCAGAGTGCCCTTTGGGCACGCCAGAAACCTATGATGTTGGGTTTGAATCCCAGTTCGCCACGATTATGTTTCTAGGTTTGTCAGCACCATACCTGTGCTCGTGGGTTTCACCGAAGTGGAAAACGTCTGAGACCTGCATCACTTCGGGCTTTCCTCCCACATTAAACTGACACGCCGCGATATAACTGGAATACTGTTAAAAGCGGCGTTAAACCCAACTCACACTCTCCCCACTATACCATATAAGCCTACTAACCATAACACTTTATGCAACATACAATAAAATATATCATCATGACCATGACACATTAATGATAGTACATACTACTACATAGGAGGGGCGGTCGGGTAGCCTAGTGGTTAAAGCGTTCGTTCGTCACGCCGAAGACCCGGGTTCGATTCCCGACATGGGTACAATGTGTGAAGCCCATTTCTGGTGTCCCCCGCCGTGATATTGCTGGAATATTGCTAAAAGCGGCGTAAAACCATACTCACTCACATACTACTACAAAGGAACAAATTTGGGTGTTCAACTTCTTGTGTGTAGCATAAACTGAGCTACACAAATTTATATTTTTATTTTAACCGCATCTAGCTTTTTGGTTAATATAAAAAACATCCGTAAATCAACAATCAATTGTGTAACCTCGGGGCTACTTAAAACATGCACCAGTGCAACCATTTATTGATAAGTGCAACCTAACATTTATGTCTACATGCACCAAGTGCACGTGAAAAGATTTCAAATTTGTGCCCGACAAACAATAACCTGTTTCATCATTTTTGAACACACTCAATACCTGTAAGCTTAATGTACCACACTACATCACTAATCCCTGTGTTATGTGTAATTTGTCATGCTTTCTTTGGTGTGAGGTCATCAAATTGTGGGTACTTCAAGATAATGTGCACATGTTCCTATTACAGCAATATGTCATTACCTTATGTAAAATCATGACACAGTCATCAGAGATCTGAGGTTTTATCTATTTAGGTGTTTATGCATCTGTGTTCCAACTTCGATAAATTAATGGGACCTTAATCTCATTAAAATCAGATCTTAGTTCTCGCTATTTACGTGACCCGTAATGGAATGTCCTCAGATCTTTGCTTAGCGGTAGCGAAAACTAAGGTCTGATTTTAATGAGATTGATGGGACCTGGGTGCAACCTGTTTTTGTCTGGTGCAACCTGGTTTTGACTGGTGCAACCTGGTTTTGACTGGTGCAACCTGGTTTTGTCTGGTGCAACCTGGTTTTGCCTGGTGCAACCTGGTACAAGTCAAGTTCAAGTTCCTTAAATCAAACCCTGGACCTCGGTCCAACATTAGATTGACGTAACTGAACAAAGTACAAACAGAAAATTATGAGAAACATTAACGCATCTCTGATGTTGCTGGATACTGTTTCAGGCGTCTGTACATGATATGGGGTTTTGAATGTGCGCTCATAGTATAGACAATGCATGACATGAAATTTAAGCTATTCACAAAGACTGAAGAACAGTATATTGCATAATTTTTCAAATATCCATGAAGTGTTGAAGCCCTCGAACTTGAAAGAGGTAAAAAAGAAACCCATTCACCCATGATGTTAAACCTGGCTCTGATACCGTATTCACGCTAATAAGCAACCCTGTGCTGAGAAAATTGACAAAGGGGGCACTTATTAAAACCATACACAATTTAAATTTGTTTTCAGAGATCAATTTGTAGTAAATAAATTTCGTTCAAATGTCGATCAAACTAAAATGGTATCGATGATCGTAATGCAATAATAAAGCCCTTCTATGCTACTGTTTTCTGTAATATACTCTATAAGTTGCCAAACGATCTCGAGGGGTATGTGCTGTGATGTACCCTGTGTGTGAGTCTATGTACCCTGAGCCAACCGGACTGTGAACTGGCTACATGGAAAATAAGTGCCCACTCCTTAACCAATCAGAAGCAAGTATTTTAAAAGTATCTTAATGTAAGATAAAGCTGTTGTTGGTTGTTTAACGCCGCACTCAGCAATATTCCAGCTATATGAGGGCGGTGTGTAAGTAATCGAGTCTGGACCACACAATCCAGTGATTGACATCATAAGCATGGATCCATGCAATTGGGACACGATGCCATGCATCAACCAAGTCAGCGAGCCTGACCACCCGCCTCTTACAACAAGCACAGTCGCCTTTTACGGCAAGCATGGGTTGCTGAAGGCCTATTCTACCCCGGATCCTCACCGGTGTGTAAGATAAAGAAAATACGTACACATAGTGTTCTTGTCATGTAAAATTCCAGTCTTAGTAGGAACACTCATAAAGACTAATTACAGATTGGTCGGGGGTGCTTATTGGAATTAAAACGATACAATATATGCATTGCTCAGCATGAAAATACACATTTTCTCAAGCCAAATTTCAGTTCATGAAAAGCATTATTCTGATGGGCAACAAGATCGGATCAAGTGTTTAGGTTCATAATATCAAGCTTGATTTTCCATACATTCTATATATACCGTATTCGACGTAATAAGCGCCCAGGGCGCTCTCAAAATTAGAAATAGTGGGCTCTTATTAGAATATTATTTTGGTGAAAAAAAATGAGTTGAAAGGTAAATTTCGTGGTTTATGCTGACAGCCTGAAATGTTTATATACGAGAGATATATTTTTCCAGAATTTAATTGCCCATAATTAAGGGTGCATATAACACACGAGTGCGTATTATACGCGAATAAATAAGTCTTGTGTACATTGATCAATCGGAAGGGGTGCTAATTGGGATTGTTCACTAGCCAATATATTAGCAAATATCGCCGTGGGCGCTTATTAGAGCGGGGCGCTTATTATGTCGAATACGGTAATTGTTATCATAAAGTACTAAGAGAATAAGATCAGACAGGTATTCACTGTTTATCTTTAAAGCTAGTGCATCGTGATGTGTGTATCCTGATGTGAGGTATGATGATTTGTTATTGGGCTGAGAAAAGTCCAAATTTACCACCTGGGTACGGAAGTAGGTACAAAATGTCTGATTGGGAATTGTTTTACCGCAGCCCTGGCAAAAACCATTCAGATAAACTTTTCAAACGATTTGATCCTAAATACTGAAGCTTTATCTTTACTCAAACCTAAAAGTCAGAGTGAATGTGTTCAGTCAGAAAGGGATGAGTAAGTGAGTGAGTCTGATTTTACGCCGCTTTTAGCATTATTCCAGCAATATCACGGCAGGGGTCACCAGAAATGGGCTTCACACATTGTACCCATGTCGGGAATCGAACCCGGGTCTTCGGCGTGACAAGCGAATGCTTTAACCACTAGGCTACCCGACCGCCCCCAAAAAGTAATGCGAACATTAGCAGCTTGTGCGACCATGGAGCTTTATTCGTATTGTCCTTAAACAAAATAATTATGCTGTGACTAACCACGGGTCCGGGTAGTATTGTGGGTACCTGGATCCATCTCAGGACCCGTCCAATATGAGTACCAGTAGTATACTGGGTCCAGGGTGATCGCCTCAGCGCGAGGAGACATGAGGTGTGACAATATGCTGCCCTGACTACTAATATCTTAGCAAGGAATATTACTGTACATTGGTCTGCCTTATTAATCCAGTTTCATTCAAAGCACACAGTACCATCAATACTATACAATCAATACTAGATGTACCAAAACACAAATAATAACTCTTGACTAGGTTAATATGCAAAAACAAATATCCGAGGACCCGACCCCTGAGGTGGTCTGACCAGACCGAGGCCGCAGGCAGTGTCCAGTCAGAACACTGAAGGTAGTTGGGTCCGAGGGTCCTAGTTTTCGCATATTGACCTTGTCAAGAGTAATCATTCGTTTTGTTGTACCGAAATTCACTTTCAAGTTTAAACAGTCTTTAAACTGTCCTCTGTTTCATTATAGTTTCGTAGCTGCGAACCGTTAAATGTTTGATCCAGACGCCATCTTGATTCTAGCAGATGGGTCATTATTCATCACTTGACAGGTCAATACTGATCATGTGACGAATCAATATTCGAGGTCAGTGTCAGTCACACGATTTCAGGGTCTACATTGAAATGTATTGTTTTGTCACATGGTACGGATTAACCAATGGAATTGCAAGATTCTTAACAGAGGTATAACAATAAATCTTAACTCACTCACTCACTTCCATGCTAACATCGCCAGTCTTATGGATTTAAGCATAACCTGTGCATGTTGCCAAAACGGCTGCCATTTTCTATAAGTCAAACATCCGTCAGTAGTGGTAATTTTCATTCTACGATATCTCGTAAAAAGACATAAAATTTATATAATTTCATATAATAAGTGATTCTCTCAATAGGAATATGCTGTTTGTTCGGACTAAATTCAATGGTACTTGACATGCCCCTGCCGAAGCAGGGGATGTAATTTTCCTGCATGACAATAGTCGCGACAAACAGGCTAAAGAGGGTTAACAATCATAGGTACAAAGTTATCTCCCTTCAAATGTACATAAACTATTGTGACAATAATCGATGCCCAGACAAACAAGTTTTCACATCACAAGTAGTACATGAGATACGGAATGATGAAATATCATAATTTCATAAGCATAATTAAGAATCCATGTGTCCTCATGAGCAAATTATTACTTTGTTCAAAAGTAAGAGTTATTACATTTTCAGTTTGTGTTTTTAAATCCCACACACATCCAATATCACTGCGGTGAGCCTCTACCGTCAACAAGAGCCAAGGCAGTGTATTCACAAACTGGTAATGGATAATAAAGTATATAAACATGTTTGATGTGACTTTGACTTAATGTAGAAGTGGTATTTGTTACAATGGTCCAACTGGTTGATGTAATCGGAGATACCTCACAGGATATTATACACTGCACACCCATATAACCCTTGAATACATATAGCCACTGTGCAGTGTAGTAGTCATGTGCCAGTGCATCTTCTTGAAGCAAGGGAGTTAACTGACTATAAAAGTCCAGTTTCCAACCTTGCCACCTAGGCTGGAATTCCCGAGTTATATTTTGGCTGGATGAATGAGTGTATGCATTGGCCAATCAAAATCATGTATCGAACTAGACATCCGTTCATAAACAGCTGGATTTGCAAAGCATGTGTATCATCTAAAGATATGTCTTTTCATGTTTTCATCAAGGTGCTCAAGTGATTAAATGTTCTTAATGGGGTAAGACCCGTTTTATTACAAAATAGATCTTGATTATCAATCAGATCATCTTGACGGGGTGCCGCCATTTTGTTTGAAGCAAATGCAAGTGATATGAGAGATGGAATCTGATTGGTCAATTGGAGGTACATAGAAAACACATAACTCGAAATTGCCACTTGTGGCGCTATGATTGCGCCTGGAAATTCCAGCGTAGTTTGGCAAGGGTGGAAACTGGACTTTTTCAGTCAGTTAACGCCCTTGCACAGGGAAGATGGTATCAATATTACTAGTTTTAGTCAGGAAATGAAATGTGACTGTTTAAAACTCATGGAAGTCAAATGAACCCCACTCTGTGCATGACCTTTGTTTGACCTGTGCATGACCTGTGTTTGACCAATGCATGACCTTTGTCTGGCCCATGTTGTACATATTGTCACGAGAGAAACTTTGTCGTTTGTGAGACGAAAGCTGAGCTTCGATCCCACTGGAACCAGGCCGCTTGATTCGCTGGTTTAAAATAGCAACAACACTGCAAAACATTTAATATATTCACGGGTGATTGAGGAACATTGTGTATACAAACCTGTGAAGTATTGCCGATTAGGTTACTTGAGTAGAATAAGAAGCTTGTGAACAGAAAGAAAAAAATATGACCTCACAAACCTCCTGTCTAGTTTAGGATGGCCATCTGTGAGACACCCAACCCATTAAACCTGCCAGTAAGTATCACGTCCATGATAATTCAAGCCTTTGATGTACATATTGTCACAAAACAGAAACGGGAAACAATAACTCGTTACTGACATACTTCAACCTATGTGCCCTGTATATATATGAACTTGGAACTGGCGCCACAGTCTATGGTAAAACTTCATTCCTCATTCTTGCTTTCTGCAGGATCTGGGTGCGTTTCCTCCTCTCCATTGCCCGGTTGCTGACCGTCTGCTTGAGAGCAGGAAGGGTGACATTGTCTCGCTGAATGTATGCTATGTCTGGCCTGGAACATCAAAACATGTAGGATGAAGAGGTACATTTGCTGTTGCTGTTTTTCTACCAATCTCATTAAAATCAGATCTTAGTTCTCGCTACCGCTAAACAAAGATCTGAGGACATCCCATTACGGGTCACGTAAGACCGACCTTGCGCGAACTTTGACCGACCAATGGAATGACCAATCAGAAGGCAGATTTCTTGTCTTTACGGTACCAATTTCAAATTGGGGACTACGCTTCGAAACATATTTTGACAAATTCTCGATTACAAATTTGAAACCTGAACAAAAGAACATTCTGGAATGGTTAATAGATGGTCTAGATTGTATGGATTCAGTCGTTAAACCAATAACTATCGTTCGGGATATCCCGTGTTAATGTTTTCGAGGTTGTATGATTAGAAATCACATTCCGACTGTCACTTACCAGATCATCTGGTAAGTGACGCTCTGATTGGTCGGATGAAAGGTTTTTCTGACGTGACCCCTAATGGGATGTCTTTGTTTAGCGGTAGCGAGAACTAAGGTCTGATTTTAATGAGATTGTTTTTCTACCAAACAAGTCTGGGCATGATATATGTACCTGTACCTCATGATATATGCAAGATCTAAATATGTTTCGCCAGGGCAATGCTGAAAAAGTTCCCAATCGGACATTTTGAGACATCTTCTGAGACCTACTGTGGGTACCCGAGTAGGGTCGGGTAATAGGGGGACGGGTACCCGGTAGTAAATTTGGACCAGCCCTAATTTCCACTATTAAATTCAGTTCTATTTATTACACTTGACATCAATTTTTAACAGTTGCAGAGAATGCATAAGGGATGGACCATTTGATATTCAGGGGTGGGTGGAATTTTGTATTAAGATTACAACATTTTTCCGCTTCAGCTACAAAACTAGATAAAAAAACACCTTGCAAACATATCATTTTTGTGGCAGGTGATTATATTTATCAAAGGTCTGAAGCATAGTTATTTTTTACAAGAATTCCTTTTTTTTCAATAAAATCCTAGCCAGGCCCACTCCCAACGTCCCCCCCCCCCCCCCCCCCCCCCCCGTCCCACCAGAACATCAAATGGTTGGTACACAGCTCCTCAGTAATCTGTCTTACATCCTGAATGATTCCTGGGTCAGCTGGATTTGTGGGATATAAATAAACTTTCTATTTAAAAAAAACCCTCTCATTAAGGTAATGTGTGAGTTAAGTTTAACGCCACTTTTAACAGTATTCCAGTTATATCACAGCATGTCAGCTTAATGTGGGAGGAAAGCCCGAAGTGATGCAGGTCTCAGACATTTACCACCCTGGTGAAACCCACAAGTAACAATGCTAGTGACGATATACAACTTACAGTTTTCTGGTTGGGTGTTTGAGAGGTATCCTGGGTAACGCTGACTTGCTGTGTGAGTCAGGGCCACTCCCGTCTTTCATGTCATCTTCTGCGATGTAGGCTTTGGCGAGAAGGTAGGCATCTGGTGTCCACTTGTGTGAATACAGAACATCACGGAGGTCAGACTTCAAACTCTCCAGCTGTAACAAAACAGACATGCGTATAAAAAATAACAGCAACCTTAGAAATTCATTCTTTTTACAGACTAGCCCAGAGGACTAGCGAAAACCTTATTCCACATGTCCTCAGTGTTTGTAGCTAGTCCTGCAAAATAAAAGTATTGGTTCTCAGGCAATGACTCGTGAAAGTAAAGTACGGGCGGGCAGTGTTTTTTTTTCTGCTTGTTCAAACAAGGTGAGGTGAAATTGGGTTTAACGTCGCGTCCAAGATTATTGCACTTATATAGCGACCTGCATGCATGCATGTGTGTGTGTGGTAGTGTGTGTGTGTGGCTGCTTTTACTAGTCTGGACTGATGCCAATTTATAGTGCTAGCCCACTGAGATACCATGCCGCAGTTTAACATGAATACCCCACTCGGAAACAGTATACAGACTACGAGCCGACCAGTCCTTGTTTTAGCCCCTTAATGCCGAGCGGCAGACAGGGTAACAACAAGTACCATCTTTTAATGTCTTTAGGTATGACGCGGCCGGGGATCGAATCCCAGACCTTCCGCTCTCCAGGCGGACGCTCTACCACTAGACCACGGAGGCGGTCTTCTTCATACTAGTATGTACCCAAATAAACAAGCATACAAACTCCTATTGCCACCATGACCATAACAAGATCCGCAGTAAAGCAGTGCGCATGTAAAGGGAAGTAACTGCATGCTTTATTCAAGGACAACAACTCCAAACACAGGGAAAAGAATCCGGGACAGCGTTTAGGGATAACAATGAAGGTTAACCTGCCTCATGTGCTTGTTGTTCATTCTGCTGCTGTAGGTGACGAATAACACCATGACTCTCAGCCAAGGTCAGAGGTCGTGACCCCTTCTGTAAGAGGTTGATGGAGGGGACAGCGGGTTCCCCCAACTGGGTGCCGGACCCAACCTCCCCACCCTGACTCAGTTGGGCCTTCATGCTCTCCACCGCTGCTTGCCTGAAACAGATTGTTACATTTAGACCTTTAGCAGTATTTTCCTGGCTTTCAGACATGAGTTGGTTCAGGAATTTATCTAGAATTTTGGCAGGCAAATGTTTGGAAAGAAGTTATTTCATTCTAATTTGGGATTTAAAAGTCTTATTTGCAAAGGTGTTTTTACTTCGCGTTTTAACTTTGCATTTACTGAGGTAAAATTAAGCCTCTTCCTTTTTATTGGTTCGGTCATAATTTGAATACAATTCACCTTGACCAAACCATCACATTTTTACTCAAACTTGCTGATGAATCACAGACGTAAATCAGCCTGAGCAGGTCCATTTAAATCCCTGAGGTTGCCAGAATTCCATGCAAGTTACAGGAGATTCACTCTTGACTATCATGGGCTCGATTTAACTCTATGTGTATAAAACATTTACAAGTGTGACCTATTATTGAAAAATGCAAACTAATATTTATGTCTACACGCACCAAGTGCTATCAAACATTTTAAAACTTGTCTTGTCCACACTTGATGTTTTGATAAATTTCCATGATTCAACTAGGCATAAAGCCTGTTTCTATCTGCACATTGACTTAGCACAAAGCCTGTTTCTGCACATCAACTCAGCACAAAGCCTGTTTTTATCAGCACATTTTTTGACTAAGCAAAAAGCCTGTTTCTATCTGCACATCGACTTACTGCCTCTTGCGCTGCTCCTCCGACTGCTCCAGCACCTGGGTGAGATACGTGTTCCGGTTCCTCGTCTCCCGCAGCGCGTGCTTCAGCTCCTTGATTTCCTCCTCCAGGAACACAACCTTGATCTCATCTAGCTTCTCCTCTGTAACACAAGGGTCGGCAGTGTGAGGGTAGTGTGACACAAGGGTCAGCAGTGTGAGGGCATGTAACACAAGGGTCAGCAGTGTGATGGCAGTGTAACACAAGGGTCAGCAGTGTGAGGGCAATGTAACACTAGGGCCGGCAGTGTGAGGGCAGTGTAACACAAGGGTCAGCAGTGTGAGGGCATGTAACACAAGGGTCGGCAGTGGGAGGGCAATGTAACACAAGGGTCAGCAGTGTGAGGGCAGTGTAACACAAGGGTCAGCAGTGTGATGGCAGTGTAACACAAGGGTCAGCAGTGTGAGGGCAATGTAACACAAGGGCCGGCAGTGTGAGGGCAGTGTGACACAAGGGTCAGCAGTGTGATGGCAGTGTAACACAAGGGTCAGCAGTGTGAGGGCAATGTAACACTAGGGCCGGCAGTGTGAGGGCAGTGTAACACAAGGGTCAGCAGTGTGAGGGCATGTAACACAAGGGTCGGCAGTGTGAGGGCAGTGTAACACAAGAGTCAGCAGTGTAAGGGCAATGTAACACAAGGGTCAGCAGTGTGAGGGCAATGTAACACAAGGGAAGGCAGTGTAAGGGCAATGTAACACAAGAGTCAGGAGTGTGAGGGCAGTGTAACACAAGGGCCAGCAGTGTAAGGGCAATGTAACACAAGGGTCAGCAGTGTGATGGCAGTGTAACACAAGGGTCAGCAGTGTGAGGGCATGTAACACAAGGGTCGGCAGTGTGAGGGCAGTGTAACACAAGAGTCAGGAGTGTGAGGGCAGTGTAACACAAGGGTCAGCAGTGTGAGGGCAATGTAACACAAGGGCTGGCAGTGGAAGGGCAGTGTAACACAAGGGCTGGCAGTGGGAGGGCAGTGTAACACAAGAGTCAGGAGTGTGAGGGCAATGTAACACAAGGGCTGGCAGTGGAAGGGCAATGTAACACAAGGGCTGGCAGTGGAAGGGCAGTGTAACACAAGGGCTGGCAGTGGGAGGGCAATGTAACACAAGGGCTGGCAGTGGGAGGGCAATGTAACACAAGGGCTGGCAGTGGGAGGGCAATGTAACACAAGGGCTGGCAGTGGAAGGGCAGTGTAACACAAGGGTCGGCAGTGGGAGGGCAATGTAACACAAGGGTCAGCAGTGTGAGGGCAATGTAACACAAGGGCTGGTAGTGGGAGGGCAGTGTGACACAAGGGTCAGCAGGGTGAGGGCAATGTACCACAAGGGTCAGCAGTGTGAGGGCAATGTAACAGAAGGGTCAGCAGTGTGAGGGCAGTGTAACAGAAGGGTCAGCAGTGTGAGGGCAGTGTAACACAAGGGCTGGTAGTGGGAGGGCAGTGTGACACAAGGGTCGGCAGTGTGAGGGCAATGTAACACAAGAGTCAGCAGTGTGAGGGCAGTGTAACACAAGGGTCGGCAGTGGGAGGGCAGTGTAACACAAGGGTCGGCAGTGGGAGGGCAGTGTGACACAAGGGTCAGGAGTGTGAGGGCAGTGTAACACAAGGGTCGGCAGTGGGAGGGCAGTGTGACACAAGGGTCGGCAGTGTGAGGGCAATGTAACACAAGGGCTGGCAGTGGAAGGGCAGTGTGACACAAGGGCTGGCAGTGGAAGGGCAGTGTGACACAAGGGCTGGCAGTGGAAGGGCAGTGTGACACAAGGGCTGGCAGTGGGAGGGCAGTGTGACACAAGGGCTGGCAGTGGGAGGGCAGTGTAACACAAGAGCCAGCAGTGTGAGGGCAGTGTGACACAAGGGCTGGCAGTGGGAGGGCAGTGTGACACAAGGGCTGGCAGTGGGAGGGCAGTGTGACACAAGGGCCGGCAGTGGAAGGGCAGTGTGACACAAGGGCTGGCAGTGGAAGGGCAGTGTGACACAAGGGCTGGCAGTGGAAGGGCAGTGTGACACAAGGGCTGGCAGTGGGAGGGCAGTGTGACACAAGGGCTGGCAGTGGGAGGGCAGTGTAACACAAGAGCCAGCAGTGTGAGGGCAGTGTGACACAAGGGCTGGCAGTGGGAGGGCAGTGTGACACAAGGGCTGGCAGTGGGAGGGCAGTGTGACACAAGGGCCGGCAGTGGGAGGGCAGTGTAACACAAGGGCTGGCAGTGGGAGGGCAGTGTGACACAAGGGCTGGCAGTGGGAGGGCAATGTAACACAAGGGTCAGCAGTGGAAGGGCAGTGTAACACAAGGGCTGGCAGTGGAAGGGCAGTGTAACACAAGGGCTGGCAGTGGAAGGGCAGTGTAACACAAGGGCTGGCAGTGGAAGGGCAGTGTAACACAAGGGCTGGCAGTGGAAGGGCAGTGTAACACAAGGGCTGGCAGTGGAAGGGCAGTGTAACACAAGGGCTGGCAGTGGAAGGGCAGTGTAACACAAGGGCTGGCAGTGGAAGGGCAGTGTAACACAAGGGCTGGCAGTGGAAGGGCAGTGTGACACAAGGGCTGGCAGTGGAAGGGCAGTGTAACACAAGGGCTGGCAGTGGAAGGGCAGTGTAACACAAGGGCTGGCAGTGGAAGGGCAGTGTGACACAAGGGCTGGCAGTGGAAGGGCAGTGTAACACAAGGGCTGGCAGTGGAAGGGCAGTGTAACACAAGGGCTGGCAGTGGAAGGGCAGTGTGACACAAGGGCTGGCAGTGGGAGGGCAATGTAACACAAGGGCTGGCAGTGGAAGGGCAGTGTAACACAAGGGCTGGCAGTGGAAGGGCAGTGTAACACAAGGGTCAGCAGTGGAAGGGCAGTGTAACACAAGGGCTGGCAGTGGAAGGGCAGTGTGACACAAGGGCTGGCAGTGGGAGGGCAGTGTAACACAAGGGTCAGCAGTGGAAGGGCAGTGTAACACAAGGGTCAGCAGTGGAAGGGCAGTGTAACACAAGGGCTGGCAGTGGAAGGGCAGTGTAACACAAGGGTCAGCAGTGGAAGGGCAATGTAACACAAGGGTCGGCAATGTCAGGGCAATGTAACACAAGGACCATCAATGGTTACCAATTTGAGCAAACACCACTAAATTATATTATGTGTGACAAGGGTGGAAATATTCAGTGCAGGTGACATGTAATATGGCGCGAATAAGCAGAACAGCTTCTGTAGAATACATATACATGAAATGTTTATTAAGAGCTTAGAAATATCATATCTCTAAACAGTGTAATAGCAGCTGCACAATGTAACTGTGAACCCACGGATTGAGACGTGCACCTACCTCTCGATCTGACTGATTCCTCTTCCATCTTCGACTGGAGAGAATCGGAGGAAGAATCTGAGACACAAACGTAGAGTAGTACTAACAGACAGACACAAGCCATGGTGAATACGAACTATCCTCATAAAACATGTGTCTTATTACATGCTCCGCGGGACCCCGACCCCAGATAATATCATGAAGGGTATGTTTTATAGCCGAAAATATGTTTCAATTTGTCATTGTAAAAAACATAAAACATATAGAAAACAGCTGTTCAACTGAGCTTGTGCTGTGTCACATGACTTTTATTGACTCGTAAGCAACATGAAGCATGTTATCTTCAAGACGGGGTATAAGACATTTATTGTCCTGCTCAAAAATGTACCCTCCCAGGCAGAATTCGTAGTATTTTATCAAGATCACATGAACAATCAGATCTCAACATTTTGACATGGTGCTTTTTTTCCTCAGACTTTCTCAAGTTAGGAAGTCAAAAGATTACTCATATTTGTATTTCTCCAAACCGACAAATGTTATTTTTTTTAATTTCTTAAAAAATAAGCTTTAAATTCTATAATTATTTAGGCCACAAATGATTTAAAGTGACCTTATAATTTTGCTGAAATAAATGGTAATGTGATTTTTCTTATTGGTTAAGAAAAAAATCAGTGAGTGGTACCGTCACAAAACACTTTATGGCACAACCAAGAAATTAGAAACAGAAGGCTTAGTAAGTTGATTTCAACATTCCACAAGCCCCTTGAAAGATTTGCTACCAAGTTTCAGTTCAAGTCTTCTTAAGTACTGCTGCAGTGCAAATGTAAGTATAATGTACACACGTCATGGAGAAACGTACCTTTTTCCAGATTATTTCCTTCTTTTACTTCTGTCTTCTTTTCACTTCTAGAGGGCCTGCTCTGCTTCTGGCTCATTATAATACGGAACTGGAGATCTGGAAGTGGAGTTGGATGATCAGTGTGTTGCATGGACAATGTCACTGATTTCATATACCGTATTCGATGGAATAAGCGCTCCGCTCTAATAAGCGCCCGCGGCGATATTTGCTAATATATTGGCTAGTGAACAATCCCAATTAGCACCCCTTCCAATTGATTAATGTACACAAGACCTATTTATTCATGTATAATACGCACTCGTGCATTATATGCACACTTAATTATGGGCAATTAAATTCTGGAAAAATATGTCTGTTGTACATAAACATTTCAGACTGTCAGCATAAACCACAAAATCTATCTTTCAACTTTTTTTTTCACCAAAATAATATTCTAATTTTGAGAGCACCCTGGGCGCTTATTACGTCGAATACGGTTATTGGTTTAAACAGATTTATTTTCACAAAAGTGTGAAAATGGAATGGTAAACAAGCGAAGCGCTTATGTTAATACTGCTCCATTACACATAGGACATATTTCAATAAATACATCAATGAAGGTTAGATGTAACAGATGAATTGTACATGCCAAGCTAGATGTGTATATATAATAAATCTATTTGTTTGTATTAAACAATTGGTTAAACTGAAAATTTGCCAGTTTTTAATATGAAGTTTTGAATAGAATCTAATATTAGGATTTGCTCTTCCTTACTCAATTCGTATTTCGTATTTCATATAATTGTCTACAGCTTTTCGTGTTAGTTACACAGGCAGTTATCATTGTTGACTTATCTATTGATAAGAATTGATTTCCATAATGTTTTGTATTTATGGAGGTATATGGCTACGCTATCATGACGTCATTTCTTGAGATTCGAACATGTGCTCGCAACTTGATGACATCATAAATAGGACAACGTTATAGAGGGAAGTGTCTATTGATTTGTCCCCCATAAATGTGGCTGGACAGCGGAGATGAACGCAATTGTCAAACAATCGCACCCAAAAGTGAGAGATATATGACAATCGCTATTGCATGAAGAGGGGCAGATAATTGTGAAAATTGTGAGAATACCAAACTTTAACCACCTGTACAAAACATGGAGTTGTCTGACATTTCCACGGTTGGATTGTATTCGGGGAGTCATCATTATTTAAATACGGGTAAATGTTTTGAAGCCTTTCAATTTATTGACATCCTTAAAAAGGCTGTACAAAATGTTGATATCTTATATAAGAAATTAACGACGAGTGGGAGTTGTTAATCGTAAAATAAAACACTGCAGGCTGCGCCCCTCATGGTTTATTCTCCCTGCAGTGTTTTATTGTATGATAAACAGCTCCCACTCATCTTTTATTACTTGTATAAACAGAAAACCCTGCATAAATCCACTCTGCAGTGTAACACCCACCATTTACAGATTCCTGAGTGAACATACAGTTTTGCTGACATTTCTCTGTGTAGACATATCCAAAGTTTAGACTGATTTCTTCACTTAATTTAACAGTCAGGGGGACTTCTTGAAAATGGGGATTTTCATTTCCAACCACAAAATCTGATTTTTTTGTGAGACTTGGGCCAAGTTATTTTAAACCCATTAAATCACTTTGCATGGCTGTGCACTGGTGTCAATGATCCATGCATACTTTATTGATTCCAGGCTACTGTTGTGTTCTTTCAAAATGAAATAAATACAATCACCAAGAATATAAATAACTATTTATGTCTTACTAAAAACGAGTGCGTGCTGTGATAGCAAAGAGAGCATAAAATATTTAAAACAGGTCTGAAATGATCCACTGGAATTCCAACACAGAGTTATCGAAAGAGGTCACCCTGACTGTTTTAAACTGTTAAAAGTTTACTCTCAAATAAGGAAATATCCTCCTCTATAAATAGGGAGACCATGTCCAGTCCTATTACATCATTACTGGCACAGTTATTGGAATTCAAGTTAAGTTTGACTTATTTCACCAGTCACAGAACCCACATTTTCAGCTGAGGGGTTGGGAGTGGGTGGAGGGTGGGGGTTGGAGTGGGTGGATGAATGGGGTTTGGGAATGGGTGGAAGGTGGGTGGTTGGGAGTGGGTGGAAGGTGGGTTGGTGGAGGCTGTGTGGTTGTGAGTGGGTGGAGGCTGGGTGGTTGTGAGTGGGTGAGGCTGGGGGTTGGAAGTAGGTGGATGAAGGGGGTTTGGGAGTGGGTGGAGGCTGGGTGGTTGGGAGTGGGTGGAGGCTGGGTGGTTGGGAGTGGGTGGAGGCTGGGGGTGGAAGGTGGGTGGTTGTGAGTGGGTGGAGGCTGGGTGGTTGGGAGTGGGTGGAGGCTGGGTGGTTGTGAGTGGGTGGAGGCTGGGTGGTTGGGAGTGGGTGGAGGCTGGGTGGTTGGGAGTGGGTGGAGGCTGGGTGGTTGGGAGTGGGTGGAGGCTGGGTGGTTGGGAGTGGCTGGAAGGTGGGTGGTTGTGAGTGGGTGGTTGTGAGTGGGTGGAGGCTGAGTGGGTGGAGGCTGGGTGGAGGCTGGGTGGTTGAGAGTGGGTGGAGGCTGGGTTGTTGGGAGTGGGTGGAGGCTGGGTGGTTGGGAGTGGGTGGAGGCTGGGTGGTTGGGAGTGGGTGGAGGCTGGGGGGTTGGGGTGGTGAAAAACAATCATAATCACAATGGGAGACTTGCCATAACTGCGTGAATTATGACACTGAGACAGTTTACACCACAGATCATGTTCCCTGTTAATAACATGGAGACAAGGTGAAGCCGCAGAGGATAACAGCCATTGTCAGTGAACATGTGATCCATAACAATAACACACTACTCCCATCGCTGTTCAAACATATCCAATTGCATCAGTGATACGGTCCTAATGTCCTCTGTACATAAACTTTCTGTACACGTTGACTAAGATGCAATTACCTATTCACCGCAATATATGCCCTGTGAACTTAGAAAACTGACAGAGCTTAAAGGGGCGCGTATGAAAACCATACACACCCAGCTGAATTTGTTTTTGGAGATTGAGCGGTTGGACAAATTTGGTTCAAATGTTGATGAAACACAAATCCTTGTTGATTTTAGGTGCTAGGCAATCATATACCCCTTCTAAACTGCTGTTTAAAACTTCTGTAATACACACAAGAAAATACACTCTGTCATGTAAATCCTCAAGCTTAGTTTGGAGTGCTTATTATACGTGAGTGAGTTGGGTTTAATGCCGCTTTTAACAGTATTCCAGTTATATCGCGGCGTGTCAGCTTAATGTGGGAGGAAAGCCCCAAGTGATGCAGGTCTCGGACATTTACCACTTCGGTGAAACCCACGAGCACGGGTATGGTGCTAACAAACCTAGAAACATAATCAGGGCGAACCTGGATTTGAACCCACAATCATAGGTTTCTGGCGTGCCCAAGGGACGTAACTCTGCACAGCAAATCACGGCGCCTTAGACGACTGGGCCACTCGTGACCCCTGGAGTGCTTATAAATATTACTGGACTAACAAGTTGGCCAGGGGGTTGTTTAATACAGTGAATATACCGCCTCCACTTAAGGATAAGCGATATGTCTTCTTTTTCGTCTCAGTTGACCCTCCAAAGTGCACACAGGTGCTGGACCCGTGAAGATCGGGGGTAGAATAGGTCTTCAGCAACCCTTGTTTGCCATAAGAGGCGACTATGCTTGTTGTAAGAGGCGACTGACAGAGTGGTCAGGCTCACTGACTTGGTTGATGCATGTCATCGATCCCAATTGCTTGGATCAATGCTCATGATGTCAATCACTGGATTGTCTGGTCCAGACTTGATTATTTACAGACGGCTGTCATATAGCTGGAATATTGCTGAGTGCGGCGTTAAACAACAAACAAAACAAACCCAACTGGTGCTTGGATTTATCTAGACCCACTCAACATAGTCAACTTATGTGCCATCTTCCCGAGGCAAGGGGGTTAACTGACTATAAAAGTTCAGTTTCCACCCTTGCTGAACTTGGCTGGAATTATGCAGTTATACTTTGGCTGGACTAACAAGACTATGCATAGACGATGCGTAACGAAATCAAAATCCGATTCATAAACTGCTGTGCAGATTTTGGTCGATTGCAGAATTTGCAATGCATGTGTTCTGTCAACACAGCATCAACAGATATTTTCAAAATCTTGTCATGTTTTTCATCAAGTGCTCACGTGATTTAATGCACTTCGCAAGTAAGACCCGATTATTACACTATAGATCTTGATCATCGATCAGATCGTCTTGACTGGGTGCCGTCAATTTGTTTGAAGCAAATGCAAGTGATATGAGAGGTGGAATCTTATTGGTCAATAGGAGGGACATAGAAGGGACATAATTCGTCCTAGCCACTGGTGGCGCTTCGATTAAGCCAAGAAATTCCAGCCTAGTTTGGCAAGGGTGGAAACTGGACTTTGAGAGTCAGTTAACTCCCTTGCCTTGCGAAGATACTAATGTGATGACATGGTCGAGGAAGAGGTTAACTCTTAATTTTACATTACTGTAATGTTAAATACTGTAAATCTGGAAATTAATGCGTCTCCAAATTATTATGACTGCTGACCCCTAGTAAAAAATGTGACTCCCCCACCCCATATCCAGTGGAATGACACATATCCTTACCTTAATCCATTATCAAACAGCAAATAGGACTGCTTATTAGCGCTGAGTAGAGCACTTCCATAAAAACAAACAATGTTTTCCTACAAACAACACACAGTTTATATGTTTACTCTGTTGACTTGCATTAAGGAAGTTCAAAGGCAATAAAATACTTGAACCAACAACAGTTCACTGACTGGTATGCGGAGGTGTCAACAAGCTTTGACACAAGTGGGTAGAACTCTTGACCCCAGCACTGCTAACTCACCCGATGAACATTGTGTAATTCCTATTCTTTGAATGACATTGTTATATACTTGTTACAACTGCTGCTCAATAAACCATGTTTGTGTTTATATTCAAATTGGTATTTCCGCTATCCAAAGTGTGCTGTGACGCCGTCTTATTGTTGATAGTCATTTGGAGACATAAAACCAAAGTTAATTAATGCGAGCAAAGACCACTGGCATTTTTCGCATTAAATTCACGCTTGTGTTACTTTCAAGATTTACAGTACCTATGAGATTAAGAAAACAAGAAAGAAGTGAGCAAAGCTCACATACCCCCGTTATCCCCGCTGGTCAACAACAAATAGTAAATAGTTTGTTAATTAATGAAATATCCCTGTTGCTTTAAGTCAGAGGAACTGCCCTTTCCTTTGTAACCCCATGAGGATGCATTATGTTTGAAATGAACACATGTTTTTGCAAATATATTTCAATCTGTTGTGGGATAATCAATGCTTAGCACAACATACATTCTTGATGTTTCTTAATGTGTCCATGGAAACGGCAAAAATTAAAAAATTCAGAATCTTCAAACTAGCAAAAGGCACAAGTACTCATTGTGGTAAATGGGTGTAGCACGTTTGGTGAAGCTAGGGTGCATGGTTAAAAAGATATGGGCCGTACAAAACACCCACCCTAAAAGTTTAAGTTTCTAATGTTTCCATGGAAACGGCAATAATTAAAAAATTCAGAATCTTCAAACTAGCAAAAGGCACAAGTACTCATTGTGGTTAATGTGTGTAGAAAGTTTGGTGAAGCTAGGGTGCATAGTTAAAAAGATATAGGCCGTACAAAACACCCACCCTAAAAGTTGAAGTTTCTTAATGTTTCCATGGAAACGGCAAACATTAAAATGTTCAGAATCTTCAAACTAGCAAAAGGCACAAGTACTCATTGTGGTAAATGTGTGTAGCAAATTTGGGGAAGCTAGGGTGCATGGTTAAAAAGTTATGGGACGTACAAAAGCTTGGACGGACGGACGGAAGGACGGACAGACGGAACGCTATATACCCCCGATTTACTTCGTAAATGGGGGTATAATAAGAACTAAACTAAAAAATCCCTATTTTAAACAAATTAGCAATGTTTGTTCCCAGTGTGCCTGCCAAGTGCACTTTATATCCAATCCTAGATACACCTCTGCACTGATCATGAATAGAAACTATTGATTTCATCGAAAAACAACAACTGGCTATAGTGGACAACGGGGTAATGGCACATATGAGTTGTTATGAGCGATCATGAATTGTTGATAACTTGACCACAGCTTCTGACAGCCTGACCTCATTCAAGGGAACACTATCTGTGTACATTAATATAGGTACACAGATTGGAAGATCAGACACTGACTCTTTCACCTAGGTAGTGTATGGGAGTGAATTATTTATGCTTGGCAGATGCTGAATGTGAATATCAGATAAACCTCACTACACTTGATTAACATGTGTTGTTAATATGTGTATCAACAGAGATTACTAATAAACCATGATAAACTTAGATGACCATGGCTTCAAGCTGATTTTCAAAATGGCTGCCAGTAGCCATGTTTGATTTTGGAGCAAAATAAAGTAAACATAATTAACTTTGTGAATAATTGATTCTATATTAGGTTATAGTTAGAATCACATCCAGTGTGCCATCTTTCCATTATGTCAACTCTCATGACTCATTTGAGTTTATTGTTTGTTGTTTAAATTTTAACGCTGCACTTAGCAATATTCCAGCTATATGACGGCGGTCTGTAAATAATCGAGTCTGGACCAGACAATCCAGTGATTGACATCATGAGCATCGATCCATGCAATTGGGATCGATGACATGTATCAACCAAGTCAGCGAGTCTGACCACCTGATCCCGTTTGTCGCCTCTTACGACAAGCAAAGTCGTCTTTTACGGCAAGCATGGGTTACTGAAGACCTATTCTACCCTGGAATCTTCACGGGTTGAGGCCATCACTATTATTAGGAGAATGTTCTGAATCAAATAGCTGTAGCAAAGTTTGAAAAAGTTAAAAAGAAAAAAGTAAACGAAAGGATGAGGTGTCATTGAAACTTAAATATTGACATATCGACTCAAAAGAATCACGATATATTGATATATATTGATCAATTATAAAATTAATTATTCTAAATGTGCATAGATAAAAATTATCTTTGTAGACAGGCAAATTTTTAAAATTGAATTTTCTATGTTGTCCATCTTTACCATGGTAACCTTCATAAATGTAATGTTTCTCTGGCAGTGACTTATTAATTTAGTATCAATATTCATAAATTTGTATTGATACAGTTATAATTGACATTAAGATTTTATTGATTCCTCGATATTGCCATATTTGATGACATATCCAACAAAACGATACTCTGTTTAATTTGAAATACACTTTCTTAAACTATCTTTCTGAAATATTTGCTGAAAATTCCTAAACATGAATCAGCACAATCTCATTAAAATCAGATCCTAGTTCTCACTATCGCTGAACAAAGATCTGAGGACATCCCATTAAGAGTCACGTCAGAACGACCTTTCATCCAACCAATCAGAACGTCGCTTACCAGATCATGAAATTGACCGTTGGAATGTGTTTTCTAATCATGCAAGCGCAAAATATTTATTCCGAACGACAGTTACAGGTTTTATGATTATATCCATACAATCTAGGCCATCTGTAAGCCATATTCTTCTTATCAAATTTAATTTTTTTAATCGAGATTACGTCAAAATATGTTTCACTACTAGTGTAGTAAAGCTCGAGAAAGCTGCCTTCTGATTGGCTAATGTCGATTTCTTGTCGGTCATTTCGTTTGTCGGTCAAAATTCGCGAAAGGTCGTTCTGAAAGCGAAAACTAAGATCTGATTTTAATGAGATTGGAATCAGCAAAATTAGGAAATTATTACCTCGGATCGAACCTTATAACAGATAAATTCTTTTATCATATACACACACACACACAAATAAAAACAAGATAAAACTTGGCAACGTCTTTGCTCAGTTCTAGATAGCATGTATGTTTGTGAACTTAACACCAGGATGACCCTGGTCTCATAGCAACATTTGTTCATGATTTGCATTCAATTTGATATTTGAAAATAAGCATTAAAGCCTTTTTGTCTTTATTGGTCCTGTTATCAGTGAAATACAAGTCACCTCTCAAAAGTCATAACTATAAAGTTATGACTATAAAAAATATGAATTATTAATTCCAATTTGGGAATATACACAGAAATTTGCTGCAGACTTGGTGCTGAATAGCGGCCTCTGAGCAGGTCTAGTAGACTAACATCTAGTCTTTGAAATGAACATATCTTACAGAAAAAAAAAGATGTCAAATTATTTTAATACAAATTTAAAAGGAGCCCAGAGACGGTCTTAAATTCCCGATACTGCAGTAATCTAGACTTGCCAAAGATTAATTAAAGAATTAATTCAGTGAGTTTCAATCCCTCTGGGAAACTAGGCATTCAGCATAGGGTGGAGGGTCCTCTTATTCCTACCTTTATTTTCCCTCTTTAAGGCATCGATTTCTTCATGTAAGCTCCTTAGCACCTCTTGATGTTGTCGTCTAAGAAAAACCAAGCTCCTCTCCAGATACTGTGCCCGCTGTGCCGGGTTCAGCTGTTCATTCATCTCCAGACTCCCGTCCTCCTCCTCTGTATCCCGCTTCATCTCCATGTTCGGTTGCATTTTGTCTTTGACAAACGGTTTTGGGTATCTGGCTTTATCCAGCGTGTTGACCCTGGACCACTGGGGGTAATTGTTCATGAGATGGGGGTAGTGGGTCATGGCAAGGTCGTTCACCTTCTCCTGCACGAATCCCTGCTTCAACATCCTGGCTTGTAGGAAGTAATGCTTGGATAAATGGGGTTCTCTTTATATCAGCTCATCTGGAAATAGAAAGAAGGATAAAAATATTTGCATGGAATAGATGTACTCGTGGATATGCGAACAAATTTCACTTGTCCACTGACAAATATTTGCTCAGTCATTGAAATATTTCTTGAGGCTAAATCTTCAACATAAGGGATAGAGATGCTGGTTTTTAAATCTGCCATGGGGCATTCGTTAAGATGTTTAGGTGCGCCCATTGGAATTAAAGTTTGTAAACTAGAATAATTTTGATCCACCATCAATCTTATCTTCCTGAGGCAAGAGCGTCCGCTAGCCTTTTTATCAGAATCTTGTTTCCACCCTTGCCACATCAAACCCACTTTCCTGTGCTAAACATGATTGGCCTGTCAAACATTTGGACAGTCCAATCAGAGAACTCGTGATCTACGCAAGGTGGAGCCAGGGATGAGTGAGTGAGTGAGTTGGGTTTTACGCCGCCTTTAACAGTATTACAGATATATTTAGGCGTGTGAGTTTAATCTGGAAGGAAAGCCCAAAAGGATGCAGGTCTCAGGCATTTACCACTTCGGTGAAACCCACGAGCTCTGGTATGGTGCTGACAAACCTAGAAACAAAATTGGGGCGAACTGGGATTCGAACCCCCAATCATAGGTTTCTGGCGTGCCCAAGGGACGCAAGTCTGCACAGCGAATCGCAGCGCCTTAGACAACTGGGCCACCCGTGCCCCTGAGCCAGGGATGAGCCAAGAAAAGTGGCCTTGATGTGGCAAGGGTAGAAACTAGGATTTGATATAGGCTAGTGGACACGCTATACAATGCCTCGGGAAGATGCATCAATCTCAGCAAACGTCATTTCACCAGGTCTAGATAATATAAGCAGTCAATAATTGGAAGGTTTGACCCCTTCCATTTCATACAGATTGATAATACTCGCTTCTTTTTCTAAATATCTTTAATCATTTTACATAAATGAGCAGTAACTGTGCACTTAATGTGTTCACATGTTCATCATTTTCCATATCCAATGTTAAAAAATATTCTAAAAGTGCCCTTCATGCACTTGGAACTCATTTTAACTGTACTACCGTATTCGACGTAATAAGCGCCTAGGGGGCTCTTATTAGAATATTATTTTAGTGGAAACTTTTTTTCGCGATTTATGCTGACATCCTGAAATGTTTATGTACAACAGATATATTTTTCCAGAATTTAATTGCCCATAAATAAGTGTGCATATAACACACGAGTGCGTATTATACGCGAATAAATAAGTCTTGTGTACATTGATCAATCGGAAGGGGTGCTAATTAGGATTGTTCACTGGCCAATATATTAGCAAATATCGCGATGGGCGCTAATTAGAGCAGGGCCCTTATTACGTCAAATACGGTATTGCTTTTTTTACTATGCCACCAGCTCTACCACTACACCGCGGAGGCGGTCAACAATTAAATGAAGGAATCTGGTATAATGTTTAGTCAAATCAGTAGATAGGGTCTAAAGTCATCGGAACTACCATATTCCCAAACCAAAAGCATCTGGGGACCACACACATTTTGAAAACAAAATTCATGTGTCAATTAGATCTAATAATTGCTTCCAATAACAAGATATGCTTTTAAGCCTTCACAAGTACTTGTAGGTTAATACAAGATTTTACGGTACTAGTTGGGTATGTCTTCTGCCTTGCACATAAATTTCACATATTTCTCTAAACAACCAATAGATAATAAATAACTGCATACAATTATGATAAGCATTTACTACAAATTTTGTAACTACATAACAAAAGATATACATTTTAAAAGTTGAAACATGACCAGAGATTAATCATGTAAATATTTAAACATTTACACCTCTTCACTGTTCAAGTCAGATACCTCTGCATATGAAACATTTTAAAGTATACATCCACAATGGAACGAAAAAATTGATAATACATCAAATATCTTTTCTTCATATTTCATTGCATGTTGAAAGATGAAATGATGCGTAAAAACAAACAATAGCGTTGAACATAACACATGCAATACACCAGTATGCCAGCAATATTTCAGTGTAAAAAAATACTATATATTTTAACAGATGTTCATTATTACCAATTTTAACCATATTTCATAACCTAATATTACTGAGAGAAATGTCATAAACCTCCAATCCATGTTACCATTTGTTTGATATTCATTGTCATGTATATTTACTGCAATTTTTCTTTGTCTGAATTCATGTTAGAATATATATAGATATATAGATCTATATAGAATCTAGTTCCATATGTTTAGTTCAGCAGAATTAAGCAATTACTTTACAAAAATACTATGCTCAGTTATACACAAAAACTAACATCGGGATCCAACACTCACCAAAACACACACGAATTGCACATTACAGTATATTTCTTATAGCAAAACAGTAAAAGAGTGTTGTGTTATTGTCCATAGAAACTGTACTCACTTGTAGAATATCCCTCGGAAATATTATGCCATAACACAATTTCATTTCAAAACGTAAATAATATCACGATGCAGTTGCCATATATCATGCGGGGTTTAAGTAGATGACAACGTCCATTGTTCGACTTCAAAGAACCATTTTGTCATCCTTCCCTGTCACTGACAGTCAGCGATATTGGCAAGCAAAGGTATGTGTGGGAGCTCATTGATATGCAAATGTATGAATGACTCGTGGTTTCTATTGGACACATAATTTCGGGCACCTGTTCGGGCCTAGTTCCGGATTTCAGTATTTCAATAAGTGTCATTATATCAGATAAAACTTAGAAACATTTCAAACGAACTACAGTCACTCGTCATACCTTTTCCTCAGAAGCGTTTAGAGATCGAATGAATACAATGTCCAAGACTTGTCAAGGCCGTTGTCAATGACTCTTCCGACATATTTGGGAGGGTAGATAACTCTTGTGCCTTCTAAAATAAGGTGAACGCGACAAAGTGTCGACACCCTAAAGGAAGCATAACATACGACGATAAAACGTATGTTAAGTGAAGAAAATATATTTCATAGAAAGATGAAGTAATATTCGATAATTCAATGTACCTGCACCAAAACAGTACGTTTTTCTCCGGTCCTCGCCATTGTTTACGGAAGTAAATTACGTCCCTTCTTCCACCAGATGGCGTTGAAGCAATGATGGCGGATTGTTCAAAGCAAGAAGATTCGCTTGGATAATTTTTGGAAGAAATTCTATTTTTTTCGGTAATTATTTTGCCGTTTGTATATTCCATATTCTCAAATGATATAAATGATCATTATAAATCGCTATTTAAAGATTCTACAAAACCTGAAAGTCATTTTATGCAACAAGAATTCTGCTGAACATGTTTATTCATGTTTTCATTTTGACAGTGGCTTGTAACAGCACCTGTAAATACGAAAATAGTTTACCACTTCATTGAGTTACTTGCATAATCGAAACAACACGCAAAATGAGACAATATTCATAATCTCATCCTCAATATATATTTTTAAGACATGAAGCTCCATGATTCATCAGTTCATGCATTCTACACAGAATTTTGAACTTTTCGTATTTTTCTTTGTAATAGAAGGGAAGAATATGAAGGAATAAGTGATTGTAACAAATTTGTATGACAGATAATCACTGTTACTGTATGTCATATCTATTTTCTTCAGTTTACTATCCCAAACTTGACAACTTATTATTTTTAATCCATTTTAGTGTCATCTGATCATATGGTATCATTTATTAGCTGATCTCAGTATTCTTACTAGACAGAACAGAATTTTACTAGACTTGGGCTTCATACCAGTGGCTAAAGTTGGAGACTGAGTGTTACTTGTGAAGATAATAAAATAACAGATGCCTGTGCTAAGCTGTGTTCACTGGTGTTGAGTCGTATTACATATCAGTTTATTGTTAACTTGTCTGTCAATGAATTGTCTATCTGTCAACCAAGTCATCTCATGATCTGGGTCAGGAAGTACAAAATAAATTAGCCTTTTGCCTCTCACGAGGAAAATGTGTCCACTTCATAAGATGCTAGTGGATATCATTTCATCTTGAATGCAAATTTTGAATCCACGAAGAAAAAAGTCATCCATATGTCAATACTTTCAAAGGTGGAGTGTTGTTTCCCTTTAAGACCTTCCTACAATAATAAATCTGAAATTTAATGCACCATGAAATAATGCTTGGATTTGTAATACATCACATGTATCCAATGAATATGTGTACACTTGTTTCTTTTTAGCTGACTTGTTTTTGGTAAAGTAATGATATCCATCTTATCATTCTTAGGTATGTAAAAATAGGTAAAAAAAAATCAATTTCAGAACGATTTTGGTCATGATTTGATGTGAAAAGAAGCATGATAAACTAAAAATGTATCTAATTCCAAATGATTCCAAATTTTTATATTGATGACTTATTCGTTCTTTTCTTTTCAGGTCATCACCATGGCATATACAGATTTTCCTCACCAAAATCAGCTCCAGTTTAATCTCAATGTTCCTCTGAAAGCCAAGAACTTAATGGTGCAACATCATCATCTCCAGCCAGTGGTAATTGAGAGAGTCCATGACAGGAGGGGAACATTCACAGGGAGACCTAATGTCCTCCCCAGCTCTCAGTCCTCTTTCCAGTTTCAATCTGTGTCTGAGGACCGCATGGCTATGGCCATACAGATGGCCAGACGTGATTTAAAAAACAAGAAAAGCCAACAAAAGTCTGGTGTCAGAAGTCGGTCTCCATCCCCTAGATCGTCTAAGACTCGAGTGATACATAGTAAAGAGTACTTGGAAAGACAGAAGAAGTGGGTAGGGAAGAGTAAAAAGCCCTTCAGTGTGAGGGAGCGAGATTTGAACAGGCATCCAAGGACAATGAAAACTCAAACCCCATCACAGTCTCCTAAACCATTCCTGAATACCAGGGCAGTCAGTCGTCTTCCAGGTAAAATGTTTTGATTCAAATGATACCAAAATGATGCATATCTGTCATGATGGTCCACAGCGTTAGAAATTGGTACTAGTCCTATAGTCCTTGCCAAACTGCCCAATACTAAAGGTATCATAAGGACTAGTAGAAATTTGCCATTTTTAGGGGTTTTGCTATATGTTATCATTATACATGTTATAAGGACTAGTGGACTGAAACTGTTAGTTTCTAAGGCTGGATGGTTAGTCAGTAATATATCGTGATGTCATCTGTCATGTCTTCCAACACAGATGTTCAAGAAGTCATTGCCTAAGAAAAACTTTTTTTCAGCCTAATGATGCATATGGTTATTTTCCCCTCTGTTTTATGAGTTTCACTTTGAGTGATTGTATCATTACTCTACACCTGTTCAGATGTGGATATATTGCCGGCAGCAAATTTCAGTTACAAATCTCAAATTGGAATTAGAAGCTTCACAATAAATTTTAATAGAGCCACAACATATGTTATTGTAGAGGTGACTTGTATGTATTTCACTTAGGTCAATTTAACTGCTGGCCCGTTGGCCCATGGCCGGTTAAAAGTACATTTTTAAGAGGCTTAAGAAATGTAAAGTAATGGCCCATCTGGCTAGTCAAAATTTCGCCCCTTATCTGTGTATGTTTTAATTTTTCATTTGGAAACTCCTCGTGAATCATGTAGTTTCAATGAGAAAATATTTAGGGGGGACGAGGTCGTGTGAATGGCTAACCCAAAGAAAAATATGTCCCTATCATCTCGGTAGAATGACACAACCGGCGGCCATTCTGTAATGTTGTGTAAACCAACAACATGTTTATTTGCTCATAAATCGCAATGAAATGAGGCAAATGGAAGTCATGATTTAATGTCAGTGCAGGAAAAGACGTTTTATCATTTGTTTATGGGTGAGAAGTTCTCAATTTTTCGTAGTCTCCCTGGTAACTCACTTCTATGTGACCTCGGGTCCAGCCGTTTCAAGGCCTAAATCATTAAGTTGTCAGCCAGTTGGTCTGGAAAAGGGCCAGTAACTAAGGGCTTTACTCAAATTTGTTGTTAAATCTACACCTGTATATATAACAGGAACAAGGAAGAGGCTTTCACTGAAATTATTGCAATGAATGCAATGTTAAAATACCTATGAGCTTAAAACAATAAAAACTTTAATAAAATTCCTATATTGACCTAAATATTTTTTTTCTCAATTTGCCTGCCAAGGGCATTTAGTTTAGAATCCTATATAAATCCCTGTCTATAGCAGATATTTCCATCATGTCTGATGTTATTTTCTTTATGTGCTTATAAACTCTTTCCAGTTACCACAAACAGTCCACCTACCCGTGACATAGATGTGTACCCCCGCTACAAGGTGAGAGAGGACCTGGAGCCCTCAGACAACATAGAGAGACTGCAGCTGGAGCTGGAGGGCTACCTCCAGCAGATAAAGCGGGTCGGGGAGAAGGCACTGCACGGTAATCCATCAAACAGCTTCTACAGTTTAACTCTCATGGTTATCATGGTTATGATATACTGGCGTAGTATATATGTCTCATTGTGCATATCTGATATGGGTGAAAGATCTGGGTTAGAATCATGAGAATTGGTTCTCAGCAACCCATGCTTGTAAGCGGCGACTAACGGGATCGGTTGTCGGGCTCTCTGACTTGGTTGATGCATGTCATCGTATCCCAATTTCGTGGATCGATGCTCATGATGTCACTGACTGGATTGTCTGGTCCAGACCTGATTTTTACAGATCGCCGTCATATAGCTGGAATATTGCCGAGTGCAGTGTTTAACAAAAAAGCAGACAAATGATAAGGTCCATACACATGAATTTACATACCTTACAGGAGACTTTGTCAGGAACGTTTGAGTCTTGTACTCATCATGTGTATTTTGGCCTTATTTTCAGTTCAGTACATTGTAGCCAGTGTAAGAGTGAGTGAGTATGGTTTTACGCCGCTTTTAGCAATATTCCAGCAATATCACGGCGGGGGACACCAGAAATGGGCCTCACACATTGTACCCATGTCGGGAATCGAACCCGGGTCTTTAACCACTAGGCTACCCGACCGCCCTAGCCAGTGTAAGAAATCTACACTAGTCCTATAGTCCTTGCAAGACTGCCCAATAGTTAAGATATAAGGACTAGAAAAAATTTGCCATTTTTAAGGGTTTTGCTATATGTCATCATTATAAGGATTAGTGGGCTAAAACAGTTAGCTTCTAGCGCTGGTTGCCTTAGCATGTACACAGCCTACGACAATTCATGCTAATTGGCTACTAACATGTGCTGCAGACATGTAAAGATCCAGTGATTGTAGTCCTGACTGACCAGTGGCATTTGAGGGCTATAATTCTGAACCAGTTCTCAATGCTCCAAAATGCTTCAAATTGGAACTGAGTAAAACAGACAGAAAATGTAAACATAGTAAACATGTTTGCCTTGTTCACGCAGGACCAGCTACAAACTCTGCGGACAAGTGAAATAAGTGGAATAGTGGAATTTAATTGATGTACAGTAAACTATGTTTATAAAGAATACGCTTATAACGAACAGATGGATATAACAAACTGTTTTCTTTGCCCTGGCCATTTGCTGTATATATGCTTATAACAAACTACAGTTATAACAAACTAAAAATAGTGGCCCCCCTTTGTCATGGTTTGTGTTTGTTATCATGGTTATAACTGTAGTTTACTGCGATTGATTTACTGTGTTTCTATAACACGGTTTTAAACATTCTACATTAAAAATGTGACCTCCTACCAACATGACCACAGACAAAGTATGCAAATTCAATCAACTGATTAGTTTGTTTAACAAATGCATACAATATTCCACATTTTAGACATATAACATCTACATGATGTATGATTCGTTTAATGTATTGGCCTGATCAAGATGCCATCGCATCCCAGTTGCGTGGATCGATGCTCATGATATCAATCACTGGATTGTCTGGTCCAAATTATTTACAGACAGCCGTCATATCATGCATATATCTGGAATATTGCTGAGTGCGGAGTTAAACAACAAACAAACCAAATTAACAAATGATGAAGATGTTATGTTGACTTCAATAATTTCCCAGATCCTGACCACTTTGTTCATCGATCCCGAAGTCGAAAGAAAGATGGCTATCTCTCTGACGAGGAAGATGAAGAGAGGAGGGTGACCAGAACAGAAGAATTTGCCACCCGTGCTGCCCGGAACCTGTACAACCTGAGACAGCAAGTGCGTCAGATCCAGAGAGACTTGATCAACCTGGGGCCTGACAGCAAGGTCAAACAGACAAAAAAGGTGACACTTTGAAACCTATGTCAGTGTGATAAAAACATTTTGAAATATCTCAGGATAAATCCCAATTTTTGACAAGATATTATTTTCACTCAATTTGGCTGCTGGGGCGGTCGGGTAGCATAGTGGTTAAAGCGCTTGCTCGTCCACCGAAGACCCAGGTTCGATTCCTGACATGGGTACACTGTGTGAAGCCCATTTCTGGTGTTCCTCGCAGGGATATTGCTGGAATATTGCTAAAAGCAGCGTAAAATCAAACTCACTCACTCACTCAATTTGGCTGCCACAGGTATTTTTTAAAATCCTAGATAAGTCCTCAAGTTATTTTTTCTCTAACTAATTTCAGTTCTAAAAATGTGTTATATATCAGGAGTGTTTTTGGTTTATAAATATCAAAGTACCTGTGGCCATGGTGATGTTCTGAATACTCTAGGATTAAATATATGTCTTTAAAATCTGTCAAAATGTTTAGACTCATAGTAATTTTAAGACTTAAACATGGGCAACATCTTACAAAGGATTTGGTGATGGGATTGATATGTTCAGTGATCAAACAGACCGCCAACGTAGAGCTGGAATATTTTTGAGTACGGCATAAACAACAAACAATCACAACTTGTTTTTATCCACCATTGCTACAACCTGATTGACTGTATGACCTCCACCCACAGAGTCAAGCGATGTCCAAGCTGGCTGCAGCTCACAGAGGAGCAGCAAGAGCAATTCAAGCCTTTGTCACCAACCTCCCTCAACAAGACTTACGGAGTGGCCTCCCTTCCTCCTTTCATGAGCTGTCCCTGTTGATCCGCCAGTTGACTCAACTCAGCTCCCAGATCAAGCAGGGCCAGGACAGTCTGGTGCAGACAGAGTTGACCAGCATGCTGGACAAAGTGGATGTAAGTTGAAGCAAAGCATTGTCATGTTCGGGGTTGAGTCTAGGCCTGTCTGTAGTCATACAAGCTCGTAGTAATATTTTACCCGCATGTACTCTTCATGCGATTAAGGGTGTGAGATATTACTGGTATATCGGTAAATTGAGGTTAATTTTTTCCACGATACGTATCACAATATCATTTTTTCATGCTCGAAATATTAGGTGATTTCAAATTGGGATTTTTATCATGTGGGGCTCCAAGATGGGTGCGTATTTATTGAATGAGTAAACATTATGTTGTACCAGCATCTTGTTTTGTTCCATTTATGAACTTCAATTCATACCTTAATGTATCAGATTGCTGCTGAATTAAAAATTAGAATAATACAATATATCGTGATACGTACCACAATACGACCTTGTGCATTGCAAAATATTGTGATACACTTTAAACCTTTAATACCCATCCCTACATGTGATTATCTTCCCGGATGTTGATTACTCAACATACTCAACATCCAGGTCTTGTCTTTGTGTCAGGGGTGGCCCAGTCGTCTAAGGCGCCGTGATTCGCTGTGCAGAGTCGCGTCCCTTGGGCGCGCCAGAAACCTATGTTTCGCCCCGATTATGTTTCTAGGTTTGTCAGCACCATACCCGTGCTCGTGGGTTTCACCGAAGTGGTAAACGTCTGAGACCTGCATCACTTTGGGCTTTCCTCCCACATTAAGCTGCCACACCGCGATATAACTGTAATACTATCAAAAGCGGCGTTAAACCCAACTCACTCACTTGTCTTTGTGTCAAATGATAATTTTGTTCTTAATCACTATTCAGTCCTGTATTTGATATTGTATGCCTAGATACCATTATTTTACATGTGGTTAATGTAACCATCATCCGTTTATCAAAGTATAGGCATTATTAAAGTTATTAATGAGATCAGTTTGTTATGACGTTGGTTAATTAAAAAATAAATAAAGGCCGATTTTCGGCCCAAAGTCTGCAGCAAATGTCAGTCAAATTCCCAAATTGAAATTAAAATCCTTCCCAATTTATGTTATAACTAACATTTTAGGGGTGAAACAATACATCAGTGCACCGATGCATCTTGAGTTTTAATGTGATGATACGATGCACAATACATTGTTTTCTGTATCGATACAAGACGATACACTTGCTAAAATTAATTACCGGTACTACTCATTTAATGAGCCCACCCCAGCGTTTTTGTCAGTCAAATGTGGCAAAATGTTTTCAAGTTCACTAGTAAAAATAACTGCTATGAGCATGTGTCAACCATGTCTACAGCTATCTTTTCCTTTGGAACCTGCTCTGAAATATTTGTAGTCAAGAAATTTCCATGTGATTTGACGTAAATATGTGTATTGCGATACGTATCCTATCGTGATCGAGTTATCGTGATATGTATCCTAACGTGGCCTTGATGTATCGTTTCACCGCCTTGTAGAGACTTACTTCACTGATAACGTGACCAATAAGCTGATAAAGAGGAAGAGGCATGTTAGTTGTAGAGTTGGCATTGAATGCAGTTCTGAGAATACTTTAGTAAAGTACCTAATTTAAAGGGATATACTTGTTAGGACCTGAACGATGCATGGGAGAGAGAGGTGAGGCAGCGAAGGAACGCGAACCGCGAGTCGCCACCCAGGAAGCGTTCTCCGGTGAGTCGGCAACTGTTTGACAGGGAGGAGGAGAGGGTGAAACAGTTCAGGGCACAGATGAGGGGACACGGCAAGGAAAATAAACCAAAGGGTAGGTCTTTAATTGGAGTGTACCTTGGTAGATGCAGTTACGGTCCTATCTAATGAAATAGTACATTCCTTGATAGCAGATTTGGTTTCAGATTAGGGACAGTCGGGTAGCCTAGTGGTTAAAGCGTTCGCTCGTCACGCCGAAGACCCGGGTTTGATTTCCGACATGGGTACCATGTGTGAAGCCCATTTCTGTCCCTGTGACATTGCTGTATTATTGCTAAAAGTGGCGTAAAACCATACTCACTCACTCACTGGTTTCAGATTATTGCCCAAAGATTCAAGTCAGTAGATCAAAAAAATGTTTTATATTATTATTTTAAAAATTTCAAATACACTTTTGGTTTCCTCAAAATGTTAAGTAGGTTGGAAAGAAAAGTGGGGACAGACGGATTCGTCATAATTTGTTGTGTTTTGCAGCTTTTGAGATAAATTTTCCACAGGTTACATTGTAATCTGACAGTGTGAATCGATGCTCACAATACCAATCACTGGACCAGACTCGATTATTTACAGGCTGCCATCTTGAAATTTCAAGAAAAAAAGGCAGATGGCCCTGAAAGGCTTCTGGAGAATTAATTTTAATTACATATTTGCATTCCATGGGACTTTCAGCGCAAATTATATACTTATAATGTGAGACGGATGTTTCCTTACACTGTCAACCACTGACTTGCTGGGTCCAGTCAAGATTTCATAGCTCTCATTTGGTAAATATAGGCAAGGACAGAAAGAAATGCTTTGCACGATTAAGTCAGATATTTAGCATGTTCAGTCACCAGACTTTTGTTTCATTTAATATTTTATTTCCTTGAAACAACTTTCATGATATTTTTCAGGTGTGCTGAAGAAAACATTCAAGCATTCCTATCAGGCACCTGCTCCGAAAGTGCAGCCACGGAAAGGTAGTGTGCTGGTATTGAAAGTGATTATCTGGTCAAGGGGAGATAACTAAAATATTATCTCCCTTTTATTTTGCTGACTATGGTGTTTTTTATGTTTGACTATTAATTGATTAGGCTGAGTGAGTGTATTTGATAGAAAGAGCATGTAATAAAAAGAGCATTACATATTATTATCATGGTTATTATAACAATAAATATGTTTCAGGTCTACCAAAGAAAACCAGATAAGAACAACCAAACTATGGAATATGTGCAGACTGTGAATAGAAAATGCCACACAAATTACAAACAAGACACAATCCCCATCAAGTGTGGTTAAAATCAGGAACATTTTCACTGGAACTAAACACAGTGAATCCCGCAAACAGCTACAAACAGTGCATGCGCATGTCTCCATTGAAAATGTGGCAGGTTTTAATCATAATGATGCACACTTTATGACATCTTCCCGAGGCAAGAGAGTTAACTGACTACAAAAGTCCAGTTTCCACCCTTGCCGAACTAGGCTGGTATTATGGAGTCACATCTTTTCATGTTTTTAATCAAGGTGCTCACATGATTTGATGCATTTCACGATGTAAGACCTGTTTATCACAATATAGATCTTGACTATCGATCAGATTGTCCTGACTGGGCGCCACCATTTTGTGTGAAGCAAACGCAAGTTATACGAGAGGTGGCATCTGATAGGTCCATAGGAGAGGCTTAGAAGGGACCTAACTGGTAATAGCCACTGGTGGCGCTACGATCGACCCCAATAATTCTAGTTCGGCAAGGGTTGAAACTGGATTTTTAAAGTCAGTTAACTCTCTTGCCTGAGGAAGATGTCTTTATGAGGATTGTGTCAGGCTTGTAATTTAAGTAGCTATTCTATTCAAAGTCTACATATTCCAAAGTTTGGTTTGTCTCTGCTGGTTTTCTTTGTTAGGCCTGTCTCAAGTCTAGAAAAATGAAATGGATACATATGCTTCAGGTGTGACTGATACACCATCAGGGTTGTAAACATGCTTCAGAAAATGTTTAAATTGAACAATAATTAAAGAAATAAAGAAAAGTGGATTTTGAACCCTTTTTTCAAATTTGTAGAGAAGTCCCCCGACAGACAAGCTACGCTGCGAGCTGGCATCGCTGCCTTGATGCGGGACCGGGACCCGTCTCTTGAAGGTCGGCCTAGAGGAGGTGTGTCGTGGAACATCTCACTAGACAACAAGCCCTCACAGAAGAAAGGCCTGTTACTACCAGCCAAATTACAGGTGCGCTGAAACTTGTATTTCAATTGATTATTACATTTTCATCCATAGTTTCAACAATTTATGGTTTGTATTTTTCAAACAATCTGTTCAACATTGTTGAGGGGCAGTCGGGTAGCCTAGTGGTTAAAGCGTTCGCTTGTCACGCAGAAGACCCGGGTTTGATTCCCGACATGGGTACAATGTGTGAAGCCCATTTCTGGTGTCACCCGCCGTGATATTGCTGGAATATTGCTAAAAGCGGCGTAAAACCATACTCGCTCGCTCAACATTGTTGAAGGTGTCTCTGAACAGTAATCTGTGCCCAGCACTCTTAAGTCTACAAGTCTGAAATTGACTGCTCTTAGCAAACTTTTCAATAGATTTGAGTGTTATCATGGTTATGTTTTGGACAATTATTAGCTTACTGGACCGAACAGAATTTTACAAGACTCGGGCTTCGAAGTAGTGGCTGAGGCGACAGATTGGTCGACACTGTCGACTGAACCCTTGAAATTTATTATTGGGGTCCCCTTGACCCCTGGTTTTAAAGGTCAAGGTAAAACCCTGGCTACCTGTAGTTCATCAAGTACACATGGTAGTAAACGGTAAACCAGGGGTCCGGAAAAATTAAAATCCCAATCGGACATTTGCATTTAGGCAACGCCCCCTTCAAATAGCATATTTTAGTACGACTTTTCACACACATTACAAGTTTACGTATTCATAATATGATGAATTATGAATTGTTTCAATTTAAATTGTTTAATTCACCGGACAATTAATAACAAATAATATCATTTTAGATTTACATGGAAAACATACGTTTGTTTCTGTTATAATAACGATCTGTTAACGTAGTGAACGGTCTAATTAATATTCATGAGTTATATTCATGAGTCTGCTCAAGTGTACGCGTTGTAACATTTGGATCGAGACTATTATCCCATATTTGGTTATCACGTGACCTCACGGGAAAAGTGTTTTTTTAAACTAAAGATTTTTTTAAAAACAAGACAGATTATTTAATCACAAATACTAAAATATCGTTGATAGCAATAGTTATTTGAATACTTTTTTCATCTGTACTTTATTATTGACCATAAAAAAATTGGATATTGATGGTCCGAGAAAGCAAAATGGCGGTCAATCAAGATTCAATATACGACTAGCTACTGAAAAAAATAAAATGATGCGAGGTATTAATGTACAGTTGTAAACACCTTTCACTCAAATTAACAAGATGTTCTCAGTAATTAATCCTCGATTAATCAGTGTCAACTCAGTTTATTGCCTATTACAGTGATTGACCGATTGGACTATCATGTTGGTACGATGTATTTACAGCAATCAAAACAAACAAAGCTTGTCAGTGTAGTTAATCTTCATTGTGTTGCAACTGCAGACAGAAACTGCTCAGTCCTAACTGTTGATCATGTCCGGTCAAAATTTAAGAATGTCCGGACAATACTTTTTAAAATGTCCGGTAAGCAATATTTTAAAACGGACATTTGAGATTCCCAATCGGACATGTCCGGCGCATATGACGGTTTCCGGACCCCTGGGGTAAACACTGAATTATTTTCTTCGTTTGTTTGTTAGGTACTTTTTATGCCAGGAACTTTGTTTAAGGTTGCATTTGGTGATATGATCTTGTGAGGATTCTTGAGTAGGACTGGTCCACGGCAACTCTATGTTGGTTGTAAGAATTTTGGTAGCCAGGCTTGATAAGTGTTGTTGACTGAGCAATAAAACTGTTCATTACATCAATCACAGGTTTGTGTGGTACAGACTCCATTATTAACAGGCTGCCATGTTATGGCTGGAGTGGTCTTCAGCAACCCATGCTTGCCGTAAAAGGTGACTATGCTTGTCGTAAAAGGCGACTAACGGGATCGGGTGGTCAGGCTCGCTGACTTGGTTGATGCATGTCATCAATCCCAATTGCGTGGATCCATGCTCATGATATTAATCACTGGATTATCTGGTCCAGACTCGAATTATTTACAGACCACCGTCATATAGCTGGAATATTGCTGAGTGCGGCGTTAAACAACAAACCAACTAACCCACCCATGTACCTGATTATTTTTTTTTTTCCCATCCAGGCAAAACGGGAGAAGCTCCACAAGCATCATCCCCAGGTAGTGACAGACAGCCATTTTGCTGATCCAACGATAGCCGCCAATCGTAAAGCTGTTCTCCCTCTTCACAACCCGTTCGATGACGACTCCCGGCCAAACTCAGCTCCATCCTCCCCAGGACAGAGGTGTGTCTTCACTTCACAATCACACACTTACATAAGTGTGAATTTCCAATAGCACCATGAATATCCGGGTTTGAATTGGTCTTCAGCAGTCCATGCTTGTCATACGAGGCGACTAATAGGATGGGGTGGTCATGACTTTGTTGATGCATGTCATCGTACCCCATTGCGTAGGTTGATGGTCATGTTGTCAATCACTGGACTGTCTGGTCCAGACTGGTGCAGCATTAAACAACGAACATACGAATATATCTTCACATCTTTCAAGTGAACATAATTTGTGAAAATTCCTCATTTTGAATCCTCATATAGGTATAGTGATTTTTATAAAGTAGAGGAGGAATACCATGTGTTTTCTGTATGTTAGAAATATTCATCATTGAGAAATAGTTACCTTACCACGTTATAACAATGTTATAAACATGGTGAAGGTACACTTACATTCATAGTCTAGAGGAGGTCGCTGTGCAGAGTTGCGTCCCTTGGGCATGCCAGAAACCTATGATTGTGGGTTCGAATCCCGGTTCACCCCAATTATGTTTCTAAGTTTGTCAGCACCATACCCATGCTCATGGGTTTCACTGAAGTTGTAAACGTCTGAGACCTGCATCACTTCAGGCTTTCCTCCCACATTAAGCTGACACGCTGCGATATAACTGGAATACTGTTAAACGCGGCGTTAAACCCAACTCACTCACTCACTTCATAGTCTAGAGGAGGTCCTGTAGGAGGCCCAGAAAAAGAGTTTGTTCAGCACCTTCTATATTAAAGGTCTGACTGTACAGTTTAGTCCAGGAGAGCTAACTGAACATATCTAGGTACTATGTGATCCCAAAATTATAGGGAGGGGAAGAAACTAAAGGTTGTCTAATGATTGGCTGAATTACAAAATAAACTTGACTGATTGACTTCCATAATTAGGAAAAGTTGTATGAAAAGGGTACCATTTGTGAGTTAAAATTGAAACATTGCTTTTATCAGTATTTCATTTTGTAACAGCAAGTAGGCTTCTTTATAGGATTATATAATTAAATTGAATTTTTCCGGTCATGCTCATGCGTTTTAAAAAAATTCTTTCATCATGGGTATTTAGATATCGAAGCCAGTCTCACAGTCCAGGCAGACTTGGCTCTCGTCACCCCTGGAAACCCCCAGGCACCCCGACCAAAAGTCCTGCCACGCCCAAACATCGGAGTCGCTCTTTCAGTCCACCAGGTTCTCGTATGAGGTTCTTTGTTGAAGATGTAGACAAAGATATTGTGAAGTAAGTGGACTAGAATTAGATGTTGCTTATCTCGTGGGGATTCCAGGTTAGAATTGTGCCCATCATGCTTATCAGGCAACCATATGGATTGAGTGGTCAGACTCAGTGACTTGGTTGAGAGCGTGTCATTGTACTACGATGATGTGGATCATTGTTCATAATATCAATCACTGGTTTGTCTGGTCCTGACTCAGTTATTTACAGACCTCTGCCATATAGCTGTAAAATTGCTGAGTGTGGCTTTAAACAGCAAATATAGAAACGAACAAACAAAGAGATATTGCTTGGGTGTCATTTGGTTTTCCACTGATCCTCATTAAAAAGGGACTAAGTGGCCTTAGGTGCAGCAATTCGCTCTGCAGAGTTTTGTCCCTTAGACATTGTAGGATCTGCTGGTCATTTGTTGGAATTATAGATTCAACCTGATCGTGATAGATGTGACCCATGGTAATGTCACTTTCCTGCCACATCCAGCACCATCCCGTAGTAGAACTCAAATACTGTTTGAAGCTGCATGAAGTCTTCAGGAACCCATGCTAGCCGTAAAAGGCGATATGCTTGTCTTAAGAGGCGACTAACGGGATCGGGTGGTTAGGCTCGCTGACTTGGTTGATGCCGTCATATGGCTGGAATATTGCTAAGTGTGACGTTAAACAACAAACAAACAAAGCATAGCTATAAGAACTTGATTTGACTTTATTTCGTATTAACTTCTTACTTGTGTAAGAGTGTCATTTGTAAGCTTTTGAAATCGTTATTACCCATTTGATGAGTCTTTAAGGCAGTTAAAAGTTTGTTGTAAACATGACAAGGAGTATTATGGATGACAACTTGTGGATTATTCCTACTCAACGTTTCAGGGCTACTTCTTGCCCTTCATCATATGAATGACAGGGTGGGAAAACATGAAGCATATATATCTACATCCAAATGAAGCCAGTTATTATTAGATATATTATAAGTGAATCTAGTTATGATAAGATGTGTTTGATGAAGCTGATGTGTCATCATGGTCATGTTAAAACATGAGATAGTAGAAACCCATTTGCTGTTAGCTGAAGTATTGTTAGTAGTTTATAGTAAAGTCTTTATGTTGCTGCTTTCAGACAACTGTTTCCTGATGACGAGAAACAAACCTTTAAGGTAACATACATTCCTACAACATGTCTGATGGTGACCTAAATATCATTCGTATCAAAAATTATCATGTGAAATTATCATCAGACCTTTTCATCATTTCTTAAAGAATTTTGAATTAAGGGATTTTTTCCTCTCGGAATGATGTAAAATGCACTTATTTTAATCCTCGTTTTTAAAATTTTCTTGTGTGTGGTGGCGGGGCGTGGGGGTTGGTTGGGGGAGCATGCCCCCAAACCCCCTAGATTGGTGATGTTCTTGCAAACACAAGTTTTGCTGTTCTCATGTCTGTGGTTGTAGAATTGAAGGGGTGTGTTGTCTTTGATAAAGCTGTCTGTGGAATTATTCCGGTAATACAAAGAATGCATTGCCTTCATATTGCAGCACAATCGTAAATCAAGAAGTGTTTCATCCCCAGGGAGAAACAGGTCTCCTAGAGCATCAAGCATGTCAAGGTAATGATGGGGGTGGCCAATAATGATGTAGCGTAGATATGACATTTGGATAGTTATCTTTTTTAACAGAATATAGCTGGACAATGTAGTGTCTGTGACAGTCTCATTAAAATCAGATCTTAGTTCTCGCTACCGCTAAACAAAGATCTGAGGACATCCCATTATGGGTCACATCAGAATGACCTTGAGCGAACTTTGACTGACCAATGGAATGACCAATCAGAAGGCAGTTTTCTCGTGCTTTACGGCACGGATTTCAAATTGGCGACTACGCTTCGAAACATATTTTGACGTATTCTGGATTAAAAATTTGAAACCTGAACAAAAGAACATTCTGGAATGGCTAATAGATGGTCTAGATTGTATGGATTCAGTTGTTAAACCCGTAACTATCGTTCGGAATACCCCGTGTTAAAGTTTTCGAGGTTGTATGATTAGAAATCACATTCCGACTGTTACTTTCATGATCTGGTAAGCAACGCTCTCATTGGTCAGATGAAAGGTCGTTCTGACGTGACCCCTAATGGGATGTCCTCAGATCTTTGTTTAGCGGTAGCGAGAACTAAGGTCTGATTTTAATGAGATTGTGTCTGTGAATACTGGTATTGCAAAATGAGTCAATTAAAGGACATCCATTGAAATTCTACATTGGAATAGGCCCCCAGTAACCTATGCTTTGCAAAGAGAGATTCTGTGACTTTATTGATTGTGTGTCATCATGTACACCTCAATGACCTTGACCATATTTCTCAAAGTGATCGTAGCCATATGACAATCATATCTCCCATACTTTATCATAAACTTACGATAATCGTAGAGCACCAATTCTTTGTGATATGGTACACAGGATGTTGCTCATAATTTTAATCACTGGTTTGTCTGGTTCAGACTGAATATTTTACACATTGCCATTATGGGTCTTGAATAATGCCTAGTGACATGTAACAACAAATATTTGTACTTGTCGGAAGTCAAAACACTTCATCACATCTTCATGCCTAATACTAGGGGTACAAATAAGTCCATGTATTTGTTATGGAGAATAACTAGCGTAATTCCTGGTGTGTGAAGGAATAAGTTTAGCCACAGTTGATGAGTTAATTTGGAAATACTTGTAGACATTTTGATGCTAAATTTGAGACAATTTATGGATAACAACTTCTTTATTTACTGTAAAGACGATGTTTCGGTATCGATTCTTCCTTGACAACTGTATTAGGATCTATACCAAAACGTCGCCTTTACAGTAAATAAAGAAGTTGTTTTCCATAAATTGTCTCTACTTTGTCATCCGTCAACTTCTAAGTAATGCCCAGCAAACAATTAAGTTTGATGCTGTTAAACTGGTTATACATACCAAAAGATTTCAGAAATGTGAATGTATATGTGTGTTCCGTTTTGAAAAAGGTAATGAGATTGTTGTTACAGACGGAGAGAACCGCTGCGGAATTCCTTTGTGTCAAGCGTGGTAGACGAGGCTAAGAAGAGGATGAAGCCATATCTCAAGAAGGTGCCAAGCTGATATACTTGTACAAACTATACCTGATGTCTTTGGAGTAAAGGAGTTTATGAAGTAGTTACTGAATTGTAGTTTTACTTCTTTACTCCTTATAATCAAATTCATGAATAAATGCTCTTCTGACTCCATCACCCCCATGAAGAAACGGGTTCAAACTGGACTTTTGCAACCCATGCTTGTCATGTCACTTGAGGGGAGGTCAGGTAGCCTAGTGGTTAAAGCCTCGCTCGTCACACCGAAGACCCGGGTTGGAACCCCGACATGGGTACAATGTGTGAAGCTCATGTCTGGTGTCCCCCGCCGTGATATTGCTGCAATATTGCTAAAAGCCGCGTAAAACCAAACTCACTCACTCACTCATGTCACTTGAGTGAGTGTGTGAGTTGGGTTTAACGCCGCTTTTAACAGTATTCCAGGGCCCTGTTCCACAAAGCGCTCTTAGTGCTACGTTGATCGTAAGCCTATGGTAATGTATGGGAGTTACGACCAACTTAGCACTAAGGTCGCTTTGTGGAACAGGGCCAAGTATATCACGGCGTGTCAGCTTAATGTAGGAGGAAAGCCCCAAGTGATGCAGGTCTCAGACGTTTACCACTTCGGTGAAACCCATGAGTATGGGTATGGTGCTGACAAACCTAGAAACATAATTGGGTTGAACCGGGATTCGAACCCACAATCATAGGTTTCTGGCGTGCCCAAGGGACGCAACTCTGCACAGCGAATTGTGACAACTGGGCCACCCGTGCCCCTGCTTGTCCAAAAAGGCTGTGGTGGATGCATGTCATTGTATCCCAATTGAGTAGATCACTGCTCATGATGTCAATTACTGGATTGTCTGGCCCAGATTTGATTATATACAGACAGCCTTCATATGGAATATTGCTGTGTGTGGCGTTAAACAGACTAACTAACTCTGACTCCCTCTTGCCATAGAAACTGGGGAATATGGTAAACATCTATAATAATAGCATCCATCCTCTTGACACAGGGCGCTGCTTCATATCCTGGCTACCGTCAGTCCCGGAGGTCGTCACCATCGCCCGACAGAGTGAGTCATGAGATCATTTTGAGATCAATTTGGATAACCTCGATTATTTTCTTGTAGTTAGCTGTTCCAGATAGTCATGGGTAATGATCGTGTAACTATGGAATTGAAAGTAGAGCTGTGGAAATCATGATAATGTGAGCTGTCAGTTTATAATATCTGTTATGTCTGATGGACACCTTCAGAAATGATTACCCAATAAAAGATATGTTATCATGACTATTTAACATGGAAGTAGATGGTTTTGAAAGACTATTCGGTACATCTGTGAAACATGTTTGTCCGATTTCATTAAAATCATTTTCTCGGATTTGATATATATGTCTCTCCAGATTAAGGTATCATAGAAGAAAAAAACATCTGATTTTAATAAGATTACATTTGTGTCCTGGGTAACCATGGTAACCAACAGTGGTATCTGGTTGTCTTTGTGTCTTATCTGTCGACTCAGCTTGGGTTTGGGTGGTTGGAATGTGTGTCCTTCGTGTGTCGTTCGGAAAGTGTGTGGAAGGTTGCTTGTTCTATCAACCATGATTTGTCTGGCCCTGATTCTATTAACGACAGGCTGCTATAGTTTGATGAGGGGCGGTCAGGTAGCCCAGTGGTTAAAGCATTCGCTCGTCACGCCGAAGACCCGGGTTCAAATCCCGACATGGGTACAATGTGTGAAGCCCATTTCTGGTGTCCCCCACCGTGATATTGTTGGAATATTGCTAAAAGCGGCGTAAAATCAAACTCACTCACACTCACTTTAGTTTGATGAGCCAGGGGGGGATTACGGATGAAGAACTGGACAACAGTATCACATGCTTGTCATAAGACTACTGTGGTCAGGAGACTTGGTTGATTGCGTGTCAACGGACCCCGTTGTTGGTAGTCACATACTATCAACAGGTTCTTCCGGTTCACACTCGATTATTTACAGGCTGCTGTCATACAGCTGGAATATACCTGGAGGAGTTGGGATACTGGAACTCCTCGAACCCCTTGAACCCTGTAATAGTCATACCTGTATAAAACAATCAGTGTTTTCCCATGGGGATTTTGGTGTCAGATTGGCCCCTAGCAACCTATGCTGGTCGTAAGATGTGATGACCTTGCAGAGTTAGAAACTAACAGTTTTTGTCCACTAGTCCTTATAATGATAACATATAGCAAAACCCTTAAAATGGGCTAATTTCTACTAGTCCTTAGGATACCTTTACTATTGGGCAGTTTGGTAAGGACTACAGAACTAGTGCCAATTTTTAACGCTGGACTTGGTGTCGACTCTGTTTGGGTTTGAGTTATTGGAATGTGTGTCCCTGCTGTGTGTCGTTCTGCAAGTGTAGAATTTTGCTTGCACTATCAGCCAGGGGTTGTCTTGTCCTGACTATATTAACAACAGTCTGCTGTTTGGGTGGATTCAGCATTTTGAATTAGACACCAGTAACATATGCTTGTCATGAGAGGTGACTGATCTGGTTTGGGTGCTCAAGCAGGGTGTCTGGGTTGATGCTGTGTCATTGTACCCTGCGACCTGTGAAGATTCCGGGGTAGAGTAGGTCTTCAGCAACCCATACTTGTCGTAAAAGGCGACTATGCTTGTCGTGAAAGGCGACTGACGGGATCGGGTGGTCAGGCTCGCTGACTTGGTTGATACATGTCATCGATCCCAATTGCATGGATAGATGCTCATGATGTCAATCACTGGATTGTCTGGTCCAGACCGCTGTCATATAGCTGGAATATTGCTGAGTGCGGCGTTAAACAACAAACAAACAAACAAACAAACATTGTACCCTGCAGCATGGGACACTGCTTTTACTATCAACTAGACTTGGTGTTTTACAGGGTATTTTCCTGGAATAGTGCTGAATTCATAAAACAACATTCAGTCACTCCCCACTCCTTGATGTTTGTGTGAAACATGGTTGCATCGTCATCATCATCATCATCTCACAGCACATGCATAACAAAGATTCTTTATAGTATCAAGAGGATACATCATCATCATCATCATCATCATCATCCAGCCAATAACATAGTCCTTGTCTGTTTCAGTCCAGTATTTATGACGACTCTGTGAGTAGCCAGCTGCTTGAGGACATCCTTGCAGAAACAGTCCATGATCTTCACAACATGGATGAAAGGGAGAGGGTACGCAAGAAGGCTGTGTCCATGCAAGATGCACCGACTCTTGAGACTATATTCCAGAGGTTAGAGGAAATGGAGGTGAGTGAGAAATGAATTATGTCCATCTTTTAAAATTCTTTTCTCTCCGCAAATCATGGCTGAAATATTGCCGATGTGACTTTAAATCTTAACTCACTCAATTCTCTCAGCATATCAGGGAAACTTCAAGAATTTGGTGTCAATATTTTTTTCAGTTCTCGTATAATGATATTTTACGTTATACTCATTTTGGTTACTGTCTGTCTTAAACCCAGCAAGAACAGGTGGACATTCGACGTAGATGGGCAACGGTCAGCTATACAAACCCCCAGCCAGTGTCCAAGTACTTCACCACAAGTAGGTAGTAGTAGTGGTAGTAGTAGTGGTAGTAGTAGTACTGTACTATTATGGCTAAGTTCCTCATGCCTAGTCTTTTGTCAGTGTAGCTTTTCTCATACCTCATATCAATGAAACAGGGTATTAAGAGAGTTGAGGGATTTGTCTTCCCATGTGACAGAACACAAATGATAATGATGGAAAGTTGATCTTGCAGTATGATTTAAGTTGACTGTATCCTTGATACTATAAAGAATCTTTGTTATGCATGTGCTGTGAGATGATGATGATGGTGATGGTGATGGTGATGATGATGATGATTGTGATGGTGGTGGTGATGATGATGATGATGATGATGATGATGATGATGATTCCAGAGGAGGTTTTGTCAGATCGCCCGCGCTCTCCACCAGCTATTGAGGTACACAGGACTGGTGGACCATCAACACCACCCAGACATGTGTAAGTACACTCGGCCAATATACAGGAAGTGAATACTTAATGCCACAGTCATTAATATTCCAATGCTCAAATTGGCACATTCTTCTGGCATAAATAGAATGTCTCACTTGTCTTAGATGCTGATATTCACCCAGCCAACATTCTCCCCCTTCCCTCCTTTCCCCCCCGGGGGTCAGAATTAGGCTTCAGCAACCCATGCTTGTCATAAGAGGCGTTTAAAGGGATCGGGTGGTCAGGCTCGCTTTTTTATCTATGTCATCATATTCCATTTGCCTAGATCGATGCTCATGACGTCAGTCACTAGATTGTCTGGTCTGGTCATCCTTAAGCAGCAAACAAACCTGCACTTGTTGGAGCTTTTCTCCACCCTTTGTGCAGCATTAACTGGACATGCATCGATAGCGATGAAAGCCTCTTTCAAGTGACATAAGTTAAGCTTGCTTGATCACTCATTTTCAAAGGGTTATTGACATTTTCCTACACTGAATCATGTTTCAATCATCTACATCAATTAAAACTGGGATTTCCAACTGTGCAATCATTTACAAGAAACTAAAAGAAATCCTTTTTAATAATAAATATCTGAAACAAAATCCACATCAGATATCAATAATGCTGCCTCTCTTCAATCTTGTCATATTCCAGTGCCGTAGCCAGCTGGAGGGGGGTGGGTTTTTTATTTGAATCAAGTTGGGGACAAGTGACACTTGTCCAAATATTTGCCTCCACCCTGTCAAAAGTTAACTACGGCCTTGTATTCCATATCAAAATTACCAAAACGTTTTTGTTCCATCAGCAAATTTTCACAACAACCCCCAGAGCAGCCAATAGTGTTTACCAAAGAATCACAGCGGTCCAAATGGACTGAGAGTTTCTCCCACAAGGTTCCCGAGGATGCCAGTGAGCGTGAGCCCGTGACAATGCCCAGCATGTGCAGACCTCGGACGTTGTTGTCCATCCCCCAGTCTGTGGCCAGCAGGATCGACAACCACCAGGAGGCATACAGCAACTACCTCAAGAAGATGTCCCATCACCCACAGGGGATCTTCCAGCCATGGAAACTTGTCCAGCAGTAAGTTGTCAGTAGGGACATCAATGTGTGAAAAAGCCTCAAAATATTGGACCAGTGGACTAGCTACCCTTACAAGGTACTAGCCAGTTTCAACTCTCACAAGCTTAAGTGAACAACAGCTTGTTTTTCCAGAGATGTCAGTCTGTGAGGTATCCATTAGGGCTGGGACAGGTAACTTGGGTACCCGGGTCGGGGGGGTACTGAGTAGGACCCGGGTACTCACAGGACTACCCGGACCCGTGGTTAGTCACGTGATATATTGTTTAGTGACACAAATTATCTATAACTCTATGGTTACACTACAAGTCACTAATGTTCGCATTTCTTTCTGACTGTGCACCAATTCCTTCTGATTTTTTATATGGCTGAATATAGACATAACTTAATTCAAATTCTGTGTATGAATGACCAGATTGTTTAATACGTGTATCTAAATACGTTTTGCCAGGGTTATGCTAAAAATGTTCCCAATCGGACATTTTGAGACATCTCCTGAGACCTACAGTGGGTACCCGTGTAGGGTCAGGTAATAGGGTGGTGGGTACCCGGGTAGTAAATTTGGACTCATCCCAGCCTTAGTATCCATCAAGTAAACCCAAATTGCAAAGTATGAGTCAGGCTACTATGAAGGGGGATAACTCTGAGCTCGTGACCTCACAACCTTGATTCATACAGATATTTTGACTGGGATAACTGGAGAACGGTGTATGAAATAAGACAGTGAGACAGGGATTGGGCTTGATAGTAGTTAGGGTATTTGTATCTATAAACGATTTTGACTTGTCGCTACACGGGTGAAATAGGGTTTAATGTCGCGTCCAAGACTATTACACTTATATAGCCAAGTGCAGGCATGTGTGTGTGGCTGCTTGTACTAGTCCGGACTGATGCCGATTTATAGTGCTAGCCCAATGAGATACCATGCCGCAGTTTAACATGAATACCCCTCAGACACAGTAAACTGACCTCAAGCCAACCAGTCCTTGTCTTAGCCCCTTAATGACGAGCGCCAGACAGGGTAACAACAAGTACCATCTTTTAACGTCTTTTGGTATGACGCGGCCGGGGTTGGATCCTCGAACATTCCCCTCTCTGGTCGAAGTCGTTACACAGAGCTACGGGCGGGTCCAAAACATTTTAAAGAGTAATGAGCTACACTTTATTGACGAAAAGCAGTGGTACACAACTATTTTCGAACTGCTTTCATTAAGTCCATGGGGCGGTCGGGTAGCCTAGTGGTTAAAGCGTCCGCTCATCACGACGAAGACCCGGGTTCGATTCCCGACATGGGTACAATGTGTGAAGCCCATTTCTGGTGTCCCCCGCCATGATATTGCTGGAATATTGCTAAAAGCGGCGTAAAGCCACACTCACTCATTAAGTCCAGTATGTCCAGATAGAATTGTGTCACTATTTTTTTGCATTAATCTCATGTCATATACCTTATGTTTGAATGAATATTGCAATAGACTTAACCTGCTTGCTTCCACAGGATCAGTGATGAGATTTTCACAGAATGTTTGAAAGAGGTAACGGGAGAACTGGATGACTTCAACGAAGCAATTGCAAACCATTTGTACAAGTCGGAGTTCATGGAAGCCAAAGGTCAGACCCCTTCACCAGAGGTCAGGCAATCTATGTCAAAGTTCACGAGTAGGACCACTTCACCAGAGGCTAGAGTGTCCTTGACCCAAGCCGAAGAAAGGCTTGTTGGGAGGGATATATCTCATAATGCGACTTCCAAGCATGTGAGTGTGTCTTCACGACCCGTTGAAGATGTTGAGGATGAGGAAGAGGATGACGAGGATGATGATGATGATGATGATGACGAAGACCTCGGGAGTGAGGACTGGCAGACAGATGATGAGGATGATGCCAGCTAGTGCTGGGACTGGTGTCTGCATGCCCTGTGAGTTTGTGTGGAGATCCAAGTCAGTTCAGCATGGAGAGGCAGTGTATCTATGAAGACACAGTCCAAGCACATAAGCTTGGCTTGTAAGATGGTTAAGTATGTATGACTGACTTTTAGCTGTGGGACAAACTGAAGATGTGGAACATCTTTGTGACTTTTATCCCTTGTTTGATTTTGTATGATAGAAATATCCACATGTAATGATAATCCTGTTGATGTCTTTCCATACCAAGCTGTGATATTTATTCAGTGGATCTTGTGAATCTGCTGTTGATGGAAAGTGATCTGTATTTGCCAACCTGTCGTGGACATGAGGAACTTTGCAGATAGGAATGTGTTGAAGACAGCTGGGTTGTTTGTGTGATATGCTTCACCCCAGACTGTCCAGCTGACGGAGTGTTCCGTGATTGTAACCCACGGTGGTCATATTTCCCCACAAACTGTTTACCGTCCAGATATTACTATGTATGTCAATATTTATACAAGGCCATGGCAGGATCTACTGTTGATGTACACTCATGTCAAGGTTGACAAATGTAGGATAAATGTCAACATGAGTGAATAACAAATATGTGGTACTTTTCAGGGGGGGGATGTTTAGTTTTTGTTGGGGTTTTTTTTGGGGGGGGGACTGTAATGATAATATTCATACTTGTTAATAATAATATAGCCCTTGTTTGAAACCTTGGATTGTAGAGGGTCAATGTCAATGTGTGGGGCTTCATGTTACTGATGTTACTAGGGTGTGTAGGGCAGGGGTCAATATTCGGGGCTTCATGTTACTGATTATACTAGGGTGTGTAGGGCAGGGGTCAATATTCGGGGCTTCATGTTACTGATGTTACTAGGGTGTGTAGGGCAGGGGTCAATATGAGGGGCTTCATGTTACTGATGTTACTAGGGTGTGTAGGGCAGGGGTCAATATGTGGGGCTTCATGTTACTGATGTTACTAGGGTGTGTAGGGCAGGGGTCAATATGTGGGGCTTCATGTTACTGATGTTACTAGGGTGTGTAGGGCAGGGGTCAATATTCGGGGCTTCATGTTACTGATGTTACTAGGGTGTGTAGGGCAGGGGTCAATATGAGGGGCTTCATGTTACTAGGGTGTGTAGGGCAGGGGTCAATATTCGGGGCTTCATGTTACTGATGTTACTAGGGTGTGTAGGGCAGGGGTCAATATGTGGGGCTTCATGTTACTGATGTTACTAGGGTGTGTAGGGCAGGGGTCAATATTCGGGGCTTCATGTTACTGATGTTACTAGGGTGTGTAGGGCAGGGGTCAATATGTGGGGCTTCATGTTACTGATGTTACTAGGGTGTGTAGGGCAGGAGTCAATATGCGGGGCTTCATGTTATTGATGTTACTAGGGTGTGTAGGGCAGGGGTCAATATTCGGGGCTTCATGTTACTAGGGTGTGTAGGGCAGGGGTCAATATTCGGGGCTTCATGTTACTGATGTTACTAGGGTGTGTAGGGCAGGGGTCAGTATGTGGGGCTTCATGTTACTGATGTTACTAGGGTGTGTAGGGCAGGGGTCAATATTCGGGGCTTCATGTTACTGATGTTACTAGGGTGTGTAGGGCAGGGGTCAATATGAGGGGCTTCATGTTACTAGGGTTTGTAGGGCAGGGGTCAATATTCGGGGCTTCATGTTACTGATGTTACTAGGGTGTGTAGGGCAGGGGTCAATATGTGGGGCTTCATGTTACTGATGTTACTAGGGTGTGTAGGGCAGGGGTCAATATGAGGGGCTTCATGTTACTGATGTTACTAGGGTGTGTAGGGCAGGGGTCAATATTCGGGGCTTCATGTTACTGATGTTACTAGGGTGTGTAGGGCAGGGGTCAATATTCGGGGCTTCATGTTACTGATGTTACTAGGGTGTGTAGGGCAGGGGTCAATATGAGGGGCTTCATGTTACTAGGGTGTGTAGGGCAGGGGTCAATATTCGGGGCTTCATGTTACTGATGTTACTAGGGTGTGTAGGGCAGGGGTCAATATGTGGGGCTTCATGTTACTGATGTTACTAGGGTGTGTAGGGCAGGGGTCAATATTCGGGGCTTCATGTTACTGATGTTACTAGGGTGTGTAGGGCAGGGGTCAATATGTGGGGCTTCATGTTACTGATGTTACTAGGGTGTGTAGGGCAGGGGTCAATATGCGGGGCTTCATGTTACTGATGTTACTAGGGTGTGTAGGGCAGGGGTCAATATGAGGGGCTTCATGTTACTAGGGTGTGTAGGGCAGGGGTCAATATTCGGGGCTTCATGTTACTGATGTTACTAGGGTGTGTAGGGCAGGGGTCAATATGTGGGGCTTCATGTTACTGATGTTACTAGGGTGTGTAGGGCAGGGGTCAATATTCGGGGCTTCATGTTACTGATGTTACTAGGGTGTGTAGGGCAGGGGTCAATATGAGGGGCTTCATGTTACTAGGGTGTGTAGGGCAGGGGTCAATATTCGGGGCTTCATGTTACTGATGTTACTAGGGTGTGTAGGGCAGGGGTCAATATGTGGGGCTTCATGTTACTGATGTTACTAGGGTGTGTAGGGCAGGGGTCAATATTCGGGGCTTCATGTTACTGATGTTACTAGGGTGTGTAGGGCAGGGGTCAATATGTGGGGCTTCATGTTACTGATGTTACTAGGGTGTGTAGGGCAGGGGTCAATATGCGGGGCTTCATGTTACTGATGTTACTAGGGTGTGTAGGGCAGGGGTCAATATTCGGGGCTTCATGTTACTAGGGTGTGAAGGGCAGGGGTCAATATTCGGGGCTTCATGTTACTGATGTTACTAGGGTGTGTAGGGCAGGGGTCAATATGTGGGGCTTCATGTTACTGATGTTACTAGGGTGTGTAGGGCAGGGGTCAATATTCGGGGCTTCATGTTACTGATGTTACTAGGGTGTGTAGGGCAGGGGTCAATATGAGGGGCTTCATGTTACTAGGGTGTGTAGGGCAGGGGTCAATATGAGGGGCTTCATGTTACTGATGTTACTAGGGTGTGTAGGGCAGGGGTCAATATGTGGGGCTTCATGTTACTGATGTTACTAGGGTGTGTAGGGCAGGGGTCAATATGAGGGGCTTCATGTTACTGATGTTACTAGGGTGTGTAGGGCAGGGGTCAATATTCGGGGCTTCATGTTACTGATGTTACTAGGGTGTGTAGGGCAGGGGTCAATATATGGGGCTACTTGTTACTGATGTTACTAGGGTGTGTAGGGCAGGGGCCAATATGAGGGGCTTCATGTTACTGATGTTACTAGGGTGTGTAGGGCAGGGGTCAATGTGTGGGGCTACTTGTTACTGATGTTACTAGGGTGTGTAGGGCAGGGGCCAATATGAGGGGCTACTTGTTACTGATGTTACTAGGGTGTGTAGGGCAGGGGCCAAAAGTGGGGCTACTTGTTACTGATGTTACTAGGGTGTGTAGGGCAGGGGTCAATATGTGGGGCTACTTGTTACTGATGTTACTAGGGTGTGTAGGGCAGGGGCCAATATGTGGGGCTTCTTGTTACTGATGTTACTAGGGTGTGTAGGGCAGGGGCCAATGTGAGGGGCTACTTGTTACTGATGTTACTAGGGTGTGTAGGGCAGGGGTCAATATGTGGGGCTACTTGTTACTGATTTTACTAGGGTGTGTAGGGCAGGGGTCAATATGAGGGGCTACTTGTTACTGATGTTACTAGGGTGTGTAGGGCAGGGGCCAATATGAGGGGCTACTTGTTACTGATGTTACTAGGGCCTGTGGGGGAGGGGCCAATATGGGGGGCTACTTGTTACTTACGTTACTAGGGCTTGTACGGGAGTGTTACAATAAATGTTATAACCATAATATGCCTACATCATGAGAACAAAATATAATACAGTATTGGCCGTAATAAGCCGCCTGGGCGCTTAGAAAATTGACAAAGGAAGGGGTGCTTATTAAACCCATACACAATAAGTTAAAGTTCAGAGATCAAACAGTTGAGAACAAAAATACTTTGTTCAAATGTCGATGACACTAAAATGTTGTCGATAATAGTGTTGCAATTATAGACCTTTCTACACTACTGTTTTTCTGTAATATACACAAGAAACTATGGACTGTCATGTATGTTTTTTTCTAAGTAGGGGTCTTAAGATTACTTGCAGATTGGTCTAGAATTTGGTTAGGAAGCATTTATTAGAGCAGGGCGTTTAATGCGGTGAATATGGTAATGACTTTGACCTGCTCAGTAGCACTTTTCACGGCCCTTGATTAATCTGGTAGAACATTAGACAATTACATTATATTTCAGTTTAGTCTTTATGTCACTGGTGAGATGAATGAATACTGAATACTACACTGTACAAGATAAATCAATAAATATATTTATGTATAAATAAATTGATACATTTTCCATTTTCTCCTGTGTTATATTAGTCGAGGTATTTCAACGCTTCAGAGAGTAATGGTGGTGATATAAGTGAGTGAGTGACAGTATTCAAGTTATATCACGGCGTGTCAGCTTAATGTGGGAGGAAAGCCCGAAGTGATGCAGGTCTCAGACGTTTACCACTTCGGTGAAACCCACGAGCACGGGTATGGTGCTGACAAACCTAGAAACATAATCGGGGCGAACTGGGATTCGAACCCACAATCATAGGTTTCTGGCGTGCCAAAGGGACGCCACTCTGCACAGCGAATCGCGGCGCCTTAGATGACTGGGCCACCCGTGCCCCCTGGTGGTGATATAAGCTAGTAGTTAAAGTGTTAACTCAACACACATAACAATCAGGGTGTGCAGTATTACCCGTTAACTTGTTAATTGAAAAACCTGTGAACACGTCATGATACAGTCGGATCACTTTGAGAGGTTTGGTTAAACGTATATCGCTATCAGGGTGCACAGTATTACCGGTTTATTGCAAAACCTGTGAACACATGTAGGGAGAAGATCGCAGCGAACTGATTTTCACGATAGTTGGATCACTTTGAGAGTTTCGGTTAAACGTATATCGCAATCAGTGTGCACAGTATTACCAGTTAATTGCAAAACCTGTGAACACGTGTAGGGAGATGATCGCAGTGAACCGATTTTCATGATAGTCGGATCACTTTGGGAGTTTCGGTTAGATGTCGTATATCGCATTTAGAATAGTTGCGAATAATTTTTAATTTTAACAAGGTCTACCACAATTTCGAGGCAGTGCCGAATGACAGAAGTGAGGCAGCTATTGCAGACATTTTGGGCTTGTGAAGGATGGGATAGTTGATTGAAACACTGCTGTAAAATCTGCAACGCTCAAGTTATGTTCCGGTGGAACGACCAATTTAACAATGTGTGCTGCGACGTCACCTGGTCACCCACATCAGCTGTAAAATCATTACAAAAAGCATAAGCTGCAATATATTGCAATACGTATAGCAATACAGCAATAGTCACACAATGCATGCACGTCTCTATGCAAGTGCAATAATCTTGTTAAACCCAATCTCACCTCACCTACGTCCTTGCATAAATTCAAGTCATCCAATAGTGTTGTGCAATAAATAATCAAAAGCTCAAGAAATATATTCCACAATTTTATTAAAAATATATGTCTGGCTCCCAGCACCAAAGTAACAGCAATAAAGATTCCATCATCTTCCCGAGGCAAGGGCGTTAACTGACGATAAAAGTCCCTTTTTGCACCCTTGCCGAACTATGCTGGAATTATGGAGTTACATTTTGGCTGGACTAACAGGTCTATGCTTAGTCTAATCAAAATTACATAAAGAAATCGACATACGGTTGTAAAATACCTTGCAGATTTCAGTCGATGGTAGGATTTGCAAAGCATGTGTACCGCCAATTCGGCGTCAAATATTTTCCCAATCTTTTCATATTTTTAATCACGGTGCTCACGTGATTTGATGCACTTTGGGAAGCAAGACTGTTTTAATACAGATCCTGATTATCAATCAGATCGTCCCGAATGGGCGCCGCCATTTCGTTTGAAGCAAATGCAAGTGATAAGAGAAGTGGAATATGAGGGACATGGAAGGGACATAACTCTGATATCCACTGGTGGTTCTACGATCGAGCCCAGCCTTGTTCCAGGGTGGAAACTGGACTTTTACAGTCAGTTAACTCTCTTGCCTTGGGAAGATGCGATTCCATTGATCATGCACCATCAACATAGGATGGATGCTAAATCATAACCATCAAAATAACAAGCACTTAGACATGATTTGTGCTGTAAATGTATAATTATGAAAATTCAAAGAATCATATCAAAACCATGAATTAATTCATTCACCATGCTGTAAAACAGATATACACAGATGAGCATGAATGCACTGAAACTGTTGATTAGGATTGAGTCAATTCAGGAGATACCAGGACATCCACTATGGCAGATTTATGTACACATTGAGCTGTCAACACCATAACAATCATCTTGAAAACATCATAAATATAACAATATTACTGATACCTAGATGTGTTAGCCATAGCCCTGTTCTGCTTCTTAGATACGATTTTGAAAACTGTCGCTATACAGAGCTACAGGCTTTTCCATAGTGTTTTCCTCATAGATTCCCAATTCAGAACATACCGCACTAACAACCTTACCATAATGTTATAACAGGTACCGCAGCTAATTGATACAACAAATTTGGACTTGTATGTAAGCCTTTTAGGGCCATTTCTTTTTTTCTTGAAATTTCAAGGTACTAAATTGAAATTTCAACTTATTATCTTGAAATTTCAACTTAGTATATCTTGAAATTTCAACATAAGATCTTGAAATTTCAAGAAAAAAACAAATGGCCCTAAAAGGCTTCCGTAGATTTGATATCTACCGACATTTTCTTTTCTTGAAAAGGATTGTGATTATAAGGGTCGAGTCAGTTGCACATACTTATATTTTAATTAGTATTTATATTTATAGTATATATATTTTAATATATCAACATGCGTCAATAAAAGCTTAAAACTCCTTGGCAAGCCTCAGTTTGAAACTTTTATCTAGTGTTGATATATTTGATATTTGAGAATGAGATTTACTGTACAATCAGACCCAAAAATTGTCAAGGGTCATGATCCATCACTGTCTTCAGTTTTAGGGAGAGCATCAGTTGGGTTTAACCATGTTGTGAACAATACTTCAGGACTATCACAGCGTGTCAGCTTAATGTGGGAGAAAGCCTGAGGTTATACAATACACCAGCACGTGTATGGTTCTGTATTTCTTGGCCATTTTGACAGGAGGAAAAACACACACAAAATACTTTTCCAATAGATTGCTATTGGAATCCATTTGATTTTAAATGGAATGGCCTAACTGAGTAAAGAAAAGATACTTAGTGCACCAACTTCTAAATACCTCTTAGCCTGAGTGAGTGTGTGAGTTTGGTTGAACGCTGCTAACAGTATTCCGGTTATATCACGGCGTGTCAGCTTAACTTGGGAGGAAAGCCCGAAGTGATGCAGGTCTCAGACGTTTATCACTTTGGTAAAACCCATGAGCATGGGGCTAACAAACCTAGAAACAATCGTGGCGAACCAGGATTCGAATCCACAGTCAAAGGTTTCTAGCGTGCCAAAGGGACTCAACTCTGCACAGCGAATTGGGCACCTTATATGACTTGGCCACCAACGCCCTGGAACAACTTGAAGAGTTGATGACTTCATTGAAGAAAAGGAATAACAATCTGCATTAACACTTGGGAATCAGTTGAGAATCAGTTGGGGGGAGAAGATGGTGTCAACAAAATATGATAGTCCTGAGACCAACCCCCACCCACACTACCACTAATAAATTATCAGTCCCTCAAAACCACTTCATAAAATCCAAAATCGAGAATATTCCCCACTTTTTCAGCATCTTCAAACAAACAAATGAACATGCTCCCGTTGGAGCTTTGAGGGGAAAACACACTTCTCATCCACTTGGAAGTAAACAAAGGTTTATTATTACATGCCTGTGAAGAGATCACCTGTTTAATAAACATACAGCTGTATTACACATTGTGTAATACCAAAGCCCGTGCTTATGTACTGCAGGAACAAGTTCCACTAACGACCACATCATCCAAAACTGGCTTCCATAGGTGATATGCTTGGGTGAGATCAATGAAATTGCATCACAATGCTTTGCAGTCAATTATGACATCATTGGTTACCATGACATCACAATCAAATGACATCACTAATCACTCTACCTCTGAAGCGTGTTAGCTGCATTGAGAACACTGGTTATTACAGTTTACAAACTGAAAAAGTAGGAAGGATCATTTTGGATGAGTGAGTATGGTTTTACGCTGCTTTTAGCAATATTCCAGCAATATCCTGGCGGGGGTCACCAGAAATGGGCTTCACAAATTGTACCCAGATTTGGGATGATAAATAGAATCTCACCTAAGTGTCCAAACCTTTATCGACTCATGATATATTTGAAATAGATAGATACTCGGGTGAGATTCTCTATACCCCACTGCCAAGAATTAGAACACTCATAGTTGGAAGGCAATAATAAGCCATTATACAGCAGACCAGCAGTACTACCATGCATCAAGGTATATAAAGTACAGGGCCCCGTTCCACATTAAGCAATCGTATATCCCATACTTTAACATAGACTTACGGCAGTCTTAGCACTAAGATCGCTTTGTGGAACGTGGCCCAGGTAAAAAAGTGGCCACAATTGATGCTTCAAATGGCCCGGTCAATTAGCGATCACAGATGGTACAGACGAATAGGCTGAAGCATCGATCCCCATCTGAGCAGGTTAATTCTAACCTTTGACATAGGGCTCTGTATTGGACACCACTGATCTGTGTAAGACAATGGCACAAGTCCTGTAGTCCTTGCCAAACTGCCCAACAGCTGAGGTATAGTGGACTAAAACGGTTACTTTCTACTGCTGATACATCCAGTGATGCAGAGGAAAGATTGTGCCACACTATGAGATATATATACTACTCAAAAGAAGTTAAAGAACACCCTTTTTTCATTTGACTATAGTTAATGTCATGGCTACTGCAACATATGTCTACCAGTAGTTGGTGTTCGTTAACTTGAGCAGTATATTTGTCCTATAGTGAGTGAGTGAGTTGGGTTTAACGCCGCTTTGAACAGTATTCCAGTTATATCGCGGCATGTCAACTGAATGTTGGAGGAAAACCCAAAGTGATGCAAGTCTCAGATATTTACCTTTAAATGAGCACAGGTTGAAAAACCTAGAAATATAATATGGGCAAACCAGGATTCGAACCCACGATCATCATAGGTTTCTGGCATGTCCAAGGGAGGCAACTCTGCACAGCGAATTGTGGCACCTTAGACAACTGGGCCACCTGTGCCCTCTTATTGTATAAAAAAAAAGCTACATCTATATGACAAGAGCATAAGTAATGGGTTAAGAAGTACACTTGTTGATGGTATGTGCAAAGAATTCTCAAGTCTTTGTTCGTTTCAAGATTCAAGTTTTGGTTAGGTCACTAGTCACTGATGGACTACTTTCTCATGTATGGAGTCAAGTTTTCATTGTGCACATACCCATGTATACATACGCATATGCAGCATCAGAAATTGGCACTAGTTCTGTAGTCCTTGCCAAACTGTTCAATAGTTAAGGTATCAAGAGGACCAGTAGAAATTTGCCCTTTTTAAGGGTTTTTTGCTATATTTTATCTTCATAAGGACTAGTGGGCTTAAACTGTTAGTTTCTAACTTTATATGTACAAACATACCTACAGTATCATTAAGGTACTGATACATCACTACCAACATTTATGAACATTTAAAACTTATCCTGCTCAGAGAGTCAATCTCTGCAATATTTGAAGTCGTCATACAGGGTCCCAGATCCTGATATAACATAGAGTTTAACTTATATGCACGCAAAAGATGCCATTAATCCCAACATCTTCAGACTATTTGCAAATATCTCATATATATCCCTGTAAAAGGGGATTCTGTACCCTTAAAGCTACAGTACAACCTCGTTGTGTCGACCCGTTGGGACCTGCAAAAAAGTTCCAGTGAGTGAGTATTGTTTTATGCCACTTTTAGCAATATTCCAGCAATATCACGGCTTGGAACAACAAAAATGGGCTTCACACATTGTACCCATGTGGGGAATCGAAACCTGGGTCTTGGGCGTGATGAGTGAACACTTTAACCATTAGGCTACCCCACCGCCCCAAAAAAGTTCCAGTTATCTGGGGATCGAGACATCAGGGTAATTTTAGGCTTAATTTAGATAATTTGGACTCTAAAAAGAGGTTTGAGTCAATCGGGAATTCGACACATCCAAGTTCGACATGAGGTTTGACTGTACAAAGATTGACATGTATATTCATAAATCAAATGTTGTAAGGAGTAAATCGTTGTTAGACACATCTATCATTCTTAAAATATCACATGAAATGACCTTTAGCATGTTAAGTACATCTGAATATTAATATTAATAATAATAATTATAATAATAACAATAAATTGCAGCTTGTATAGATAGCAATGAAGGTGAAGGTCAGGGGTCAGTCCCTCTGTCATGTACAATGACTTCTTCATAAAAACTCTGTTCGGGTAAATAATTCCACCTCCTCCTGAATATATCTGAAAAAGAATAACCTCTAATTACATTTAATGCATACAAATTGTTGATTTTAGAGGAAATCGTATAAAAAATCTAAAACATTAAGGTATGATGACTCACGATCATCCATAGTCTGTCTTACAGGCCCTGATACAAATATATATCAAATACAGCCCATGCAAGTCTATAATGTTTGGCAAGTCTAGATTACTGCAGTATCAGGCAGTATCATCTGAAAATAAAGAGAGTCACTAGGCTCCCTTTTATTATATTTTTATTAAGATAACTGAACAACTGTTTTTTCTGTACGATATGTTCATTTCAGAGACTAGATGTTAGTCTAGATCATCCAGGGTCTCGTTCTACCTCCAATTATGAATAGAGCAGGAGGTTACCGGGGTATACTATATATTGGCCAATATCTGTGTCGTGACTTTCTCATTAAGAATAAACAGATCCCTACCTCTGACACTAGTGAGTGCATGACTGTCTTGAAAACTCCACTTCATGTAGTGAATTTTCTTTCTGTAGCACATGCCTGTGCACCACACGCACAGGCTGAGTAGACACAGCAGGAACACCATGCACATGAACGCTATCTGTGCATCCCGAGCTCTGCAACAGAAGGATGGATCACATGACAAATACCCCGAGCGGACAAGCTCTGCAACAGAAGGATGGATCACATGACAAATACCCCGAGCGGACAAGCTCTGCAACAGAAGGATGGATCACATGACAAATACCCTGAGCAGACAAGCTCTGCAACAGAAGGATGGATCACATGACAAATACCCCGAGCAGACAAGCTCTGCAACAGTAGGGAATAGTAAACCATTACATCCTTTGTAGCACATACTATCTGTTAAAGGTAAACCATTACATCCTTTGTAGCACATACTATACGTTAATAGTAAACCATAAATCCTTTGTAGCACATACTATCTGTGAATAGTAAAACATTACATCCTTTGTAGCACATACTATCTGTTTACAGTTATCCGTTACATCCTTTGTAGCACATGTATACTATCTGTTAATAGTTAGCCTTACATTCTTTGCAGCACATACTATCTGTGAAAAGTAAACCATTACATACTTTGTAGCACATACTATCTGTGAACATTGTGAATAGTTAACCTTTACTTACATCCTTTGTTGTACATACTATCTGTTAATAGTAAATCATTACATCCTTTGTAGCACATACTATCTGTTAATAGTAAATCATTACATCCTTTGTAGCACATACTATCTGTTAATAGTAAATCATTACATCCTTTGTAGCACATACTATCTGTGAATAGTAAACCTTTACTTACATCCTTTGTTGTATATTAAATTTATTTATTAACTTCCGCACTGCAGAGTAGTTCCCCTCAGCTGTCCATTCAACTGGCACGGGAAAATATGTGACATATGTATCTTCATGGCCGGAAAGTGACACACTTGTATTATTGTTCCTCACACTTCTAGACACTAATGACAGTGTGGGGCTGAGCGCTGAGTCAGATGCTCCTGACGCTGTTATACTGGACGTTGCGTTAACTTTGCCTTCCCTCTCTACGACAGGAGCTTCCCTTTTCTTTCTGTGTGTTTTGTGATATGAAGAATTAGTTTCTTTGGATAACTTGTTCTTTGTATGTATGGTTGAATATTGTTTATCTTTGTTAAAGCTTGTTCTGGAAGACTTCGATCGTACAGAGGAAGCTTTGTCATGAGTTTCAAATACACCTTTCATAAATGGAAGACTCTTTGGATGGTTTTGAATCTTTGAAGTCCGAAACACGAGCCACATATTCAGCAACCACCTCGGCTCTGTTGCAGTCTTTTGAGAAGGCACCAACGGCTTTTTGTTGTCATAGATATGCTGCCATATCAGCATATTTGTTTGCTGAATGTCAGATTCAACAACTGGCTCCTGACTTGATGGAATTGTTTTGTTGGCCAATTTGAAATTGTTCTCCAGAGTGACATCCCTTTCTAACGGGACACTACAACTGGCCATCTGAAAGAAAGAACCAAACATGGTGTTATTTTCATTTACTGGTTGTGGAGGACATGCTTACCCTTCTTTCAAACACGAGGTGTCATCACTGATTTTCAGCTATTTTGCCTTTTACACCCAAGGAATCTGTTTAGGCAGGATCAAGACTGCATGGTTGTTCTCCTGTATTGACATTTCATATTTACCAGTTACCAAGGTAACTTGAAATTGGTTCCATACATTGTACCCATGATACATTAAAAATGCATAAGATTTCACGCTGTATCCCCCCTTAAAAATATACTGTATATTAGGGCTTGGATGGGTAACTGGGGTACTCGGGTCGGGTGGGGACTGAGTAGGTCCCGGGTACCCACAGGACTACCCGGACCCGTGGTTAGTCACGTGATATATTGTTTCATGACAAAAATCACTATAATTATAACTACATGGTTACACGACAAGTTTAAGTCTCTACTGTTCGCATTTCTTCATGACTATGAACACGTTCCTTCTGACTTAATATGTTTGAACAAAGCTAAAACTTCAGTCAACTTCAGTGTATGCATGAGCACATCGGTTTATACGTCTATCTGAAAACATTCGGCCAGGGCTACTGTCAAACTATTCCCAATCGGACATTTTATACCTATATCTCTTGACACCAACAGCAGGTACCCGGGTAGGGTCGGGTAATAGAGATGTGGGTACCCGGGTAGTAAATTTAGACTCGTCCCAGCCCTACTGTATATGATTGAAAGGATTGAGCGCAATGCATACATACATAATAACTTTTGAGGGGGGATACAGGCGGAAGTCTTTCCCAAAAATGGAACCGTTGTATGAATACACAGATTTCTGTCATCTACACGTTAAAACTGAAAGATCAACCTAAAAGTCTTATATATCTATACCTGTTCGCAGAAATACAAATTATTAAGTAATTATATTTCAATATCCTTGTCGAACCAACTTGTGGGGAAATGAAATGAAACATTAATATTATTACTTGAGATTAATTTATGACCGTGATTATCAAAGTAATAGAGAGGCATATTTACTACCATTGTCACTGTCACAGTGTCGATATGCAGACCATATGTAATACGGTATATGGTCAGCTGATGGTGTCTTCAACTTGAAGTTGTAATCTAAGATATCTTGGTTTCTTGTCCAAACTAATGTACGTATGTGCTTGTCAAGCACGAACCATCTTACCTTTGACGCAAGCACTATGCATACGACACAAATTATGTATTTCAGACCCCATATCTCACAAAACATAGTCGCTGATGGACATTAACTGTAACTGTTTCTTAAATACGACATGCTGGAGCTTTTGCCTCGTCACGGATCAATAATTCAAGGGAGGTCACTCTAATTTCTAGCAGGTGCCCGTTTAAATTTGAAGTGTACATAAAATGTATGTGCCGTGTTACCGCGTTAGTATTATCAGGGGCATACATAAAATACTCATGGCGAAACGTCTCGCACACAATTAAATTTATAGGAAGTTAATTCGTTTACATGTTACACAAGGCCACATATCTCTGAATTAACACATGTTTCTCTTGTGTCGTTGGTACGTTCAGTGGCAAAATAGACAGCGGAAAGTCTTGCATGAGTTAGATGTTTGATATTTGTTTTCTTCTCTAAAAAGATTTCCTCATATACATTAGCCCTTTTCGTGGTTTCGTGACAAACAGGATTCCTAGTATTTAAAAGCATATCACGAAAGGAGGCTGAAATGGGGGTCAGATGGCCCAAATGGCTTCGGGTTATGGACAACTTGTTTGGGTGACCAGTAGGGTCACCTCTGCTACAGTCCAAAGCTGAGCTAAAACTTGCGTTCTTGGCACTCTCAACACACACACGCGCACACACACGCGCGCACACGCACTCACACACACACACACAAATGCGTCGCTATGTAGAGTAAACTACGGTTATAACGAACTCAGAGGGACAACTAATTATAATGAATGTAGTAACAACGCATTAACACCTCGCCACTTTACCTAGCACAATAACGTTTACTTGACAGTCTTGGGGAAGCCTATTGATCGTGAGAACCCGTATGACCTTTTCAGTTCACATTTGAGACGTACGTCGGCCTGGCCTATCTGTTATCTAAGATTAAACCCTATCAGGACAGGGCTTTTACCAACTGGTCAGCAACTCAGGTTCACGTGATTGCTATCTAGATTGCCTTATTTATTCTCTAACGTAACACATGTTATATTTGGGATAACACTTTCTTAGTAAAGTACAGATTCTAGTACTTTTCTGAGTTGAGCCCCGTCCGGGATTCGAACCCACACTTGCATATATAATATGTGTTACATTTGACCACTTTCTAAATGGCATTGTGTATTCATAGCTTTCGGCCATGGGAGCCGTGCCAATTTACACTTGTCAGAGGGGTACTCAAAGTACGTGATCTAGACTACCAGTTGTCGGACCTTCATTCTTGTGGAAGCCTCGGTGGCTGAGTGGGTTAGATTGCTGACTTTGTTTGCTGGCGATTAGTTGCCTCACTCTGGCAAGTGTGGGTTCGAATCCCGGACGGGACTCAACTAAAAAAAGTACTAGAATCTGTACTGTGTTACATTTGACCACTTTCTAAATGGCATTGTGTATTCATTATTTATTCTCGTGAACCTGTGCCCCCAAAAGGTCTGTATCTATATAATTAAATACGCTGACATTGTAATTGCTATTGTCATGATTAATTTGAATACAACTGGTCATTTATACCACCTACTTTTGTCTCATTTGATTCATTCTTAACGTACGTAATTAGTCGCAAGTTATAGTTCTGTTCAATCTCAGGAGACCCGTGAAGATCCGGAGTAAAATAGGTCTTCAGCAACCCATGCTTGCCATTAAAGGCGACTATGCTAGTCGTACGAGGCGATAACGGGATCGGGTGGTCAGACTCGCTGACTTGGTTGATGCATGTCATCGTATCCCAATTGCGTGGATCGATGCTCATGATGTCAATCACTGGATTGTCTGGTCCAGACTCGAATATCAACCACTGGTTCGATTATTTGAATAACACTTAGGAGTGCTGCTTTTCACAACAAATTATCAAAACTATATAGTTCATCTTCCGCCGAATTGCCAGACTTTGTTAGGAAGTGAGTGAGTGAGTATGGTTTTACGCCGCTTTTAGCAATATTCCAGCAATATCACGGCGGGGGACATCGGAAATGGGCTTCACACATTGTACCCATGGGGGGAATCGAACCCGGGTCTTCGGCGTGACGAGCGAACGCTTTAACCACCAGGCTACCCGACCTCCCCTTGTTGTGAAGGAAATTTGGATGATTGAAAAGATGTTGTAAAAGAGTTTTGTTTGTTTGTTTACCACTGTGACGAAACTGGTATGGTGTTTACCAATCTGATTAAAATCAGATCTTAGTTCTCGCTATTGCTAAACAAAGATACGAGGACATCCCATTACGGGTCACGTCAGAACGACCTTTCATCCAACCAATCAAAGCCTCGCTTACCAGATCATGAAAGTGACAGTCGGAATTTGTGTTCTAATCATGCAACCTCGAAAACGTTAACACGGGTTATTCCGAACGACAGTTACGGCCCATACGACTGATTCCGTCAAAATTATCGTCTATCTCTCGCTTCCGTGGGATAAACATGTGAACGGAGGAGGCGTTGCACTGTATGTGGGAAGCACTGCCATACAATTTCACCAATATATTGGACCTTCCGGAATGTTCGTTTGCTCAGTTTTGAAAATTTTAATCGAGAACTGTGTCAACATATTTTTCAAGCGTAGTCTGAAATGGAAGTCGCCAGGTTGAAACGAGTGCCGTAAAGCTCGAGAAAGCTGCTTTCTAATTGGGTGATGTCGACTTCTTGTTATTCATTTTAGTGTTCGGTCGAAGTTCGCGAAAGGTCATTCTGAACTGACCCGTAATGGGATGTCCTCAGATCTTTGTTTAGCGGCAGCGAGAACTTAGATCTGATTTTAATGAGATTGGGTGTTGACAAACCTAGAAACATAATCAGGGGGAACCCCAAATCATACGTGTCTGTCCCCCGTGTGCCCATCACACTTTGAAGAATTTATAGTTTACAATCAGTACGTCTTATGTTGGAACAGTTACATAAATCAAACTTACATGTGGCTGCAACCAACACGGCACACACGAGGACGACAACGGTACACTTCGTGTAGGAAGATCTTTAACAAAATTTAGATGTTGTTCAAATGATTTTAAAATACATAAATATAGAATGTCTAGTGACCATGACTTTGCTGACAGTCTATGTACTTTCAGTAAAGAAGACTTAGATGATGAATACCATGCACTATTTATATGTCCAGCTTATACTAGCTTCAGGATAAGATATTTGCCCTCGTATTACTATCAAAATCCTACCCTGCACAAGTTTGTATTGTTACTCACAAAAAATGACGAAAACATTTTATTTCAGCTAGCTCTTTATTTAGATAAAATGTTTAAACTTAGAAATTCTAAAGCCAATATTAACTGAAGCGCTCTGTCACAATATGTCAAATATTATCCAACCATCTGTACTATTGGCCGCATGGCCAGACTATACGAAATAAATTCTGTTCTGTTCTGTTTTGTTCACTTCGTGTTGGTAGATGAATGTAGGGCATCTCTATGGCGAATGTCTTATATATATACACCCTGGGTTGTAGGTGTGGGTTATTAAGGAAGGTTTCTGGGAAGTCTTAAAACTGCACATAGTTGCATGTGTTATGTTCCCTGGCCCTCGTTGAATGGCGGCAGATTGCGACTTGTTATGACGTTAGGGATAGTCTGTGACAGAAACTATCAGAGAACTAACATCCACCTGTACACGTGTTGAATTGCAACTACTGTTGATATGGGAAATCTAACAGCTCGTTGTTTCCATAAAGTTGGATGCGTTTTCATGTGGTACATCACTACAAATGGTCACTACATCAAGCCATATGTAACCTGCTGTTATCTCACATGAATCCAAATGCGCATTTTTTTGTTTGTTTGTTGTTTAACGCCACACTCAGCAATATTCCAGGTATATGACAGCGGTCTGTAAATAATAGAGTCTGGACCAGACAATCCAATGATTGACATCATGAGCATCTATCCACGCAATTGGGATACGATGACATGCATCAACCAAGTCAGCCTGACCAATCGAGCAAGTGAGCGAGCAACCTTGCCGTTTGTGCGACGTACGCTAAACGCTAATTGGTCAGAGCGAGAAACTTTTCCGTTTGTGAGATGTAAGCTGCACGCATATTGGTCTGAGCTATAACCTTGCCGTTTGTGAGATGTAAGCTGAACGCTAATTGGTCAGAGCACTCGCTGGTATTCCTCTGGCTGGAACCAGGCTGTCGCTTGATTCGTTGGTTCAAAACAGCGACTACACCTTATAGACGGTTGATGGAGGAATGTTGTATATGCACATCCGGTAAGTATTGACGATGATAATAAGGTGTCGTGATCGTCAATTTTTTTTTTGCAACAAATAAGTACAGATTGCCTCATGCTACATAACAAGCGGGGCGGTCGGGTAGCCTAGTGGTTAAAGCGTTCGCTCGTCACGCCGATTCCCGAAATGTGTGAAGCCCATTTCTGGTGTCCTCCGCCGTGATATTGCTGGAATATTGCTAAAAGCGGCGTAAAACCATACTCACTCACATAACAAGCATAACCACCAATATATTTGCAGAGACATTTATTTTGAGTTTAACATAGAGCCTTCGTTTCCATGACAACTGTACAGCCGGCAGTTCAAGGATGGTGGTTGTCGGGATGGTTGTCGGGATGATGTGGAGGCTGAAACATACATATGACGTCAACGCCAAAGCATAATCAGTCTTGATTATCTGCAGAATCTCCATTGGACGTAAAAGGCAAACGAGTAGTGTCAATTATATAAATGGATCACTGAAAATCAGTGATGACATCGAGTGTTCGTGAACATATCCTGACATATTTGTTGAAGCATATGTTGATATACATTCCACCTACATAACAGGCTATATTTAGTTGTATGTGCACACCACTCATTGTATGCGTGAAGGTGAGGTGAAGTAAAATTTTGTTTAACGTCGCGTCCAAGATTATTGCTATTATTTAGCGACGTGCATGCACGTGTGTGTGTTTGGGTGGCTTCTTGTACTAGTCCGGAATGATGCCGATTTATAGTGCTAGCTCACTGAGATACCATGCCGCAGTTTAACACGAATACCCCACTCAGACCCAGTATACTGACTCCGGGCCGACCAGTCCTTGTCTTAGCCCCTTAATGGCGGACGCCAGACAGGGCAACAACAAGTACCATCTTTTAACGTCTTTTGGT